TGTCGCTCGATCCTGGTTTCCGCTGATGAAAAAAAAGGAGGAGTCAATCAGCGCAGATATCAACGAGCCATCAGGCTCAGGAACCCACCTTTTCTCGGGTTCGCTCGTAGTTGAGAAATATGAACACCTTGGCTGCCGAGATTGGCAGCGCAGGGACAGAGGTCCATGCTGGGGTGTCAGCAACCATCTCAGCTTGGTATCTGTCCCAGTAGGCAATATAATTGCGGACATGGCGTGCGTATGCCTCGTTGGTACCCTTGTCAGCGCGCTCCTCCGCCGCGAGGCAGAGCCAAATTTTGTGGGAGGTCGCGTCCAGTGCATCGAGGGAGCGCTGCATGCCATTGGAGGCAGCAGCAGCCGGCTCAACAAGCATGGCTGCACAGGGAGCTGGCGACGGGTCCTTGACGGCAGATCTCGCTAGGATCCATGGTGATCAGTCCATCAGGGATGGGAAGGTGAGCACCAGCAACAAGGGACGACGCGACAGGCTCGGCACCTGGTCCTATGAGCACCAAACTGTCAGTACTGCCAGCAAACACACACACATCGAAAGAGACACGCACCTGGTGCAGCAGCAGTGCCAGCACCACAGCACTTCTGCCTTGCCCTGGAGGCAAGGTGCTCGCTCGAAGAGACAGCAGGGGTGTGATGTGGAGCTGGGCCAACTCGCAGTTGAACCCGCGGGCGCTTAGGAGGGCGTTCGTCGAAGACATTGGATGGGTTATCATGACGCATCTTTGCAGGTGCGTGGCTCGCATTGGAACTCGCAGTTAAGAGATCTGAAACGAAAAAGGGAACACATCAACCTGGGAGACATTGCAGAAAAGAGCATGGAGACTTACCAGGAGGTTGAGCACAGGTAGTACTGCACACCGAGCGAGTCTCGTTTTTGTACTTCTCGAGCCCCATGAATTGACGCGAAAATGTGTGATATTGAGTGTGGCGGGGACCTGACAGTGTGGGCTCGAGTTCTGAACACGGGAGACGGGAATTAGAGTCGCGTAGGTATGATAAAATTACGAATTATGTCGGGGATCGAGTACAGTAGGTTAGCACGGCGTTTTGAGGAAGGGGCACTATGCCATCACGGTCCTGCGCCGTTGAGTGATTGGGTGAGTCACTGCAGTGTCTGCGCTGCTCATTCGGCGGGGCTCGCCGGTGCCAGCGTGTGTCTTGTTGTGAGCACTGAGGGACGAGAACGACGTCGACGTCGACGACGAGAGGCAGCGTCGAGAAACGGACTTACCAAAACGAGCGACCGAGCGGCAGCCGAAAGCATGTCCGAAAACGGCAGGTGAACGGTGTACTGGATGGGTGACGCTTCCTTTCTTAGCCGGGCGTCACCGACGGCGTCACCTCCCTCAGTCGGTAATCCGTCGTACACTGTATATATCATAAGTGGACCACTGCATATCGACGTCATCGCATGAAGTGATGGTGCGTGCGCAGCTGATGCGCGAGAATGTTCAAACATTCAAATATTGAGCAAAGTCAAGTCAAAGTTGAAAAAATTTCAGCATGTTCAACCAATGTTCAACGGATCTTTGCTCAATGGATCAACCGCACTTTTTAATTTATCGATTTGCGTAGTTATCGCAATATTATTGGTATATAACTAATATTTTCGTCGTTTGCCGTAGATATGGCTAGGACCGTTTTTCACTGGGGATCAGATCTCAGATCTTAAGCTTCAGACACTGCTTGCATCCTCTTCGAGGCAGGCAAGGGACGCGGTTATTTCACAACCAATAATATTATCGTCCACGCCAACCAGGCGATGAATATTCTCAAAAATTACTTCCCCCTTGACAACCATATCTTTGTGAAGTTTGATAATGTGGCTACTCACCGAAAACATGACAGAAAACCCCTCCAAAGCATGGGGTGTTGTCACTGCCGAAGCTGCGTAACACCAAGAGACACGAGAGCGCACCGAAATTGTCAGAAGAACAAGAAAACCAAACGGGTTCCCGAGTCTCAACCCGCTGAATCACTCACGTCACCACGCATTCTGTGCAATAATGGAATCCAAATTTATTTACATCATGAATTACAAATGTTTAACGTCCTCGAGGACAGCTTGCAAGATGACGATATAGACTAATAATCAGTATCAACAAAGATAAGCTAGAGACAAATAAGAGCGGGTCTAGATCCACTGCGAAAAGCAGAACATCTGGTGCTGGTAAAGCTCACAGGGTATACCCCCAGCGCGACAATGATTCAGAAAAAATCAATCAACCACTCCTCTGCCAGTGGCGAGTCAGGGATGTTAGGATTTTGAGATTGGAGATTGTCATGGTTTTGCAACTGAGATTCCAATTGCGACAGCTATGTGAATGCAAGTTAAGTTCAACATAAACGCTGCTGAACCAAATGATCACCTCTCTGCGGAGAAATCATTTATAAAATAAGTATTCGTTATTTACGAGTAGCGACTCACAGGGCATGTTCAATCTCCAATTCCTCGAACCTAGTGAGACTGTCTTCCACAGCACGAGATGCTCTGGAGCCATGATATGTGGTTAGCAAAATATTCGTTACTTGCGAGTAGCAACTCACAAGGCATGTTCAGTCTTCATTTCCTCGATCCTAGTAAGACTGTCTTCCGCAGCACGAGATGTACTGGAGCCATGGTCTGTGGTTAGTGTGCTGTTGTGAAGCAGGTCACGAAGGCGACGACATTCCGCTTTTTCACGCTCGTTCTCAAGTTGAAGAGCTTTGTATCGGTGGAGTGAATCTAAGGCAGTTCGAAGTGGTATATGCTAAAAACGCTGCATATGAGAAATTTGACAAGAACTGACAGCAAGCATCGGTATACATCGCGTTTGCGATGCGCCTGCAGAGTGAAAAGGACTCACAGAAAAAGGGTCATCCGGTTGAGACTGCAGCCATTCCTGCACTTCGGCGACTACTTCAGCGACATCAGCTTCGGGCACGTCTTCGCCTGATATTAGAGACATCCGATGAAGAAGGAAAATAGCATGATTATAGACAGTTGTGCCCTGTTCGGTATTGTCCGGTTCAGCATTGTCCCGATCAGCATCGTCTCGTTGAGCATCTTCTCGTTCAGGTGGATTTCCGACGTGGAGTTTCTTGGCACGATCTAGGTCGAAATTTTCGCGGCAGAAGGGACATGTGTTTGGGTTAAAGGAGTGAATGCACCTTGGATTGAAGAGGATATGAGATGCGAGAAATATTATCGCTGGGCACAAGCTGGCCGGGAGTAGAAATTTGGACGCACCCAAGACAAAAGATATGACCACAATCGATTGCATGTGGAGAAGAAGCAAGATCTGAGGTAGAATAGGGATCAAGGCAGATATCACAACAACTCGAAGGATGGACGACAAGCATACCTAGTTCATGGCCAACAGGGCTCCTTACTAACCTTGAGTGTGGAGTTTTATCACTACCTTCTGTTAGATGGAACCAGTGCAGAATTCAAACCCAGCACAATGAGTCAGTGCACATGAGGCTCGGTGTGTGACACTGCACATTGCTGTATACAGTGACTCAGGCCCAGACGTCAGGCCCATGGGTGCTAGAGTGAGAACATGTGCATTGAAACGTTGACATGGCCTTTGTCAGCAGGTCCCATGAGAATAACGTGCACGTGTGCTTCGATCGCACATATCTCGGTCGACCCATTCTTAAGTACTCTACTGAAGTTAATGTGCCTCTCTTCTTCTTCTCTGCGCTCACATTTGCGTCACTCGACGATTTTTTCCACCAGCCCACCTTCCTACCTTCTACTCTAGCTTGTTTTGGTCTGTCTCTCAGTCCCTACACGTTCTCAGACCGATCATGTTAGACTCGTGAGTCGTAACCCTTCTGCCTACGTGCGCTTTTTGAGATGGTGTGATTTCTGCCCGCCACTCGAGCATCCATGGTAGTATACGCCAAGCTGGTCACGAGCCAAGGATCATGCTTCTAAGGTTCTGCTTGGTCCTCGAACTTCTCCAATTCCGAACGATTCACCATGATGTACATGATCTCCGGCATTGTCAGGGACATGTCACATGCTCCAGTATCACTGGAGCAGGCGAAGGGGAATGTACTCGGTCAGATGCAGAGGAGTGGCGGATGACGTGCGCTGCAGCGAGGTCAGGAGGGTTTATTTGTTTTTATCATGTCTCATTCTGCATCAACGTGTATCCATGTGTCGCGACACCTTTTCGTTCTCCATCAATGTGGTTCAATTGAAACTACCTGGAATGAGATCGAATGGGTATCGATCTGTAAATATTACTAGTCCAATCTCTATCAACAAAATCGATAAAGGTCTCATTTTTCACAATTACATGTGGATTCATATTGAACTCTTATCAACAGTTATCGATACACATCGACCTTGTTCTTAATGGGACTGAGTACCTACCTACACATGAAATTTAATGGCGTCCACGCCTGGTTTCTTATGGTGTAAAATCCTGCGCAAAGCCCTCTTTGCCCTGGATTGACCGACGTTGTTGCGTTTAGAAGATCCACGACGTACGACCCCTTTGCCCTTCACGCCTGATGGAGACTTTTTGCCGTGAGCGGTGGATCGGTACCTGTTCGATGTTTGCCTGGTTGGTACAGAAACCCGATCAGGTTCTGGCAAACACAATCAGTAAATCGTTAGTGGAATCGGGTACTAGCGGGAAACCTTGGGCTTTGGAGGTAATCCCGGACGAGGAAGGAACAACGTGGAAAGGAGAGGTAAGATAGTTGAGCTGGTCGCAGTACTCTTTTAAGCCATCTCCGCTTCCCGCATAATCCTCGACAGCTTCATCGGCAGATGGACACAACAAAGCTTCGTCGTCGTCATCTTCCCAGACTACTTCATGATCCCTGCTGTAGATCGAAAGATCGACGAGACTCAGCGGGGAGAAGTCAGCCGTAGTCTGTAGAGAGTCCTGGTTGGCACATCCGGGACCATGAACATCGTATAGCCCGTGAAGGCGAGGTGAAGGGGAATGACTGCTACGTGTGGAGGTGGGTGAGTCCTGCATCTGTTGTTGTAAGACGATGGACTCGGACAAAGCATCTCGAAGCCTCCGTCTCGGAGTGAACGCCTCCAGGAAGTGCAGCTTCTGTCTTTTAGCTTCTACGCGGTGTTGTATCTCGTCACGGAGTCGCTCGAGAGTCTGTATATGTTCGAGAAGGATGCATGCAGTCGTGAGTGCGTTGAAATGATTCAGAGGGGTACGTGTGCTTGTCTGCCTGCATGGCTGGACGTTGCCAACTGGAATTGGAGAAACCATGGCTGCGTTAGCAGGCGAAGCTGAATGATAATTCCTGCGAATGTTTGTTGACTATGAACGCAACGGGAACAGCCAACGTCCGACGATGGCAGTGTCCCGTGCATGAATACAGCCCGTCCGAACTGAAATAAAATCAGTCGTTTGAGACGTAAATAGAAAACGGATCAAGTACGTATACATAGACAACGGCTACGAACGGAAGTTCGAGGTTTCCGATGCCATTCCCTGAGTATCAGCCCAAGATCGGACGCCAGTGCGCTCAGCTGAGATCAGCAGGCCGCAAACTATGATGCATAATAAGGGGCGTTGCCAGCCTCATTCAATATTGCATGCGTATACGCTCCCACAACGCCGATGCATCATGATGACCAGTACGTACCTGGCTGGATCATCGCGATACCGATATGATAGATGACGTTAAACAATGTGGCATTGTGGCAGTGCTCAGGGCGCGCTCCTCTGCCGCGAATTGGCATAAGAGTGTTCGTCTCCACCTTAAAAGCGCCACTTTATCTTCGTCTCTGACGTCGCTCATTCATAACAGTTAAAAGACAACAAAAAAACTAATCTCAATCAAGCTGGCGAAGATGTCGAGAACATACTGTATTCCAGGCGTCTTCTTCCTATTCTCTGCCTGGTTCCTCCTTTTCATCGTCTCAATTTCTCTCCCGAGTTTTGAGGCGATGGACATTACTCGTGTGGACTCTAGTGGAGCGGTCGCAGGTAATGGTGACGAGGCATTCACGCAACTTAGGGTGAGTAACAGTTTAGTTGAGTTGAGGTGCCCGAACTCATGGTTCCTCGTTGTACCCCCTAGCTTGGTATTTGGTAAATATACATCATCATACGAGATAGCACAACTAAACTATCTTCAGGGGTTACTGTGTTGACCTGTCTTCGGGCTGGACATGTTTCAAAACTGGTGAACACATTTACTGATATCGCTACAACCCTAAACTTATCGAATACAGGTCATGGATACTCGCTCACTTTCACGAACGCCCAGAATGCCGAAGTTACTATAGGTTCTTCATGGACACGCGGTCTCGCTGTTCTTCCCGTCGGTCAGTTGTACTCTGTGCAAAACAGTCGTAATCTGACTTTGCCTCTTCCTTAGCTTGCTGTGTCGCATTTATTGCACTTCTTCTATCCATTTCCCAGCACATCACAATTACCTTGGTGGCTTCTCTAGTGTCATTCCTCGCGGCCCTGCTTACCCTCATCGCATTTGCCATCAATATCGCTCTCTTTGCCTATGTCAAGCATGAATTGGGTACGCTAAATATTAATGAGACAACCATCACTGGACCTGGTTCGTTTCTCTTTTCCTCTGCTTACCACGGGTCTCAACACTACGACAGGTTTTTGGCTCACATTTGTATCCCTGCTTCTGCTTATCTTGGCTGGATGCACTGTGTGCTTTGGCCGTCGTCGTGACAGAATGGCGGGTGCCAATAATAACTCATACCAGCTGAACGGTCCCAAGACCGGGTTCCTCTCGCGCTTCGGTCGCAACTAGGAATCACGACTTTTACGGATGGATGGACATATTGATGATCTTACTATATATACCGACTGGACACCGCACACTGAATTTTCGCATGCATCATTTGTTACGGAGGCTCTTCTAGTAGATGAGTGTATTCATTCCATTGGTTTGTCTTGTATACCATGTTGAACCCGTTTATGAATTTGACATCTATATTTGGAGTCCCCTAGTGCCTGGTGAAGGGTACGGTTTGCCTTAGACGGGCTCGTCACCAATCTAGGTAAAGGGTAACCTGTGGTCCGAGTGCATGGTGCTTGAGTGTTGATGACAAGTTGAGGAACAATCTTCAGTACAATCTCTGAACCCAGTGCGATGGTCATGGACTCATATACTACTTGGACAGCACATCGACCCTATCCTATTTTTTTTGTTGTGTTGTCCGCTGGGGCCTTGCCCTATGGTAGACAGTGCATGCTGCGTCTCTCTGTATCTATATATGTATCTATGTGCATTGTGTATGTTATGCAATGGCGCTGGAGTGGTAGCTCCTGCCTTGGTGAAAATGGGATGCACTCCGATATAATGGGATAGCGTCCGTGTCTGCTGCCATGTAAAGGCTCCGAAAATGCTGTAAGCTGTAGCGACATTTTTCGGGAGCAAATTGGTCTTCAACGTTCAACTCCTTCCAATGGAGTGGAATCGCTATCTACTCGTTTCACACTTACTAAATGATCTACAGGTAGCTGATGAATTTTTATGGTTTCAGACGTTTCGTTCAAATGCATCTTCTCCTCATCCATTCATTATTATTTTCCTTCGTGGCGCCTGGGCCGCCTGACTAAGCTATTCGAATCCCCTGCGCCTCACCCAGGGCCCACGTGGGGTGCATTACGGCCAACTAAAGGCGATAAGGCGATAAGGCGATAACCCTATCCTATAAGCTGTTGTTGGCTGGTGGCGATGCTCTAGCCCTTGAGGCGATGTCGTGCCATCTAAATAAGATCATGACCGTTAACAGTAATTCTGCTCCCCTCAGCTGGTATCTATCAGCCTGAGGCTCCCAGATCGTCCTAGTTTGACCTTCCTGTCCCCAAGTCTTGTCAATGAAGGTGAGACTCCTATAACATCAACGGCATCCATAATCGAGCTTTAAATGAAAGACATCTGCTGATTCTGCTCTCAAGAACGTCGATAATGGTCAATGCGTGGCCTTGCTGAGTGGGACGATAGCCGTGATCGATACCGCGAAGGCTGTCGTACCTAGTGTCCTCGTGCAAAGCATTCTTTCTACAGTTTCAAATATCTTGACCATCGCAAAGGTAAGTCATTCTTGGACGACTTCAGATGATGTTCTGATATCTTTATATAGAATACCCTGCAGAATGAAGGCGATTTTCGTGATTTGATTGAAACACTGCCGAGTGATTTGTGATGTTGTCGTAAGCGCTACGGAAGATCAGACTGATGGCGACTTGGACAGTGAGCTCAGTGACATCATGATCAATCTTAAAAGGTGGGGCTTTCCTTCAGATACCTCAGAGACCGCCTAACACCAGCGTAGCTTTGTCCAAAGCATTCACGAGGCAGTCGTATCTGCAAATGAGCGCAACGTCGCCCAGAGAGCTATTTCCGCGCTGTCCGATAAGGACAGAATCGCATCTTGGGCGCGGGAATTAGATAGGCGCGTGTTGCTTATTAACGTAAATCATGATTTCCTTCCAAGCTACAATTGAACTGACCGTTATACTAAAGATGCACCTGAGCATGATAACCCAGCGTCGAATATATCAACAGAGCAGACAGGTCAATAGACCGAGCGTGTCTACCGCATATGAAGACTGGCGCGTTGTCCTCCCGAGTGTACCTTCCCCTTTCTTTGGAAGAGATCATCTCATTGTCCATATTACGGAAGCACTTCTCAAACGACGTCATGTCACGCTTTTCGGTCCAGGAGGTATCGGCAAGACCTCCCTTGCAAAAGCTATCATCCACGACTCAGTTATAGCTGAGAGGTTTCAAGGCCGTCGGTACTTTGTATCGTTTGATGAACTTGATGCCTCTCGGACATCCGCAGGAATAGTCAAGGAGCGGATTTGCAGAGCCGCCGGATTGGACGGGCGCCTCAGTGAGCGGTGGGAAGAAGTGATAGAATTCCTGACAGGCGCAGACACAATCCTGGTCATCGACCATGCAGATGCTCTTACTGCAGCTCGAAACGCAAACTCCGTAGCCCGTATTTTGATGACCTCGCATCATCATCGTCTGTGGTCCTCTTGTTGACGACCCGAAGCAAACACACCGCACCTTACCTTGTCACACAAGTTGTGAGCGTTTCGACATTAGAACGCAAGTACGCGAGGAAGACTTTCGAGTGCGTGTGCACGCAACACATTCCCGCAGAGATAATCGATGAATTGTTGGATGGTGTCGATAACCATCCATTATCGATCAATATCATTGCTCGTCAGACGGCTCAACATGAATGGTCTGGGGCAGAACTACTTTCCGCATGGAAAACAAACCAAGCAGCGCTCCTAGAGAACGGCGAAAGAAAATCTCACAGCCTTCGTGCTACAGTCGAACTCTCTTTGAATGCTCCCTCGGTGATTGCCCTTGGCGATGATGCTCGAAAGCTTCTCGAGATCATCGCTTTTTTCCCGCAGGGCCTCAATACTTTGAGGGTGAAAGTTCTTTATCCTTCTGCGACTGTGGACGCGGACGCGCTCTGTGCGCATTCGATCATCCATTGCGAGGGAAATCGTTTCACTATGTTGACGCCCGTGCGACTGTACTTGGGCCACAAAGCGCCAAACCCTGATGCAGGGTTTCTGAATACGATCAGGAACATATACTACAGAGAGCTCTCCGGTCCCATCGAACAACGTCGAGCTCTCGTTGAGGCCGAAGATGTCAATGTCGAACGCCTTATTGACTTCGACTTCAGCAGGGCCGTCAATTTAGACGACAGTCACCATGCTTGTGCATCATTCCTAGACAACCTCGCAATATGCAAACCTCGGGTGACCATTCTCACTACGAGGGTCGAAGAACTTCCAGTGAGGTCCTCGGGGATCCTTGCCAAAATCACTAGTCGGTCTGCCAGGTCAAAGGCAGTTTCATCCCGCAAGAAGGCCTTACTTGTGAAGTCTGCTGGGACGCTCGCATCATCTATCAGACGCAGCACGTTGACGTCTACCTTTCTGAGAACGCTTTTTGTTCGGTAAAGAAACCATTCTTCTGATTCTCTCTTATGTTAACATATACCATTAGTGTCAATCTTCAGAACAGCACACTGCCCACTGAGAATCTACGTACATCAACGAATCCTAGACGTTTACGCCAATTGCAAACTGCTGCACGACCATTCCTGCGCATTAATCGTCAACCATTGTTAACCACCACCCCTACAGCCACGATCAAACATATTCACTCTTGTGCATCTCTTCCATCATTTTATTCTCTTCTGCAAGAGCACCGTGGTGTCTTGCATTCTTCACCACAGAAATGTGCCACCTGAGTCGCAAGGCACAACCATTATTTGAAGAATTTGCCCACGACAAAAACTCGAATAGTAGCCCTGTCGCCTTTGTGCAGGTGGATCTCAACGCTTCGTATGGTGCAGCGGCAATTGGAATCGAGTTTGGTATCCGCGCCACCCCAACATTTCTGTTCTTCGTAGGAGGAATGAAGGTTAGGCTTTCCGCGAGCTTCATTCTGATTAACGACTTATCTTACGTCGCAGGTATATGAAATACAAGGATGCGACGTTCAACAACTGCGAATGCAGCTTTCAATGTTTTTACATCCAGGTTTGCTGAATTTGACTTGTTATACATCGCGTCCTAGCTAACACCATTCATCATGCCATAGTTCATCCACACTTATCGTTGTCCTTTCCAGCTTTGGACTTGCTGGGGCTTAAATCCATTCTATTCGATAAGGTTCCTGATCTTGCTGCTGTCTCAGCGAAGCTGAGGAGTTTCCTTGATTCTGCTACAACCTGGTTCCAGCCTTTCGATACCTCCCTATCCAAAGCCGATACCATAGGGATCCTCTTTGGGACCGTGATTCCGTACGTCGAGGCGTTCACCACCTCGCGATGCTTGCCTCCGCACCCTCTTTTTGATCTTTGGCATGACGCCACGACTTCTATGTCGTGGAATATGCCAGAAGACCAACTATTTCCACTGGTAGATCTATGGCGGATAGCACTCCGCAACGAAAAGGTCTCCTCTTGGTGTGCCGATCGTAATGGTCTCGACAGCCCCCCTGTGCTGCTGTTGTCTAAGGCGTGCGAACGGTCTTCAAAAAAGTTTCTATTGACACTCCTTCGTATGCTCTCCAACGCACTCAGCAACAGGGCCTTGGGATGGAAAATTCTCTTATCAGCGCACAACAATCTCGCTGTCCTGCTGGAACATACTTTGGTCCATGAAGATACCAATGTTCGGAAAAGCGCGTCGAGCTTGGCTTTCAATGCCTTTGGCGCGTCTGCAAGAGCTCAGAACAGAGAATCTATGCAAGGGCGACGAAGAAGGAGCTGATCATTTGGAGATGGAAATATCGATGACTCTGCTGAATGCAGAATGGGAAGCGTCGATCGCATGCGCGGTCCTTGCGGCTATCGAACGCGAGAGCGATGGTGACATAGGTACTCTTGGCTGCCCTTCATTCATGTTTGCGATTTTTGATTTAACACTTTCCGACAGTCCACCGCCAGGTCGCGGCATTGGGACTTATTGTGCGTTTTTTCACCCTTCATTGACCACTTGTTGCGACTTCTCGGAGCCTTGCACGCTCAAAGGATCTTAAAGAATAAGTTCAGAGGAAATGGGGGGAATTGGAATATGAAGGAAGCTGCCCGCGTGCTTTTGCAGGAAGTCGCTGATAAATTGTGCCCTCCGAGTATTTCGATTTGAAGCGCGGTTAATGCCAGTATTGATGTTTCTTCTTCAGAAGTCCGCCTGCACTCTATGTTTGGACTGTCACGTTTTATTCGATTTTTCTTAGGCTAGCGTCCTTGGTCTCTATGTACATACCATCGTTCTGTGATACGAGATCGCATGAATGTTTATCACTCAGGTACATCTAGCTAATGCAGAGAAAATACAAGATGCGACAAGACGTCATGCTGTGAGGGCTGTTGTAGGACAATATTGTGTATGGCACCAAACGGAAGTACGATGATGGATGAGCAAGAACAAGAAACAAGTGGGTAACAACGCATGCATGAAGGAAGGATGGTGGACCACTGTACTAATGAAAACCATCAGAAGATTTAGTGGACGTGCAGCAGCTACATGACCAAAAGCGAGTCCAGCACCCAGCCTGTCTTTTAGGAGCATCGGGCTTATCTATTATGGCCAAGGGACCAGTGGCAAGAGGAGGGGGTATCAGCGGCGGCGTTATAGTGGCAACTGCTGGTTGTAGGTTCGATGGCGGCAATGACGGAGCCCCATTGCCAACTTGTGAGGGATCTTGTTGTGGCTGTCCTTGCTGGGTAGCTCGTGTGTTTGGTGGCCGAGTGGTGTGTCTCAGCTTTGGAATAAATGAGTATAGGAATGAAGAAGAGGTTAGAAGAGAACACACCCTATCCTTTTGAGCAGCAGCACGAGGATTAGGTGCGCGACGAGAGAAAAAACCCTAGCCATGGGCGTGGTGAGACGTGTGGTGCGACATCAGCATCCAGCTGTGAGCGGCCTTGCCACGGCGCAGAAGTCGACTGCCATGCTTGACCATGGAGCGTCTGCAGCCAGTCTCGTCCACCCTGGGTCTGCAGCCAATTTTGTCCGCCTTGGGCCTCAAGCCATTCTTTCCCGCTCTGGGTTTGCAACCAGTCTTGACCACTGGAGGCATCCAGCCAGCCCCGGCCCTCTTGAGTCTGCAGCATATCTCTCCCACCCTGGGTCTGCAGCCAGCCTCTCCCGCCCTTGGACCGCAGCCAGTCTCTCCCGCACTGTGTCTGCAGCCAGTCTCTCCCGCACTGTGACCGCAGCCAATCTTGCCCGCTCTGAGTCTGTAACCAGTCTTGCCCGCTCCGGGACTGTAGCCAGCCTCGCCCGCTCCGGATCTGCAGCCAGTCACTCCCGCACTGTGACCGCAGCCAATCTTGCCCGTTCTGAGTTTGTAACCAGTCTTGCCCACTCCGGGACTGCAGCCAGCCTCGCCCGCTCCGGGACTGTAGCCAGCCTCGCCCGCTCCGGATCTGCAGCCAGTCCCACCCGCTCTGGGTCTGCAGCCAATCTTGTCCATCGGAGGCATCCAGCCAGCCTCGTCCGCCTTGAGTTTGAAGCCAGTCTCTTCCGTTCTGGGTCTGTAGCCAGTTTTGCCCGTTGGAGGCATTCAGCCAGTCTCGCCCGCCCTGGGTCTGCAACCAGCCTCTCCCACCCTGGGTCCAGAGCCAGTCTCTCCCGCTCTGGCACTGCAGCCAGCCCCGTGCGCTCTGGGTCTGCAACCAGTCCCGCCCGCCAAGGGTCTGCAACCAGCCTTGCCCGTTCGGATCATTCAGCCAATCTTGCCCGGTCTGAGTCTGCACCCAGTCTTGCCCGGCTTGGGTCTGCAGCCACTCTCTATTTCCTAGCCAGCCTTGCCAGTTCTCAGGCTGCGCCCACTCTTGCCTGCCCTGGGTATTCTGCCACGCTTGCCCAGACCGACTGCCCGGCTGCTCTCCGCTCTGTAGCTGCGATAAAACTTCCATGGAGTTGACTATCGGCGGCATATCGTCATACAACGATTGTCCACCCTGGTTCCCCAGCCACTCTCGCTCACTCGGTAGCAGCGGTATATGTGGCCTAGACATGCTCGACGACGGATCTCCCTTATCCTGGGTCTGCAGCCAATCTTGCCCGCCTGGAAGCTGCAACCAGTCGTGTCCCCCCATGGTTTGCAGCCAGTCTTTCCCGCTCTTTGTCTGCAGCATATCTCGTCCCCCCTGGGTCTGCAGCCAGTCTCTTCCCATTCGAGTCCATAGCCAGTCTCGCCCCCTCGGAGTCTGCAGCCACTCTGACGATACTTCACTGACATCCTCGACTTGCTGCACTGAATGTTGAGTAGCATCAGCCTAGAACGGTAATGAGATCAAAATCAGATAGTTTTTTATAGACGTATCACGTACATCGGACAATGGCTTGTCACCGTCCTGCAGGAGGTGCCATCAGTTCCTTGAACATAGATGCAATGAGAAGAGCTATCAAAACTCACATTTTTCAGGAGGCCGAATTTGCGGGCTGCTCGGGGGCCCGGGGAAGTGTCTCTAATGATTGTCCATGCGTACACATTGTGGTCATGGCAGCCAGTGGCTACTAGCTGTCCATCTGCCGAAAATGACACGCAGGACACTGCATCTGCATGCTTGAGAGGCGAACTGATTGGCTGGCCATCGTCGAGGTTCCACAATCTCGCTGTCTTGTCGTGTGATGCGCTTGCCAAGATGCGATCATATATTGCAATGGCACCAACACCAGCAGAGTGCTCATCCAGACAAATGACCTGCCTCCACGTGGAAGTGTTCCATATCCTAATCCAGTGATCAGCTGATCCGGATATAAGCTCCGCGCCCCAGGCCAGACAGGACACTGTGTCTGTGTGTCCTTTGAGAGTAGTAACCAGCTCCCCTGTCCTGGCATCCCAGACCTTGACCGAGCAGTCTCCAAGTCCAATAGTCGAGGACTCGTCGAATCCAGCAGTTGCAAACATGCTCGTATCTGGCGAATAGACGACTGCCTCCACCCTTGAGTGTCCGGTCTTGATTGGTGCGAGGATAGTCTCTCCGCTCTCCACATTCCATTGCCTTGCAGTACCATCGAGGGATCCGCTCACCACTCGATGTCCATCCCGACACCAGCAGACAGATGTCACAAGCTCTTTGTGTCCAGTCCATTTAACAATAACCTTGCCTGTGTCAACGTTCCACAACCTCACCGCACCATCTTCGCTCCCGCTCGCCAAGTTCTTCCCATCCGGAGACAATGCTATGGTGTGCACATCACTTTCCACATCCCGCCAGTCGTCTCCTATCTGCTCTCCGTTCTCCAAGTTCCATACTCGTAGCGAGCCATCGACCGAACAAGTGATGATCCGCTGTCTGTCGAGTAGGTGTATGGAGACGGGTTTGGTATGTCCTTCAAATTTCTGGCAGGGCATCATTGTTAATGTCTCTGTAGTCTTATTTTTTGATGAAGAGAATTTTGAAGCCGGTTGCAGTCGTGGGGCGATCTTTGGTGTTAGGCTTGTCAAAGGATACAGGAGCGGTCCAAGCGGCGACGCTCTGGGGGTAGGCAAAGCCATGGCGGTTACTTGATATGTTTACTGTTTCAAAATTTGTCCGCTAACTCTAGGTCATCACTCACAGGTGTTTTATCGGCACACTATGAACCAAACAAATGACTCGTACGTGGAGGTTAAACGATGGAAGTTCGAGTTTGTAAGTACGTTATTTAATATTTACTCCTGTTATTATCTTCTTGTCTGCCACTACTAAATGATCAAATCATAAGTGGGCTGTGTAGTGTATCTCGAAGCGCCTAATCTCATTGGTGAGGCCTTGAGGTTCGATCATACAAACATCAGTAATGTGTGTATATTCAAACAATATCTGCTGCACACTATATTAACCACCTCTGAATGTCATAGCTTTATCTCCTAGGACCTACTGCACATGTAGTAGTCCAAGTGGTCTTTCGTAGAGGGCGCTTGAATTATCACACGCAAGTGAAATGATGCAACAACGGGAAGATCCGGGCCATCTGCATCAATTATTCGAAACTTACACATTGACAAGGCAAAGCGTAACTTAGTCAAGTAACGTAATGTCCATGAGACTTGGCCATTCAAGAATTCTTACAGGAGTCGTCCTCGATGATTGTCATTATGCCTGGAGGATATCACATTCGCACGTTCATTGCCTGGTTGAGACTCTCTGTCAGGACGACCGTATTTCGCTCATATACAAGTCTCCTTGCTTTCCTTCTGCGGCTAATCCGAAGCTATCAGGTCTTTGTTGGTGGAAAAGAGAGAACTTTTCGAGAACCGGGTTTAGCGTTCAGCTCTCATCCGGCCGATCAAGAGAAGAAGACCCATGGGACCCTCGCAGTGCCGTTGCTCAAAGCACCTCCGCAAAGTGAATGGCCGAATCCCTTAGCTTCCAATAACCTGTCTCTGCCGACCAAGCCGATCCCTTCTGTGCCATCAACACCAAGCTCGTCCTATCCTGCGACGCCAGGGCAATTCTTTGATATCACTTTAACTCCCATCATGCCCGGACAGATAAAGAGATACGAGAGAAATCAATTGTACGCAAAATATATCTGTCGAGCGCATTACCGTCTTAACAGCCGTTATAAATCATGTCGACAGTCAAGATCACAACAGTGAAGATTTCGAGATTCAGAAAGGTCCTTTGGACTGTTCAGAGTAAGCATGCTGGTGGTAGAGCACTCGATGAGATTGAAAGGGGTCTTCAGGGAGCTCGCTCCAGTGTCAGGATGGGAGCCGCTCACGCACCCAGAAGGCGCTTTGTTTTTCTATCACTCCAGTGATGTATGTCTGGTCGCTCCTACACGACTTTACTCTTATCTCTGTTCAGCGAGTTTTCACTGATGTCGATGTCCGAGACCCTGGAACTGCGGTCACAATGGGTACAATGGGTGAAGTTGTTAAGCAGGCGTACAAAGAAGCCCGCAAGGCAGACACCTTTCATGCGTCCATTGAACTCACTTTGGAGCGCATGGAGGTGGATGGGCAAGAGAAATGGGGCTACTACTTTGCCGATCACGACAGACGTGTCATTTTCTGGCTGGAACCCCACAATCCTAGAGATCTTCTGAATAATGTTCGAGGAGTAAAACGCAAAAGCCATGTCAGTGAGTTTATTCCGTCCGATATTCATCCGAGCTTCTCCCATTGTGTTACTCCCAGGGTATGCACTAGAATCACAGTACTGGTCCGTACGGCCTCAGAAGTATGCATGTTCCCTTACCTGACCGAAGTAAATGTGCTGATAATTTATAATAGTCCTTACCTCCCATTGTTACACATTATCATTATCTCGACAGGATGCACATTGAATTGTTTCCAAACAAACGCTTCCTTCCGGAAGATGTCCTCGTGGGCCTTAAGGAAATTGTTATGTTTACTCAGGCAGGTGGGTAAAGACAAGAAATCATCTGCGACGTGCCGGAATGACTCGTTATAGACAGTATCACTTCTGAAAAATGCCTAGCACCTTATGCTTCGGACGAGGTTTCAAGTATGCTCGATCTTATGGATCCTCTCACGAGTGATTTGTTTCCTGATATGAGAGGTCATCGTTGATCATCTGTTCAGGCAGTGTTGACAAGGAGCATGAGCATTCTGTGTGGATCGTTGGTAAGTCTAAACATGGAAGCTCTGTTAGTCGTTTCTGATACCTTTGCTACTGACTTCAGCTCGGTTTATGGGAGATTTCTGTGAGCTTAGGTTAGTTGCGAATGCAGGCCTTCTGCTAACTACTTAATTAGGTGGCGACAAGTTTGCAAACTTCTGTGGACAGCCGGGCGCCCGACTTGACGCAGACCAGTCGTTATACAACGATACCATTCCCCGCCCGAAAAGCATCCTTTTTCGCGTCATGAATGTCATTCTGTTTGGATCCCCTGATGCTCAAAGCAAGGCCCTTCACAAGATATGGGTCGATTACACCATCGTTCACCGGCGTTGGAAATTTTTTATCAACAGGCTCAATAATGAATGGAACGGATACACGATATTCGTGAGTCGTGCTTTTACTTCATATCGTCAATGCGTTCGACGTCCATCTCAGTCTACCGTGATGCTTGCTGTTGATATCAGTTTTCTGGCCGTTCCACCTGCCCAGAATCAAGCGCCTGCAATCATTGTATTGTATATCTCTATCCTCTGTGCCTTGGGCTCGTTAGTGGTCTCACTAGTCCTGGCTGGACAAGTCAATGACAGCCGGCGGGACTCCGCTAAAGGCGTGGTACGTTTCCTGTTTGTCATTCGTTTGATTTGAGTTGCAATCTTCACTCCCACTAGGCCTCGTTCATGGAAGAAATGTCGCGTTCTACACTCGGCCTCGAGAGCCTTGCCCTCATGCTCAGTCTGCCGTATGCTCTTCTGATTTGGGGGTATGCTTCTGATTGCATAGGAGAGGCGGTGACTTATTCTTTGACAGAATGGCATTCTTTGCTGCAGCGTTGTCCATCGTGATTTACCGCACTTCCGACGTTGTCACCATCTCGATCATCTCTCCAATTTGGACCGCCATCTTTATCCTGTCGACGTGGCCGGTACTAGCTGCTAATAATATTCATGTATCCCACCTGAGTTCCTGGATCGCAGAACAAGTGTTGTATTCCAGATCATGGTGGGTCGCCACCAGGTCTCATTCCTAATTTAATGTAGTACAATTATGTCTGGTGTTTGTTTTATGTGATACCTGTTTTCTTCCTGGATATTAACACGCTGTACACAGCCCTGTGCCTTTACAATGAACGCGATGCTAGCAAGTTGTTCTACTCCTCCATCAGCCACAAAAGTGTCCACTATTGGTATTATATATAGGTACGTTCACGGGTTTCCCTTGTGTTCGCTTGTTGTTATTTTCAGAGTCTGTTTTGCGAATTTCTGGGGTGCTAGCTTCATCCTCAACATCTCTGACGCAAGTGAGGGTTTCGGCCTTGACCTCAAGCCTAGACTCGAGAACAATCTGGTTTATATGACCATCAAGTGGAGAGGCGTTCATAAAAACACGTGTCTCTTGCATTAATGCTTCAAAGGGTAATGCAGGTACGATGAGGGACATGCACAAACTGGAGAAAAGCAACAAGGGTGAACGACGGTTGTACCAAGCGCAACCATCAGACGATTCATTGAAACCGCGGCAGATAATCCAGCAGATACAACGGCGAATGCAATGACAAGTACGATCTTGAGAGCGAATACAGTTTGTTTTGTAGCAGTGGGTGGAGGTGAATTTGACGACGGTGATGGCAATCTTAGTGTCCTTGCTTGGGTGTTCGGTACCGGAGTGTCGATCATACGCTTGAACACACCCCCAACACATCCCAATGTAAATTTAGCGCCTCACCACTTGACCGTGCGGGTCCCCATAGTAGAAGCTCAGATTCGAATATTTTTCATCATACGTGAGCGGTATATAGACAGTATAGACAGTATATATATACAGCCTACTGGACAACGGGGAGAAAATATAAATCCTGTTGTACGTGGGTCAAGACATGAGTGATCCTATGACAATGATGATTCGACAATGGAATGCAGTGTATGAGATGAAGAACAATTGGTGTTGGAATAGTGATGTAGTACCAGATGAAAATGGACGCGAGTAAGAGAGAAGGGACTAGAAGGTGGTAGGCTCATGCACTACTGAATATCAGGAGATCTAGCGGTGGACGCGCAGCAGACACAAGACCAAAAGCGAGTACAGCACCCAGCCTCTCTTATAGAACTGTCAAGGGTACCTGCTACGTCTACGGGAGTGGTAACTGCAGGACGGGGTGCTAGTGGTGAGGTTGTAGTGGCGTCTGCTGCCTGCGGGCGCAATAACAACAACGGCAGTGCCCCGCTTTTGTTTGGGTGTTGTTTCAGCTGTCCTTTGGAGGTAGCTTTAGTGTTCGGTGCCGGAGCGACATATAAACGCTTTGGGTTAAATGAGTATAGGAAGGAAGAGAAGAGAAGATAACAAACCGATTTGCGTTGACCAACAGTACGAGCACTAGGAGCTCGTCGAGAGAAAAACCCTAGCCATGGGCGTGGTGAGAGGTGTGGCGCGACATCAGGATCGGGCCGCGAGCGGCGGAAGAAGGATGAGAAGCGGCGCGAGGTAGAAGATGGCGCCAAGGTGGTAGACTCGTATGTGGAGGAAGTCGGGAGATGATCTAGGGCGGGGACTGAGGTAGCATGGGTAGGTTGATGTGTTGGAGGAAACTGAGACTGAAAATAAGTTAGAAGAAAAATCAACCGAAATGTGGGGCACGCACATCACCGCGATCCGGAGAATCGCCGACAATCTCTGGCGGTACTTGGATGTCATCCTGAATTTGTTGTGCTGGAGGAGCATCAACCTAGAATGTTTAAATGTGATGAGATCAAAATAAGATAGTTTCACAGATGAATCACGTACATCAGACAACAGATTGCCACCATCCTGCGGGGGGTGACACTCAGTTCCTGGAAAGTTACAAAAAAAACATTTCGACTCACAATCGGATCCAACGAAAGGTCACCGAGGTCAGTTTCTCTAATAAGTGCGGAAACATCCCACGTATACGCATTATGGTCATAGCAGCCAGTGGCTAGTGACTGTCCATCTGCTGAGAACGAGACGCAGGCCACTATGTTTGCATGCTTGAGGGGCGAACCGATGGGCTGGCCGTTCTCGAGGTTCCACAATCGCGCTGTTCTATCTGACGATGCACTTGCGAGGATTCGGCCATTCGGAGATATCGCAATAGCACTGACATTGGTCATGTGCGCATCCAGTACTAAGATCTCCCTCCATGACGTGGTACTCCACGTCGTAATCGAGCCATCATCTGATCCGGAGACAAGTGTCTTTCCGTCCACGGTCCAAGCGAGGCATTGCACAAAACTTGTCTGTCCTCTGAGAGTTACGACCAGCTTGCCTGTGTTCACATCTCGAATTTCAATCATGATGAACCTGCCTGATCTAGCAGTCGCAAACATGGTCATGTCTGATGAGTAGACGACTGCGTTCACGTTGGTGCGCTCTGCCTCGATTGGTTTGAGGATGCTCGCCCCGCTCTTCACATCCCATTGTATCACAGTCCCATCGTTGGATCCGCTCGCCACTCGCCGACCATCTCGACTCCAGCAGACAGACGACACTTCCTTTGTGTGACCCGTCCACTTAGCGACGACCTCACCCGTATCAATGTTCCACAACCTCACTATACCGTCCAGACTTCCACTAACCACTTGTGTCCCATCCGGAGACAACGCTATGGTCCACACAGCACCTTTTCCGTCCCGCAAGTCGTCCCCTATCTGTTTCTCGCTCTCCAAATTCCAAACGCGCAGCGAGCCATCCCCTGAACAAGTGATAATTCGATGTCCGTCGAGCAGGTGTACGACGGCCCACACAACTCCACTGTGTCCTACAAAATTCCCGCGGGGCATGATTTGTGATACCTCTTCCGCACTAGCGTAAGGATAAGATATCTTTGATCGGGGTTCCACACTAGTGGGACTGGGTAAAGAAATCTTTGATTGCCGTTCCGCCTTAGCACTGGGCAAAGGGATTTTTGATGTTGGTTTTGTTTCAGTGGCAGGCACAGGCATCGACGGAGATATCTCCATCTGCAATGACGGTTTTGTCTCAGCGGCAGGCAGAGATATCGACTCAGACACCTCTATCTTCGGTGTCTGTTCCACCCCAGCGGTTGGCAAAGACATGGCTATTGTCTTATTTGAGGACTGTCATCTCAAATCTCTTCCGCTCAAGTCCAAGTGATCACTCACAGACAGGTGTTTTATCTAATAATGAACCAGAGGTTGAAAGAAGTGACGGTCACTGGCGTTCGTGGTTAATTCAGAGTTGAGTGCACTGGAAGTTCAAGTTATCCATCAAGTACGCGCGTCGTTTATTCGCCTCGTGGAGTCTGCTTATGGGTACACCCATCTACTAGTACAATACTAGTGTAAGAAGCATTTGAAACACCGCACAGCAACTCTCCATTCCTGTGTAAGGTCACGCATGACCATGTGATGATGATCGATAGCAGTTGCTGATGGGCCTTGTGACTGTGTACTATTCTAATCTATCCACCAGTTCTCTGATGGTACGTCTATGATTGGTTAATTTGCGAGCCTACTTGAAGTACATACGATATTTGTACATTTGTCTATTAGTACTTGTGGCGGCCAGATTGGCTCGATTTATCTTTCATTTTCAGCCACAATTACAAGTTGTGAGTGCAGTAAATTACGCTACTGCGCTACGTTCAACTTGAAGCTTGAAGCATTACTTCTTTCAATCGTTCTCTCTCATACAAGGCTAATTCTATATTTTTTACGTCCGAGACATGTCGGTCGCACCCCAGATTTCAGTCCGCCTTGCCATCGTACGGTCAACATCTCGCACAGTATCAAAATCAGTGGTCAAGCAGCTTATCACTTGTTTCCTCCCTAGGCATTCACAGTCTTAAAACATAAGCCGAAGGACCAGTCCATCCCAAGTCGGTCGTTTCACGTTGCCGTCACATCTGAGGCTCATTCACAGACTTCTATGACGCTCCGCAGGTTATCTCCTCGACCTTCAGTCTCACTTTCCTGTATCCGACGATAGCCAGGCAACGTCTGATGAGGGTGCGTGGAGAAATCATGCGCTTTCACTCGAAAGAGAACTTGAGTCCTTGATGCAGAAGCGGGAAGACGATGAAGCAGGTATGTTTGAGTTTTCAAATGCCAATCCCTCTGCAAGCCTTACTAACATCTTTTGTAGAACTTGTTCGTTTGCGGCAAAACGCGACAAAGGATATACCAGACGATTTGGACACTGCTCCCCAAAAGAAGAAAACGAAGAAGGCTGGTAAAGCTCAAGAGCTTCAACTTCAGGACGATGATTGGCCTGCAAAATGGAAAGGTCTGAATTTCATATACTCGCCTCGTTTTCCTTGACTCATGACTCGGGGAAGAACGCCTCAATGCGACAGGCCAATCATCGACATCCCTCACCGCAGCATTCGCCTCCCTCCGAAGTGTTCTCAACTCAGCAAGTTCGCAGACAGGTGACGACCCACCACACAACTCGGGCCTGCTAGCTGCGATCACACGCACAATTGACACCATCGGTAAATTCCTAGGCCTCCAAAATATCTCGACGTCTTCTGTTCCATCAGAACTCAACGAGTTGAGAATCGCAATGGCCTCCCCACTCCTGGTGTACGTCTTGCGCGTCGCTCTTCCAGCCCTCTTCTACCAAAACATCAGCAATTTCCAGCAGTATCGCTGTATCCCGCCTCATCGACACCCTATTCGTCCCCGTTGTCTGCAGCTTCACTCTCGTATCCCGGGCATACGTCATGCACCATCTAGGACGCAAGCTTGGCTAGGAAGACGTCGAAAAGCCGCAAAGGAAACGAGAATGTCCGAAACGTCCAAGCCAGACACTCGTTCCTGACGTTCGTATGGACCTCTTGACTCTTCTCGACGAGGCGCTGAGTACGTTAGACTCAATATCACCCCGCTACTCTGGGTATACAGCTGGCATCAGGGAGCGCATAGCATTAGAGTCGATTCGGGCGCTGGAGTCATCCGTACTCTACAGGAACTACTGTCGGTGCCGACGGGACTACGGACAGCAACACAACTCCGGAGGAAGCGTCTCGTGGTCCAGAATTATCGCAGGCGTCGCATTCACACAGGCGGAGAACTGTGCTCAATAGAAAGGATAGGCTCGAGGCTCTGGCGCGGAAAGACGCGACATGGTATTTATGCCACATACTCAACTCTTGCGTGAGCACAGGCGGACCGAAAGACGGGCTTGAATCTATGCTCAACGGTGCTCTTTTGGATGGCGCTGCAAGAATTGTGAAGATGTGCATCTCGATGGACTGTGGCGGTGTCGCGCGAGTTGGAACGAGTTGCGTCATGGATGTGATGTGTCGAAATATGGTCTTGGCCGCTTGTGAAAAGATAATCAGTGCCCTACCTCAAGAGAACCCTGGGCTGTAACGTATTATAGATTTCCACAGGCCCTTACCTGTGTTGATATTTTACAGCATGTGGACGCAGGAATCTGTTTCCCAGAGTGGTCACCTCGTGAAGTTCTAGTGCGGCTGTCCAGCTGTGATGGGTACTACCTCCAAGCAACTTCGGTGAAGGAAGATGTGGTCTCAATAATTGCAATTCAGTCCATCGGTCTCAATCTACCGCATTTTGTAATTGCTTCATTTCCCACTGGATCCTTGGTCAAACCTCACTCAGCCGGGCTCTCCTGAATGCTACTCCAGAACCCTGTTAGCAGTTGTCGTTCAGCATTTGAACACTCCTGCACCTGCATTGTTCCCAGCATTCATACATTTTACTTGTTGACGCATTGGCTAGTCGCAATTATTTTAGTCAGTCGAGTCACGCACTGCATCTTGCCGATGGAGGCATTCCCTGTAGGAATTTTACAGCGTATCCATATCTTCACCTTCTCCCAGTATAAGACATTATTCAAAATAGAACCTATCAATTCGGAATCGTATGTTCCAGTGGCTCATCTCGATCGCTTGGCGGCATACGGCAGCTGGAAGAGAAGAACGAAGTGCGCTGCAGGAAATTTTCACTATTCGTTTGTTCTTACACCATCGTTGATCTGATGCGTCATGTGCTTGCAGGCAGAAGACAATTCAGAGAGGTCCGAATGCTAATAGCTCCAACATTATCATGGCCAGGTAGCAAATAAACATGGCGAGCTATGAGGGACATAGTTCGAAACGAAGCCGATTAGATTGGCGCTAGCATATAGGCAACGCAACTTGTTGCTATACTAATTTATCCTCCGATCCAACAATAGACATCGAGGATGCACGAACTCGCTTCATATCGGACACTCGTCTTGTCTGGTGATCGAGAACTAACTAATCAGCACTTCGGCTGCGTAGCCTATACTGTATACAAGCTGTGAGGTGAACACGAGGATAAAGTACGTAAAACGTACCAGAAAGCGGTGAACTCGACTCTGATTTGACCCAAACAGTCATTGCTCCCTACTGCCCTCCCGTCGCTGCTGTCCTTGTAAGTAATAAATTTGGAATTGATTGATGAAATCTGAGACGGCGCTGCACTAGGTCACGGTAGTAGGAAGTCTGGAGCATGTCTTCACCCGCCACCAAAACGAAAGAAACATCAGCAATAACGCCTCGCCAGAAATTCGAAGAACACATCGATCGGGTCTGGGGGTTCATACACTTCCCAGACAGACAGCAGATCATCACTTGTTCATGGGATAGCTCGCTACGAAACTGGACCTTGGAAACCGGCCAACAGATAGGAGAAGACTGGCGGCACGGAGAAAGTGAAGTGCGCAGGATAGCGCTGTCTCCGGGCGGGACAAAACTGGTTAGCGGGAGTAAGCATTGCGCATTGAGGTTGTGGGACGTTTACACATGCAAGGTCATTGCTCAATGGACGGGTCACACAGAGCTTATGTCCTCTCTGTGTGGAGTCGGGATGGCCGACAAGTGATGAGCGGATCTGACGATAGAACTGCAAGGCAATGGGATGTGGAGAATGGAGGGACCATCCTCGCACCCACCTATCGAAACTGGGAACACTGACGTGTACGCAGTCGTCTACCCGCCAGACATGACCTTGATTGCGACCGGTGAACGTGACGAGTCCGGATCCGATGCAAACTCAGTCAGAATCTGGGATGCACAGACAGGCGAACTTGTCGCAACTCTCAAAAGACAGTTTCGTGCACTGCCTAGCTTGGACCGGGGATGGAAAGACACTCGTTTCCGAGCCAGACGATAGTTCCATTAGGATGTACATGGAGTATCACAATGTGTAAGGAGATCGCGATGCTAGATGAGGATACTTCCCCTGTCTATACCATTGCAATATCTCCAAATGGTCGTATCCTCGCAAGTGGATCGTTGGACAATACAACGCGATTGTGGAGCCTCAAAAACGACCAGTTCATCAGTTCGCCCCTCAAGCTTGAGGATACTGTGATCATGTGAGCTGCGTATCGTTTTCCGCGGACGAAAAACTACCGGGGACTGGCTGCAATGACAAAAACGCATACATATGGGATATGGCTGCGATGTTAGAGAAGCTGGCCACGACGACCTTCTGTGAGATCCAAAGGTGAGTTTAAACTCATCCATTTCATGAGTGTCTAAGAACTGAATTTGCCCTTACAGGATGAGAAGTTGTTTGCTCAATGTATGTAGCACGTTTATAAAACCTTCTCATTTTGCTTGAATATATATTTTCTAGGATGATGCTATACAACGTCCGGTCCAGCAACGCCAGGATGCCCATCAGGTATGGGGCCAGAGGTTTTTTTGATGGAGGTCCAACCAGATCGTTCTCATGTATGACATTAGTATTACAGTATTACTCTGACTTCCGTGGTCTCAATTCACTGCACGAAGCTGCCCCCTCTCATCAGCACTGCAAGGAAGCACATTTCTTGGCCGCTTATTCCACCGCAACCCCTCCGATGCCCACCATACGTCATCATCTCTCCTCTCGACTGGACTCGAAACCTATTCACACGACGCAGATGAAAGCACCGAATCGCATAGGCGTGGACCAACAATCGTCGAGGTCCCGTGTGCCCCGGGCAAATGCGTATGTTTTTTTTCGCAGTTCAGCTCCACCTAATATTACGCTTCAGCAAAGGAATAACGGAAGCGAATCCAATTGCCCTCGAAGATCTTTACTGTGAGCAGCTCACGGTAATCATTAAGATCCTCGGCAATTTCTCTCATACTTTCTCTAGTTTAGTTTGGATTTACATATTTTCCATTGTTGTCTTCTCCCCACTCACTCTGCTACTCTGCTACATAACAGATGTTTTCGAACCATTCTTGTGTACGATACCGCACGCCTTTCAGAGCTTCATCTCCCATCACTGGCTGGCCACCGTATCATAATCAATCTTCATGACAGAATATCATGGAGGCTACAGGTTGAACGTCGAACGTTGATTGTCGATACAAGATCCCAAAATTGTGTTGTGACATACAGTTGTCTATGCCATAATGTATACGCCCTTAGTGTATGTTTTCAATACTGTATCGAGTTTTCAATGGTCCCACTGTGGGACAGTGAGAAAATCGATGCATAATGTATATTGTATAATGTATTGACCTCGCATGCCTATTATACATTATCAGACGGCACTTTTGGTGGTGGGGACCATTGTCAGTGCCAGCTATTGTCCACACATCGTATGAAAACCCCATGTACGCATTTTTGGTAAACCACTATCCTTAGACGAGCTGCTCGAGCCGGCTGAGGAAAAACAAATCGGGGATTCCCTTGGGTTCGATTTGAATGGTGGGGACATGGCCATTGTTGTTGCAGTCAGTCGAGAGATCGCTGAGAAACAGGGTGAGGTGATTGAAGCTGATTCTGATGACGACTCGGAAGAAGATCATGATGCGGCCCCAGAGGTTTCCCGTGTAGAAGCACTAGCGCTATGTCAGCGGCTCGAAGGAGCATGCCTTCAGCATGGACATTCTCAGGACTCAACACACACACACTTGATTTGTTAAAGCAAATCCGTCGTTTCCGTGCCCAATCACAACGCGAGGAGCTACTCCATGCGAGGCAGACGACGTTAGATTCGTTTTTTAAGTAGATATGTACTCTAGCATCTTTGAATTTCGACGCTGTTGAGCGGTGTCACATGTGTTCATCACATTTAGTCACAATGCGTGACATCGGTCCTTCTGTATAACTTTGATAATGTATAGGTGTGAGGTGGGTCCCGACGTTATATATACGTTATGGGATAGACAACTGTACAATGATAGCGGTATATATCGTGCACGCAAGGCATTTACGTAATTTCCGTACTAGGTGAAGCTTATCCGAGGTTTTATTCTTTTTTATCTCCACATTTTTCTTGTAGTGTTTCGATACTAGTACAAAATTTAACCATCGAGCAAGTCAACTGCAAGATTACTTGCGACATGTACCCGCACCACTAATGACATCACCACAGTGTCTTTCACCTTCACACATCGCAATCTCCTTCCTTTTCACTCTCAGTATCTGTCCGCATTGAACTTCATGAACTTGCGCCAATTTTTTTTTGTTTAACAGATCCATTCAAATGAAAGAGGTCACTCGGCAAATATCGCTACTCAGCTCACCAAATTGGTGATTCCCCGACAATGCCCATGTGGAAGCGGTCAGCAGATATACGAAGATTGTTGCGATGCTCTATTTCGTATTGCTTTAAATAACTTTCTTATTTGTTCATGGGTTCTCTGATGATAAGCCAGGCCTGCCAGCTGACGTCAAGTACTACTAAGGGCACACATCATGATCGCAATCTAGACAGACAGTACACACAACTCGTGTTTTCCTGCAACCAGCTCCATTAATCATCCTTCAAAACTGTATTCCACTGGACCGCTACCATACGGCTCTCCATAGCACCAGTACTGGTACTGATTGAGGACGCCTCTCTTGCTACTCATCACCGCTCACTGGACAGCCTCACGGCGCCTCCCACCAAAACATCATTTCACGACTCAAGCTTCCGTTTCACATTTTACTCCGGCCTCAGATCCCAATCTTCGTATGTTTTCACTCAGGATAGCCGTCACACGTATGATTTTCTTACCACACTGTTGAACTCAACTAGTCCCACTTCCCCGAGTTTGTATCACAGTTTATCAATTTGTGTCAATGAGTTATTGGGATCAATGTCAGTATTTTTTTCTATCGACATTGTATCTTCCGCTCTCTGATCTCATTGTCAGTTCCTGGTGATCATCGGTCGTTATTTGAAGGGACCTGGGAGAGACTGAACCAGGTCGCTGTCAAGGGTGCCGAGTACAACTCTCCTGAGCGTCAACCCCATTCGAAGTGTTTAGAAAGGACTCGAGTGGATTTTCTCAATGTCATCTACGGATTATTGGACGACCGAGAGAAGAACCGATTCATCTGGCTACATGGCATGGCGGGTGTCGGCAAGTCTGCTATTGCGTTCACTGTAGCTGAAAGGATGAGGAATCTGAAAGTGGCCGAAGGGACCAAGGAAAAGCGACTTGTAGGGACGTTCTTTTTCTCGCGCAAGCGCACCAAACGCTGCACAACTGGTTATTTTTTTGCAACGCTGGCCTACCAGCTCGCCAGCAATTTCCCCAGTGTCCGGGAGGACGTGAACAACGCTATCAGACATAATCCTGCCCTTCTAGACCCCGATAAATCCGTTATCGACCAGATGGAAGCGCTCTTTCTCCAACCTCTCCGCAGGCTTCGGTTCAGACTACTCGAGGCTCCGCCTTTGGTGTTTGTCGTTGATGCCATTGACGAATGCACGTCCGAACCCGATCTGGTTGATCTTATCTCTCTACTTGGCCGAGCTCTTCGTGAACCTGATCTGCCCGTCACCCACATTCTACTCACGAGTCGCTCGGAAGACCATATTCGTAAAGCCATCCAAACAGAAGAGATTCGCCCCCTGTTACGCGAGATACCAGTGAATACTTCTGGGGAGGGAGTTGTTGCCACCATCCCGTTAGACGGTGCAGATGTTGAAAATGACATTTATATTTTCTTGCAATATTCCTTTAGAGAGCTGGAAAGTCGCCATCCCAAATTCCCACAGCCCTCAAAGGACCAACTTACGAAGCTGGCAAGCCGAGCGGGGGGACGTTTTATCGTGGCATCTACAATGATGAAGTTTATTGATGATCGAGACAGTGATCCCTGTGACCGACTCCAGCTCGCGCTTGAGCTAACGAGCGAACTGTTACCAGGAACGGAGGTGTACAAGTTATACGACCTTATTCTCTCCACGTGCGCCAAACCCGAACAGGCATATATGCATCTGTCCGTTGTTGCTTCCCTTACAGACCCTCTGCCGCTCTCCCAAATCTCAGAACTTCTTGGGCCAGGTCAGGGCAGGGATGTCGAGGCAGCGCTCGTGCAGCTACGGTCTATCATTGATATTCCCACCGACAGCAGTCTCCCCGTGAATATCTATCACTCGTCCGTTCATGACTATGTTTCCAACCCCTCGAACTGCGGCCTCCTTCAAGTACAACATGTCACGCCACCTCACTCCCTACTCGCTCATTCCACATTACACTTGATAACGCAAGAAATTTCGAAAAGTGCGGCCCTCTTGGATGCAATCTTAGAATTGAAGAGGCACAGTCAAGCTATGCAACCTCACGACCCACGAAACTTAAAACACTCATTGGCCTTCATGGTTCAGCCACCAGAGCCACTGCAAGTTCTTATGGGTTTGCTATGGCTTAGGGGAGACCGCAGTTCAGATTTACAATTTTGGCTAGAGACCCTCGATGGGTGTGCCTGGTTGCAGACTCGAGACGGGCAAGACTGGTTGCGGATCCGGATAGGGCGAGAGTGGTCGCAAACCCCGGGCGTGCGAGAGTGGCTGCAGACCCACAGTGGGCGAGAGTGGCTAGTTACCCCGCGTGGGCGAGAGTGGCTGAGGACGCAGAGGGGGAGAGATTGGCTGGAGGCCCAAGGCGGGCGAGAGTGGCTGCCGACATATGGCGGGCAAGATTGGCTGAAGAAACAGGACGGGCCCCACTGGCTGCAGACACAGGGTGGGCAAGAGTGGCTGCAGACCCTTGGTGGGCGGAAGTGGTTACAGACCGAGTACCAGGGACAAGACTGGTTGCAAAACCAGGACGGGCAAGATTGGCTGCAGACCCTCGGCGGGCGAGACTGGCTGCAAACCCGCGATGGGCGAGACTGGCTGAAGACCCTTGGTGGGCGAGACTGGTTGCAGGACTGGAGCGAGAGGGAGCGGCCGCATATCCCAGTTTTAGGAGACCAGCTGCAGACACCGGGCGGGCGAGTCTGGCTACGGACCCGCGGTGGGCGAGTCTGGCTGCAGACTCTCAGTGGGCGAGACTGGCTGCAGACTCAGGGTGGGCAAAGCTGGCTGCATAGCCAGGACGGATGGGAGTGGAAGACACGGTGCATGCAAGCCTGGTTGCAGACTCCGGGCAGGCAAGTCTGGTTGCAGATGTGGAGTTGGCGAAACTGGTTGCAGAGCGAGACTGGGCGAGACTGGCTGGAAACTCTGGTTGGGCAAGAATGGTTGGAAACACCATATGGGCAAGACTGGCTCCAGACACAGGACGGAAAAGGCTGGGTGCAGACCTGGAGCGGACGAGACTGGCTCCACACACAGGGCAGGCTATACAGGCTGCAAGCGAAGGGTAGGCACGACTATCTGCAGACCTGGCCATCCTCCCCGTCACTCTCCCAGCCCCCCTCCCAACCATCTTCTCTGCCATCCCCGCCATCTTCTCTGCCATCCCCGCCATCTTCTCTGCCATCCCCGCCATCCTCCCCGCCATCCTCCCAACCCTCCTCCCAGCCCTCCTCCCCGTCATCCTCCAGGCTATCTTTCACCACTGGAGGTCAGTTGCAGATCTCGATTGGGGCAGGTTGGTTCGAGACTCCGAGCGGGCAAGATTGGCTCCAGACTCTGAATGAGCAAAAATGGATCCAGATTCCAGATCTAGAAAATACAAGTGACCTAGTGGCATGGCTCAAGACCCCTGATGGGAAAGATTGGCTCGAGACTCCGCCTGGAGAAGACTGGCTGCAGACCCCCGGTGGGAAAGACTGGTTACAGACCCAGGGCGGGAGAGATTGGTTGCAGACCCCGGCTGGGGAAGACTGGCTAGAGACCCCAACTGGGGAGGACTGGCTACAGACCCCGGGCGGGCGAGACTGGCTACAGAACCAGGGTGGACGACACTGGCTGCCGACCCAGCGCGGGAGAGACTGGTTGCAGATTCAGGGCGGGCGAGATTGGTTGCAGACCCAGGGCGGACGAGAGTGGCTGCAAACGCCACATGGTCAAGCATGGCGGATGACGACGGTCTGGGTGACGATGGAAGAATTCTCGAGCACATTGGAAGCAATCAGCAAGCACATCGATATGCCACATCTACCTCTACAACCTGCTTTTCAAGCAGTTCAACAGTTCAATAGCTTGCCTGATTTCCTGATGCTCCCGGTATTTCTGGCATTAAGGCACCAGGACCCATCCACGTCTGCATTACCAGATGACCGTTTTCCACCAGACATAGAGGTCGTGCGTGCTATCAAGGCCTTTTCTAGATTCGCAAACGAAGCGCGCCAACAAAGTCAATCAGCCTCCGATGCTCTCAAGTACGCGTGTCAAAACTGGGCTGTCCATCTCTCGCGAGCTCGGAATCCATGGGACGATAGGCTCGCCTGTATATTTAAGTCTTTCTGGGATGGCTATCTCCTCTCCTGGCTTGAAAGGCAGTGGTGTTTGAAAGACCTGCGGTCTTGTCTCACAATTTTGTCCGAAGGGGAGACACTTGCAAATGTATGATTGCTTCCAATGATTTTCGTGACTCAGAACCTGACCTGCACATACGCATACAGCAATATGCCCTTGAAGCTCCAGGTTCATCATCTCTGTTGCGAATCTGATGCTGTCGACTTTATAATACAGGATGCCAGTGTCTTAGTCTTCCCAGCCAGACCTATAGACTCGGAAGAACGACAATCGAATAACATTGTCTTGTTATCGCACGTTGAAATATTTAAATATTTTTACGCTGCCTAAGGTGACGACACTCGGCCATTGGGTGGCCCACATAAAGGTGTTAACCATGATCCCATCCAACTCGAAAGAAACATATATACATCTATGCATAGCTGTCAGTTTTCGCGGTAGCAAGCAATGAGGCTATAATATTTGGGCTCAAACCCGAAGGGTTTTGCGACGTTTCGAATCTGTGGAAAAAGTCCAGGATGCGCCATGAGTGCGGGTGGGCCACAGCAGCTCACAATGCAGAATTGAAAAATCCTGCCAGGGAAACGAGACGTCGGCTGCTATAAGGGAGCGAAGGGCGGGTGCGACGAAACGAGAGTGTAGTCGAGTGGTAGAAGATTTGTGGTAGTGTGACGAAGTGAGAAATCCGAAAAGCTGTGTCGCCGCATAGACGAGTCCGCATGTACTTGGTTGCATCCAAGATTCTAAGGGGCTTGATCTCCATTTTTCAATCGCCATGTGCGATTCCCGCCTTGCTTCTTTGCCACCATTTGACGTCTGACCCCATGGTGAGCGCTTGCTATGATTTGGTGTTCGACGCAAGTTGTATACTTGATGCGGCATATGAACTCAACTGAGTTTAAACTTGGGGTGTGCTTATGTAATGGGATAATCTCTATCCTTTGCCAATGAGCATACGAGCACCACGGAAAGGCGAAAACTATGAGCTCAGCGTGGATCTCAACAGCGAGTACCGCGATAAACGAAAAGATGCGATCAAGCGGGTCATAGCATCTATGACCGTCGGCAAAGGTGCCGCACTTTCTCGCTCGATCTGCCCGCTGCGCTTAACATATCCCTAGACGTCAGCGGCCTGTTCCCCGATGTCCTCAAGAATATGCAGACAGATGACCTCGAACAGAAGAAGCTCGTGTATCTATATCTTATGAACTATGCAAAGACACAGCCAGAACTCGTCATATTGGCCGTGAACACCTTCGTCAAGGACTCCGAAGATCCTAATCCTCTCGTACGCGCATTGGCGATTCGAACCATGGGGTGTCTGCGTGCAGAGAAGATTATAGACTATCTCTGCGACCCTCTTCAACGCGCCTTGCGAGATGACAATCCGTATGTTCGAAAGACTGCTGCGCTTTGCGTTGCAAAGCTGTATGATCTCAAACCCGAGCTTGTCATCGAGAATGGTTTCTTGGATCGGCTTCGTGATATGATTTCGGATAGCAACCCTATGGTAATGTATATCTTTCTGTCTCACCGAGCAGGCTTCATATCTGCGTTTAGGTCGTGGCAAACACAGTTGCGGCGCTCACAGACATCCACATCTCAGCAACCTCCAATCAACCATCTGACTCTACTTCCGATCCCGCTGTATTCTCCATCACCTCCACTATACTGAACAAACTACTCATCGCCCTCAACGAGTGTTCAGAATGGGGTCGAGTCGCAATCTTGAATGCTCTGGCACGGTATGACGCACAAGACGATAAAGAGAGTGAGCACATCTGCGAGCGCGTCGTACCTCAATTCCAGCACGTAAATGGTAGTGTCGTTCTTGCCGCAATGAAGGTACACAGTGTCGCTCATCCGGCCCTTGTCATGACTTGACCTTCGCATCTCAAGGTCATCATGATCCACATACGCAACGTTCGACGAGACGATCTCGTTAAGCAGTTGATCCGCAAGATGGCACCACCACTAGTCACCCTGCTATCGTCACCGCCCGAGGTACAGTGGGTCGCGCTGCGGAATATCAACCTTCTCCTTCAAAAACGATCCGACCTCCTTTCGAACGAAATGAGGGTATTTTTCTGTAAATACAATGACCCGTTGTACGTCAAGATCGAGAAGCTTGATATCATGGTCCGACTGGCCAGTGATAGCAACGTGGATGCCTTGTTGAGCGAGCTGAAAGAGTGAGCCACCCTAATTTCTGTAGTTTGCATCGCTGACCGTGTTGGTCAGATATTCGTCAGAAGTTGACGTTGATTTTGTCCGGAAGAGCATCAAAGCCATTGGCCAGACAGCGATTTTGATTGAGAGCGCAGCGGAACGTTGTGTGAACGTACTGTTGGAGCTCATTAACACTCGCGTTAGCTATGTGGTCCAAGAAGCCGTAGTCGTCATGAAGGTGCGCAGTGATGTGTAGTTTCTTATAGCCTTCGTAATGATGTGCCTTTTAGGACATCTTCAGGAAGTACCCCTCTACATACGAAGGTGTAATTCCTACACTCTGCGCTAATTTGGAGGAGCTGGATGAGCCAGAAGCGAAAACGTCCTTGATTTGGATAATTGGCGAGTATGCCGACAAGATCGACAACGCGGATGAACTGTTGGGGATATTTGTGGACTCTTTCATCGAGGAGTCGTACCAGGTATTTGACTTCAGCGTTATCTTATGCTTTTGCCACAAGTCCTGATCTTGCGCAACAGGTTCAGCTTCAAACGTTAACTGCAGTAGTTAAACTGTTCTTGAAGAAACCTGACTCGTCCCAAGGAGTCGTTCAGCGTGTGCTGAATACAGCAACGAAGGATTGCGATTCACCAGATGTGAGGGACCGCGCCTACATATATTGGAGACTTTTGTCAACAGACCCTGGCGCAGCGAAGGTGTGAACGATTTCTGAGTCTTAGTCAATGGTACTAATCAACTTAACCTAGGCTGTTGTCCTTGCCCATCGGCCACCAATATCTATCCCGAGAACAACAGTTTCACCCGCGTTGCTTGAAGAGCTCCTTGGCGAGATATCATCATTAGCAAGTGTTTACCACAAACCTGCTCAAACCTTTGTTGGTCATGGACGGGTTGGTGCTGACTCAGTGCAACGCATAGGATCAGAGTGAGTGCCCACTAGCCAGTTTTGTCTGTTTCTACTGAGTTGACGACTCTCATTGTGTAATTATAGAATCTCAGATGCTCAGAAAGCCCTCCAGACGGTTGTTGCTGGCCAACAAGCAGAGAATCTTCTCGACTTTGGTGATGATTCTGCTCAGGATGGGCAGCCTTCTGGACTCGCTGCCACTCAAATACTTCCTTCGACACCCGCTGCAGCAAATTTCCTGTCGGGCACTTCCACGAATCCACTAGACGACCTCGTGTCAATCTTCGGTGGTATGGAAACTATGGAGACGGGTGCAGGATCAATGTCAACGGCGCTATCGCCGACGACGACATCCATGTCCTCACCTTTTGAGGGTTTCGGAGAGTCGCCAGCGCTATCCTCCCAGCCGGCTCAGAATGCGCAGCCCCAGGAGGATTTGTTAGGGTTGTTCTAACGTACTTGGCATCACCATGCGCATGTACATATGATATTTACTCGGTGGCATTAGCAGCTTTCCACGTATGGTACACATACATGTCTGGTCGATATTTTCTGTTTGAGGAATGAATGGACAATTCATACGTATTACGAGGCGTTCGTGGGATGCAGTCAAGCACGGAGTCTGAAATTGTGTTGCCCTTCTGCTTCTGAGTTGTAAGTTTTCTCACCCTGTCTCAGCCTTTACGACTGTGATCCTGACCCTCTATCGGTTTCGAGATCAATCGATCATGATCCAGACGGGTAATGTCAAGCTTCAACGAATGATTTCGAGTCTATCTGTGTCCTGTCAAATTGGTGATGTGCCACCAGTGGGGCTGTGTAGCACCTTCGTTTCGACCTTGTGTTATTTGCACGTGGTGGATTATAAGGAACTGAGGAACATCGACCATTACGAAGATGGATTGCGCGTTGCATACGGTCCCCAAGCGCCGACTGCCCACAACTTGTCCCAGTGCCATGTGTCGTAGCGGATGGCACATCGGGCGGATCATGACTCTGAGTCGAGCGCTTAGTGAACTGAGTCGCCCATTCTGCCATTCGCCAACTTCTCTTGCGTCGCTCCCAGCAGGTCCTTGACCCTTCCGCATCTATTTTTTCCAATTTGTATTTGTTTCCTTCCTCGATCACTTTTTATCCCCATTCATTCCAATTTACCCTTTTTGCTTCTGGGTGAGTTTTTTCTTTACGACCCTACCTGTGGCAATGTTAATTGCTAAGATTAGCTGCTGCATGCCTTTGGCATGGAAAGCTATGTTTATGGACATGCGGTACCAGATACCGCAGGCAGGTGGGTATTTGTTGGAATGTCTATCAAATTGATTTAGGTTGCTCTGTGCCCTCCTTGCGCATTTTTTGCACGCTGGCCTGAGGAGCCAAACGAGCCTGCCCTCGCAGCTTCAAGTATAAGGAGGATCTATTTAATCTCTGCCGATCTGACTTGATATAAGAGCCTATACCTGTAAGTTCATCCGTCCTCCCTTGCAGGTCCAGACGTAGACGCCAAACGTGAAAGGCCTTTTGCTCGGTCACGATGCTGAGGTCCCTCCAAATCTTTGGTTCCCTGGCGCTGCTGCAGGCAGTTGCGTCGCAGCAGATTGGGGATATCGTGAGTTGACATATTCTTGTGCTGTTGTGTAGTGGATTCACATCTGTGTGCAGTGGCAAACCACATGGGATAAGAACATGCTATTCACTTATTTCCAGCCCACGCCGGACCCCATTAACTTCGTTACTCCTGGCGCTATCGGGAGCGCGGATATCGTTATCGATGATTCCTCAGTATATCAAACCGTGTATGGTTTCGGAGCATCGTTGAGTAAGCTTTGCGGTCGCTTCTCTGGACCGAGTGTTAATGATGTTGTCCCAGCCGATTCTTCTGCTGAGTTGTTGAACAACTTGAAGGCATGACGCGTGTTCCGCTCGCTGTGTGTAGTGCACTGATAGTGTTCATCAGGTACAGAATCCTGGAAGTTATTGGCAGCTCATGGATTATTTATTTAATGGTGAGTTGCTTGCCTTCAGACGAGCGATGTACTAACTTCTTTGTCATCAGCTACGGATGGTGCTAACTCGGCCGGGCTCTCCTATATCCGCGTCCCACTCGGGGCCACAGACTTTTCTGCAAATAGTTTGTCTGCTCCACAGTCGATGAAATAAGTGACGAACAGGGTTATAGCCTACAGTTATGACGACATCAGTGGAGACACTTCGCTGAACGACTTTAACATCGATGCTGCACCATTTGACGTTTTCTCGGTTCTTCAAGACATTCTATCTATCAATCATATAGCCAGGTTCCACATCGTGCCTTGGTCGCCGGTATGCAGACTTTTTGGTGTACCCATCAATCACTCAATGTTGTCGCCTAGCCTGGTTGGATGAAGAGCGGGGGGACTATGCACGGAGGTTCACTAAATACTCGATACATTAACACGAGTGAGCCATCTGGGTACACTTCCTTCATAGATGCGCGGCTGACAATAATTGCAGTGGCAAACTACCTCTTGAAGAGCGTGCAGGCATTCTCAGACAAAGGGGTTCCCATTTACGCAATCGGTATCCAGGTACGCTCATTACGGTCAACTTATTCCCTGGTATGACCGTCCCACTAGAATGAGCCGGAAAACAGCGACACCACATACCCTACTTGCGACATGCCGGTGGCAACTGAGGCACAGATTGGGCTGGCTCTGCGCACGCTGTTGAACAATGATGGCTTTTCGGGTGTCAAGATCATTGGCTACGAACACAATTGGGTGGACGCTGCCAACTACCCGGTCCAACTGGTACGCGATCCCCCTAGGCTGATTTGTCTACGATACTGAGACGTTGGTAGATGCAACAAGCCGGAAGTGCCTTCGATGGGGTGTCTTTCCATTGTTATCAGGGTTCCGTCAGTGACCAGGCCTCGTTCACGTCTCAGTATCCGAACAAGGTATTTTATTTTGGGCTTTTCGTCAAATTTTCCCTCAGTGAGTCGTTTAGGAAGTGTACTTCACGGAGTGTTCGGGAACCCTTGGCAGTGACTGGTGGAGCGATATCAAGGTATTCATTAACAATCTATTTTGCGTCAGAGGAAATGAACTGACCCCGTTACTAGTGGTACATGGACAATATGTATGTGGCCAGTTCCTGAACTTGGTTATCCTCTGATCTTGCATGACACTTTCAAGCTTCATTGGCAGCATCTCATACGGCTCCTCCTCTGGATTGATGTGGAATCTCGCACTCAATGGAAGTGGCCAGCCATCACTTCCAGGTACAGACAGCTGTGGTGGTGGATGCCGTGGTGTAGTCCAAGTCAACAGCAATGGGACCTGGAATGTAAACCAAGAATTTTACTCCATGGCTCAAGCGTCCAAAGCCATTCTTCCTTGCGACGTCGGCGGTCCATGGGGCCAGCGAATTGGCGTGAGCGTCGGTGGTTCGCTTGACTGGGCTCTTGTGGTCGGCGCCTACAAGACAGGCAGGGTCTTGTCGAGTGACTTGAACAGGTACAGCATCGTCGTACTGAACTGGTAGGGATTCTGAGATTCCAACTGCATGACAAGATATTTATCCTTCTTCAGGGATGACAGCGCGTCCACCAGTGGGAATCCTCAGTCTGTGAAAGCCACTATCGAGTTTAGGGGTATGCAGGTGCGTGAACATTCGAAATATTCGTGGACAAAATTCCCTTATCATCATTATAGGCTTCATACGCATTTCCCGTCGGTGTCACCACCCTTTGGTGGTACGCTCCCAACTAGTTGTATCTTGATATTTTTGTTGTATTTTTTCACTTTCTTGGGTGGCCGTGGGTTTGATTTCATGCGGGCTTCCTCTGTATTATCTGTATTACTATCAGTAACTAATTATGTATTCTCATTTGTTCGTCGTACAGGATGGGAGAAGGCATCAAGCAAGATTTATATATGATAGCTGCTATATATGTAAACGCATTAGGTATCAACTACTAGTGCACTCGTTATTCTTTGGAACACGACTGCTTTCCAGCACTGCCTGTAGGTTTTCCTATGACAGAAATCATCATCCTCGATCTCCTCATCCTCATACTCGTTGGGTTCGCGATCCTCAGAAGTCGTAGTCAGAATTGTCATCTCCATCTTCGTCATCTTCGAAGTCGTCGTCGTCGTCATCGTCATCGTCACCCCTTGCTTGATCTCGTCGCAAATAGGCACCTTCCTTCTCTTCTTCTGCGTCTTTGGCAAGTCGGATGCCGCATGCATTGCGTATCCTCCGCCCTACCCATCTGTCGTGCAACCCTTCAAGTGTCAGATTATGCGGCGGTTCGTCCTCCTCATCATCAGTGCACGCAACATCATATGAAATACCGACAGCGGCGAGAAGCAGGCGTATGCCCCTGACGAGTGAGCGTCGGTATGCGAGCATGGCCTCGGGGTCGGTGTCAGCAGGTTTCTCCAACTCTCCAAACAACGCTTCGTGAACGTCCAGAACATTCTCCTCGTACAACTCCACTTTTCCGCGTTCAACGGGGCGCCAATTTTTGTGTCCATAGGAGTCATCATAGTAACCCCAGCACAAATTCTGCCACCCATTGCGCGTGTGCACATCTGGCGGATGGGCCTTCCTGAGATCTTTTTTTATGACAGATACATCGCCCGCCGTCGCAGACGGGCGACGGTGTATCTTGAACCCGAGCGAGTAGAACCACTGGACTGATGAAAAACGCGAACGGAGGTAGTATTGAAAATGCACGTCAATGTACATTGGCGCAGTGGGTGAGTAGATCCTGACTGTCAGATCGGCGGAACGTGGCTATCGATCACTTGATATCAGTCATGGAATACAGTGTCAGTAAGCGTTACGCACATCCGTGCCCTCGCCGCCGTCGAGTAACATTTCGTTGTCTACAACAGTGATACATTTCTGGAGGGTGCCATGCTCCAAATCCATCTCTTTCTCAATCTGAGAAATGCAAGTTTTGGCGTTGTCGAAAAGCCAAGAGCACTCGTCGTACTCATCCTCCTTAGAGCCATCCTCAGAACCCTTGCCTGGGACTGAGACAAGTGTGCAGTATTTTTGATTGATTTGGAGGCGATTGATGGAATAATTGGACCATGCGTTCTGTGTTGCACGGGTTGGCTGAAGCAAGGGACCAAAATGATGTTCCGCTAGTTCAAGTCCTTGCAGATCGATTTTAGCTGCTGAAGGATTGGTGCTGTCGGCACTGTTTTCAGTCATATTGGAGAGTGAGATATGATCAAGCCTCGCAGAGCTTGGCTAGTTAAGAAATTCGGGTTGATCGTCGAAAGAGAAGAAACCGAGGAAGGGTGCGCCAAGACGCTACCGCGCAAATTTAAGCATACCAGTCTTCACGTGATCGTGACTGGTTTTAAGATCTGACTGCTACCTAGGCAGTTTTATGGCTTCGAAACTACAAGGTAGTCCTGGTCGCTGTTGAATGTTGAAAGATGCAACTGCACAGGTGAATCAATCCCGGAAACATTCCTTCTCGGAGTCAGGCCATTCGTTGTTCAGCAGAAGATTTGATTGAGATACTCAACGCATAAGTACCGTCTATGATAGTATTGTGTTTCCTTTTCAATGCTTTCGGTGACACTGTTGCCAGGCTGCGCTCTTACGGTGTCCACTGTCCACTCGCGGATCGTCGATGCGGCGACTGTTTTTAGTAACGAAAACTTCCTTCTCCATATTTTGTAGTCGCTGAGTTACTCGGGGGATGTAATCTGCGCCGAGCTCGCTAAGCTGGATGCAAGAGAATCTTGCTGTTTCATGGATGTCGCATTGAGGTACGGCGACATTTGTCCGACGTAGAAGAGAAAGGAGAAAATAACATTCTAAGAATAGACGTTACAAACTTAGCCTTAAGCTACCGTGTTATCACATCATACATGCATGGGATTTCTTACGACTAAAAACCATCATCATCCATTTCCTCATCCTTCCCTTCCCCATGATCGCTGGACTCATAATCCTTCTGCATCTCTGGTGAGCCGGAGGCCACATGCATTGCGTATCCCCCGCCCGACCCATCTGAGTCTGTCGCTCAGCCCTTCAAGCATCAAGTCACGTGGTTCCACATCAATTTCATGGTCAGTGCATGCGACCTCGTATGAAAGCCCGACAGCAGCGAGGAGCAAGCGTTTGCCCTTTACGAGCGATCGTCGGTATGCAAGCATGGCCTCTGCATCAGTCGTAGCAGGTCTCTCCAATTCTCCAAATAACGTTTCATACACGTCCATAACTCCTTCCTTGTACAACTCCACTTTTCCGCACTCAACGCGGCGTCAGTTTTCGCCATAGTTTCCATTTGAGTCGTCAAAGTAACCCCAGCATATGGACTGCCACCCATTGTGCACGTGCACATCTTGGGGACCACCCTGGCCAAGCTCTTCATCGATGGCATCTGGATCGCCCGCTGTCGCAGGTGGGCGGCGTTGGATCTTGTACCCGAGTGAGTAGAACCACTCGGTCTCTGACATACGCGCGCGGCAGTAGTATTTGAAATGTACGTCAATGTACATTGGCGTAGTAGGTGAGTGTATCGGGACATTGCTCTTAGTAGATCGTGGCTATCGATCACCATTGATTCAATGGTATCAGCCATAACGTACAGTATCAGCGAGCTGTACACACGTTCACTTCCTCAAGTTCTGTGTTGTAACTTGTCGTACAACTTGAAAATGGTGATACATTTCTGAAGGGTACCCGCCTCCAAGTCCATCTCCTCTTCGATCTGAGCAATACAAGTTTTGATGGAGTTGACAAGCCATACATCATCGGGTTCGACACCGTACCCGTACTCATCTTCATCAGAGTATGATGAGACTGTACGGTACTTTTGATTGGTTTGGAGGCGATTGATGAAATAGTTGGTCCATTCTCGCTGTGTTGCGCGGGCTGGGTGAAACAAATGACCAAAGTGATGTTCCGCCAGTTCAATCCTTGTAGATCGGTTTTAGCTGCTGAGGGATCAGTGCTATCGGCACTGTTTGCAGGCATATTGGAGAGCGAAATACAAGAGCCTCGCAGAACCTGGTTACTCAGTAGTTGAGTGATTCGGATTGACGTCAGGGAGGAACCGAAGGGCCTGCGTGCCAAATAGACTCTGTTCGGACGCGCTACATGTTCAGATTTCACGTGATCGTGACTTATATCGCTCGCGACTGGAACTTGAGCTTGGGCTTGAACTACCACAGTAAGAGCTACAATCGTCCGTTATACATGCTTGTCATATCTTCCTCTCTTTCGAGACCGCGTCAGAATTATCTTCGAGTGTCCAGCTTATCTCCCTCTGCCTGTTGTGGAGAGACGTGATGGGTGAAGAATCCGTCCCGGCTGTTCCTGTCGTGACATCCTTTTTCGGGGTCCCTATTTGTCGTTCAGTCTGAACAAAGATACGTTCGAGATGACACATACCCTCGGACATTAGGTGTCTCTTTTCCAGCGTATTTTCGGCGACCGTGACACTCGTGCTAGGCTGCGTTTTTGTCGCGTCCATAGAGATGCTCATAGATCTCCGATGCAACTTTTGTAGTAACAGGATCTTGGTGTCTAGGAAAGCTTCCTCCGCCTCCAGATTCTGGAGTTGCTCGAGAAGGGGAGGAATACGGTCAACGACTGTGGACGCGAGCTCGCTAAGCGGGATGCAAGAGAGGCTGTTTCTGGAATGCTGCATGATGGATGAAAGAACCTGTGGCAATACCACTAGTAGTCACTGGTGGCGTCGGAAGAGAGGAGGGTATTCCAAGAATAACTTTGCAGCGAGCTATTGATGAATAACCACCTTGAAGCTGGTACTCCTTATAGCCCCAGGTAGGTTCAATTAGAACCACCAGTTTCGATTGATATTTATTTCGATATTGTGATGATTCCGAATCTGACGGTCGTGTTCCAGGCTGTGACAAGATCTAGAGACATCATTCGCGTAGAATAACTACATTTCGCTCTCGGTAAATGGTCCGGACCACAACTCATCGCGTACCTTCCTCGCTGCATCATTGTCAAATCCCGTCCGGATTGCTTCATCTCTAGCCCTACATGCGTCGACGCCTGCGACCACCCGAAATTCCCCTCGCTGTCTAGCTCCCCTTACGAGCTCTGACGTACGCAGTAGCCGAAGATCCTGGTAATCAGTGAAAACTCGCAACAATAATTCTGTCGACAGCTGGTCGGCAGATGGGTTATGCTTCCCCAGGAGCCGCATAAAATGGTAGATGTCTTCGAAGGCTTGGTTGGCACCTTGTCCCAGATGCTAAATACGATTATAGCGTCGTGAAAGTCGATGGCGACATTACGTACCGGACTGCTTGGGTGAGCTGCATCACCCAAAAGAACAATTCTTCCCTTAAACCATGACTCAAGCTCAGACCGATCGTAGAGACCATACTGGAAGGCGTGCATTTCAAATACTCGCAAGCATATCACGAGGGAAACTTACCCTCACGATCTTCTGGCCGGTCTTTACCAAATCTCCAGCCCCAAACCCCCAAGTGGAGAATGGTCCGTTTCGGATTTCATTCTGTTGCTCTTCGTTCTGTGTTCTCCAATCCTCCTTGGCCTCAGCTCCCCGAGTTGTGATGCTGATTGCCAGGATAATCAAACTTTGAACAGGTAATTGAGGTGCACTTACGCCCATGAATACTTGTCTTCCGTAACAGGATACGCAATCATATGACGACCATCCCCGTAGTTGTTTACCAGTGCAAGTCTCCCCTGAAGGACAGGCGGCGTAGGAGACACCCCACCGACCTGTAAATCACTCAAATATCAGCCTCCATACCAGGACCGTCACTGAAACGGGCTCACCCGCACCATTCCCGTGAAGTCCGCCTTCTCTTCCCCGAAGAGCGCAATCCGGGTATTGCTGTGCAACCCATCACAGCCTACGACAAAGCTCGCCGTGTCCTTGGTACCATTCGCAAACGTGACTTCTACTGCATCCTCGCTTTGCTCGAATTCAATAGCTTGGTGGCTCCACTTGATCTCGACGCCATGCTTCCTGGCCGTGTCGATCAAAAGTTGTTGAAACTCTGTGCGCCGGATTCCAACAAAGGGGAAGCCAAATCGTTCTCGCATCATAGCTGGCGAGATATCGGTCTCAACGAGAATATCCTCCACTCTATCCAGGCAGGAACAGTGAATCAGCCTATCTAGAGGATGGCCAGGTATATGTTCCACGAGCTCTGGAATGAGTGATAGGACACGGATGCCGTTGGGCTGCAGCCTGTGTCTAGCATTTAGTACTGGACTGACGAGGAAGAGGAGGAGCGTGGTTGTTTACGTGAAAACGTGTCCACCTTCTGATGGACCGGGAAGTCTCTCGTATATGACGGGGTCGTAGCCTCTCGTCTTCAAGAAAACTGCAAGCACAGGACCAGCAATTCCAGCACCCACTATTATGACCTTGGTGTTCGCCATCAGCGAATGCGTTCAGCGTCAATGGTCAGTCGTGTCCTTTTATATTGGCCACAGCAATAGGATCAAATTGATATTTGAAAGTTCGTGTTGGACCGGGTCGTGATTATAGTTGGATCATAGTTGGCGCAGTGGCGGCCCGCCAACATTATACTTCCGAGAGGTCAGATCAAGCGTGCGTTCATGCTGACGCAGCCACACTGCCAACTTCCCTGCACAGTCTTTCTCCTGCCCAGTACAAGTGTCCCGTAGGTTTAACGATCTACTTTCCTGCGAGTGCAAGTGCGTCCAGAAGTCCAGTCTGATCCTTATGGTCAATAACCGAATCAAGGTGAGTCGCATATATTGGGCAGTTGTATATGGTACATTAAATGTAAGCTATTTACCATGGTCATCATATGTATGATCGCGGCTGGATTCATCCGCTTCATCTGTCTGGCCGAGGCACAGTGCATCATCAATGTAGCCAGATTGAGTGTGTACTTTACTTTTGACAGCTAAGGATGTAACATGTCGGATATCAATTCCTTATTGGTACGCTTCGAATTGGTCTCTGTGAATTCCAGTATCACAGGTCTTCCCTAATCTCATAGACCATCGTCCCCGATCTCCTCATCCTCACCCTCCCACTCATCATTAAAGTCGTCATCCCCAGAGCGATAATGTGCATCGTCTTCGGAGTCATCTTATGAGTTGTTGGAACCCTTTGCCTCCTCGCATCGTTGTTTGGCACGTTCCCGCTCCTCTTCTGCGTCTCTGGTTAGTTGAAGGCTATATGCATTGCGGGATACCGCCCAACCCATCTGTCGCTAAGCCCTTCAAAACATCGGCTGCCGGTTTGTCGCATTCATCATCCATACACGCAACCTCATATGGAATACTGACAGTGGCGAGGAGCAGGCGTATGCCCTTATAAGTAACCGTCAGTATGCGCGCGCGGCCTTGAGGTCGGTTACGGCAGGTTATTCAAGTCTCTGAACAAAGTTTCGGACACGTTCACAGCTCGTTCCTCGTACAACTCTTGACTCAGCGCAACGCCATTTTTTGCCATAGTTTCCATTCGATTCATCGAAGTAGCCCCAGCATACGCCCTGTCCTCCACTCGTCACTCTGAACAGTTCTTGGGAGGTTCATATCAAGTTCTGGCCAAAGTGATTACCACAACAGGTTCGAAACCTGCCGACGATAAGTTTTCTCTCTTCCTTGGAACACATCACTCATGGATGGTTTTGTCGGAGGGTCATCTAACTGGTCTTAGCCAAGTGGTTACCACAACAGAATCGAAATCTGTTGCTCTTGGACTTCGAAACTTGCCGCTGGCCAAAGTACTTGGTCAGCACGACAGAATATAAATCTGCCTGTTGCCAAGAGTCCGTCCGTGCAGGTTCGAAACCTGCCGACGACAAAGTTTTTTTCCCTTATCGGAACACACCTTGATATTCACTCATGGATGATCTTGTCGGAGGGTCATCTAACTGGTCTTAGCCAAGTGGTTACCACAGCAGAATCGAAATCTGTTTCTCTTGGACTGTGCAGGTTCGAAACTTGCTGCTGGCCAAGGTACTTGTTCACCCCAACAGAATATAAATCTGTCTCTTGCATTGCGGCCGTGTGGGTTCGAAACCTGCCGACATCAATGTTTTTTTTTCCCTATCGGAACAGACTTTAACATTCACTCATGGATGTTTTCGTCGGATGTTCATCTCAACTGGTCTTAGCCGAGTGGTTACTGCAACGGAATTGAAATCTGTTTCTCTTCGACTGGGCAGGTTCAAAACCTGCCGCATGACAGGTCTTTTTCTATCGGAACACACTTTGACATTGACTTCATGGGTGGTTTCCTCAGACGACCATCTATCTGGTTCTAGCCAAGTTGTTACTACAACAGAGTCAAAATCTGTTTCTCTTGGAGTTGGTTCGAAACCTACTGACAACCTTTTTATGGTGTATAGATCTTTGGAGGTCCATCTTAACTATGCCTAATTATTGCACCGAAACCTCTTTTTCTCCGGTTCACTAAACTTGGCGGTGGCCCTTCATCGGACAAATCTCCCAAAAGAAAGAAATGTCACGGTGCTCAAGCATTTTCCGACTACTGGAAAATCCAACCCTCTAAGTTGTGCTTTCTGAAAGTTATATCCATCTCAATCATTTGTCAGAACCTATCTATTGAAATGCACTCATTCTCAACACGCATGTAGCATATTGTCCGACACCGAATTTTCCGCGGCTTTTCTCGATTGTTGCCCCGGCTTGCTACTTTCCAAAGGATACCGCTGATGATGTACAATTAGTCTACTTATCTTTGATGCATTCTCCAAATGATAGTACACGACATTAGTACTTGTGGGATAAGGTTGCTGCTGGCGAAGCTCGGCTGATATCCAGTCAAAAGCTGGAGTCTTGATTCAAAAATGATTCCAATTGTACCACCTAATTGAAAGATTACTTTTGTGTGCCGGCAAATGGTATCTCATGGGAAGTCCTCGTTATTGTCTTTATTGTGTGAGCCAGTGAGCCCTTTACCAAATTTGGTTACTATTCCTTCCCGAATCAGCACTTCGGCTTGGTTTGGCAGCGTGAGTTCATCATCACGACCACCTTCGTCTTCCACCTTTTTGTTAGTACACCTTTTTGTTAATACAAACTTGGCCTATGGACGCTTTGCCAATGCCGCACCACCAGGAATCTATTTATTCGCGAATTTCGGAATGGGGTAAAATCTAGGTATCGTTCATCCGCCCACCTACAGACCTATCAATTTCTCTCGGCAAGATGTGGTTCTCGGACAATACTCCATCGTTCTCTCGTCCTTCCAACCCGCAGGTTAAACCGCACCTGTACAGGTTGCCATCAGACACCGTTTCAGGATGTGCCAACGCTTCCAGTTCATCACAGGCAACCTGCACCGAACAACTCGCACCTCCTCCTAAAGCGCACTATTCATCCATGCAGCTCCAGGATGACATGTTTTCACAGTTCTTCGGAGCCAAACCAAACCGAACGAGAGCTCTCGAACGACATGTCCCTCCGCCCTACATGCGCGAGGGGAAGTTTGAGAAACTTCCCGTATACACTGCTTGTCCGTCTCCGTGTGCGGACGACCAGCCCATAACACTCACTCGCTATTTGTTTCTCTATGGTTTCTGTACGTTTGTTGTTGTAACCTATCTCACAAGATATGAAACTGACTTCCCTTCAGTCTTTCCAATATTTTGGATAGTTGGAGTCGCAATAATCTTCTCTCCACTTCGGCCCACTCCTGAATGGGAGACTGGCAAGTCGGAAGAGGAGAGACAGAAATTTCTTGCGGAGATGCGTGTTTCGGAACTCAAATGGGCGAAACGTTGTCTATATGCCATGGTCGCACTTTTGGTTGTCATTGTGGTGTTGGTGACCACCTTTGTATTGGTGAGACGGTGAAGAGGTGCTGCTCTACTCTAGCTTCTTTTCAGTGTAGCTATTACTGTATTGTACGTCCAGTCGACCGATCTTCATCTTTTTGTTTGTCAGTACTTATAGTTGGATTAAATTTTTCTTCTATCAGCAACTCCGCAGTACCACTTTTAAGCCTTATGTTTATGCAGATAGACAACATACTTTAGTGTACTACCACATTTAAGTTATCTGTCTCTTTATTGAATCTTCTCCGGGTACGCGAATATGCATTGGCCACTTCGTTCCCCACATAATTACTTCGCTCTACGACTTAGAGACGTCTAAAAGGGATACATAGATGCCAGCGCGTGACAGGCCTGAGGGTCACTATTACTAAGCCTCATCAGCAAGCTTAGTGTGTAACCACGTCGTTTTATCAACTCGCAGCCCATTATCTCTCAACAATATCCATGGTAAACTGTGAGAGGCCTGACGTTTCATCAGGTTGATTAGTGTTAGTGCTTATTGGCGTGATAGTTGCGGAGCTCAAGCAGAAGGCAGAGAAGGCCAAAGATGCGGGCGTCACAAAGATGGTGAACACAAGGGATAAATATTCCAGTGTTCCCTCTTCAAAAACGAATTGGGATCCTAACTGGAAACGTGCACCTCCACCTGCTCCAGCAGGGTCGTCGGGTAATGGGCCTCCACCGCCTCCGCTGCGAACACGTCCAGATGCTTCTGGAAGCTCAAGAAGCTCTGTTGTTTCACCCCCTCCTCCCCTGGCTCACGGCTCACGGCCCGGTGCTCCTTCCCCACCATCTTATAGCCACATTTCTCCTCCACCCACACGCGCTAAGAGCTCTTACCCATCTCAGACGAGATCAACTGATCAAGTGGATCACATAGATTGGGCGAATTTGTCACAGGAAGACAAGGATGAATTTTTTAGCTGGCTGGACGAATTTTTCTCCCGATATCTCGATATCGCTCTGCCTTCCACTGCAGGAATGAAAGGAAGTCCTGCGGTCACAGTACAGTCAGCTGGACCTCCGGTGTGTATCAGTATGATGTCATATTTAATGCCAGCTGACTGAGGTCCTGCCGTACAGCCGGTTAATCTCAATTCACGACCGTCCTGGTGAATGACCACTTTTATCTGGTACTGCGCCTCCGTACTGTTTACTTCATTGTGAACCACTTCCGTGAAATCTTCGCCTGACTACAAGTGCTCAGAATAGTCCACCTTTACGGAGCCCGAAAGATTAATGCATAGTTGTTAATGAATGATTGCGAAGATATCCAACACCTGTGAGGCTACAACATCACAGTCAAAATATAAATACAAGAGAGGAATTTGGGATATAGGTATTCCGACGTGGGATGACATTCAGACGTCAGCTAAGTACACCATGCGCCCATATCCAACATAAAACAGCACTCTACTAGATTTACCGTGACGGTCGTACACAGTCAGGATGAGGTGTTCGGTACAGGTTTTGCACCCGGCGGTCTTCCGTCACCACCTATGAAAAACGTGAATTCCTACTGATAGGGGAGTGCGAGGACTCGTACCGAGGGGCACCCACAATTTCGCGCTGTCTTGTGCATGTGAGATGCACTCGTCTTACACCGTGAGGAGCCGCAGTCGGAGGTCACTCCGGTGAAATATCTTCCATGAAAGTGCTGCGGTGTGAAGAGCGCCGCAACATCGCTATTGTGTTAGTGCCTGGTTGGGTTCCACTCAAAGATGAAACCTACGCCACACCCTGTCCAATAGTCACCGACGCTGTGATGCATTAGAAGTGTGAAGGGTGACTTTGTATGACTTCGGAATCGACGCTTACATTTCGTGGAAACACATCAAGGTTTGTAAAGGGCGCTAGCAGTGGTGGCGCAAAAGGATGACTAGCAATGGTTTCCGAGCCGTACTACCGACGAAGACAAGGTTGCTTCTGTTCAAAGAGATAGGGATCCTGCCAGTGAGACCAGTTGGTTTTAGGAGGGTATTATATATCGCCTCGCTAAGCGAAATTGTGGCAGCCTGCGGTATGCATCCATGATGGTTTCCCGCATGTAATATAATAACATACGAAATAAAGAGTGTTGAGGTTGGAAATCCAGTACGCTAATTTTCGAGACCATCCCGCGGTCAATTTGCCCCAGATGCGTCATTCCGCGCCGAGCCGGTTCCATTCGGATCACGGCAATCTTATCTCGTCGCAAGGAACATCGATAACGAAGTCAGATTGACACATTCAAACAACTTTACTGGATATTGATACTTTAGACGTTGTTTGACAAACAGCAGCGCACAGAATCAAATGACGGAGATTTTGTTCCTGCTAGAGATTCAGAATGATGTATATACAACGTGTGATTTGAATTCCCGAGGCGACAGGTCATGGGTGCGCGATTCGGACAAGCCGTTGTGAAGGACAAAGGCTTGTTAGCAACAGGCAAGATGATGTACATAATAAGTAGGTACAAGTCTGGATCTAATATTTGCAAAAGTACTTGCATCGGTGATGATCACAAGGCCTGTAAGCGTGTCGAAGGATAGCCCGCAGCGCCCACTGGCCTATTGACGCCCGGCCGGAGATGAGGTTAATTCAGTCCAAGAATTCGAATTCCTCGTCATCTGCAACATCTCTGCCTGAGTGACTGGCCGCGGAAATAAGTATTCCGCCATGAGCATCATAACCTACTTGAAACGCTTCCATTCTATGGTTTTGGAAGACCCACCTCCGTCCAAACGAGCAAGGATCGTGTGTGCAAAGGGGTGTGGTATGACGTTCCACTCAGTTACGGACAGATCGAAAGACAGGAGCGTTCGAACAAACATGAAAGGTATTCCGATGTACTGCTGCAATTACCTATATTTTCGATGAATATCTTTAGCCACGAAAACACGTCCCGAATAGCCCAAACTATAGGAACGTCCTGAAGGGCGCTGGCGACTCTCAAGTAACCGCCTGTCGAGCAAAGGTTCACCAGGCTGTACAAGGTCGAGCGCGGGGTCGCAAATTTGGTGGGTTTATTATCAAGCTGTTAATGACATCAACACATGCGCCGGATCAGTGACGCACTTAAGTCGGACTGCTTACGTTTGTCGCCATTAGTTCCATAGTCACGAAGTGGCGACCAATGAGCATGTTCAGCTCGTAAAGGTGAGAGCGTAGCCAGGGATGACCATTGCTACCACATGAACATGTAAACAGCCCACCATGAACTAATGTCCGATGTCCATGTAGCTAGCTTAGACCTTGCCAGGCATAGCAGACAAACTTGGAGTAAATCTGTGTATTAAGGGTGATATCATTGGTGGGCTCGATACACTGCATATATATCAATTTCAAGTTGTAACCTTGCGTGGAGCATAGGCTACAATTTGCGACTGGAGCGGACGAGATCCGCCGATCGGCATAAACAATTGAAACCTGAATCATGTCTGATTCGTTTATGTGGTTCAGGTTGGTAGGAGTCGGACCACGGATGCATGAGGGAGTCTGATCATGAGTGACTCGGAGGGATGAATGATAAATTATGTACATACTTACATAGTACTTACTGTCCATCACTTCTTTTGAGCAGGTTAACCAAATTGGAAGACAGTAAAAGTTATGGCAGTGATTCAGAGGCTTCGCCGCTGCGAGTGACTACTCGATCGATGAGTTATGGCGGCGAATTCTTGATTGGTTAGCACTGAGCATGTAACTCACTAGTAATTGAAGCTGAAGAGCTGTTATGTGTGTAGTGTTTGAAGCTGGCCTTAAGCTGCACATGGTTCAGCCCAGCTTTCCGCCGGGTTGTACCGGGAACCACGGTGTTGTCTGAATCCATGCTTGTTGCGTCCGATCACGCCACCCAGGCCTAGCGTCAACACTTGTTCCATTGACCACCGTAGAAATTGTTCCCTTGATTACCATAGGGCTGTGACGAGCCCTTTGGTTTTCTGCACTGCAGTGAGAATACTAGTGTGGATTGAGTTGGATTCCGAAGTCAGACTCAGAAGTTCAAGTGCCATGGTGTCAGACTGTCCGAAGTGAAAGGTCGGCGTTGTGAGTTAATTACCGAAACTACTATCGTAACTTACAACTTATCAAGTTTCAGATCTCGCATGAGGCTAACCTTGCCTTGTCTATCCACAATGACAATGTATCAGTTTTCGAACTAGCGTCGTTTCATACAGGCGTTCACATTAGTGGCGACCATACGGTGGCATCATGTCCGTACGTGGCAGACCGCGATAAGCTGTGCATCGAATAGTCGTGCCAATCTCAAGCTGAGGTCGAATGAGGATTAGGTTGTCGGTCATCTAGAGTGGAACATCTCACTGACAAAATTCCAGATCATCCCAACGTGTGCGCATGCAGTTAGTAGTATAATGGAAACTTGAATGTTGATGACATCAGTCACGTTTCTACACCCCGTGAGTTTCCCCGTGAACGGTTGTTCTTTGACCTCATTTGACGCCTCGTTGTCCGTGACTGCAATCAGAGCCAGATATATTCCCTCCCATATCACATCAGGTGCCGTGCCCCACTGGGCTTCTGTGATAGTATCGCTGATGCACACTTGCTGCGATAACATCAAATTGATCAACATTGACAAACTCGGTCCCCAGCTTCAGTGCGGGTTGTGATTGAGCTTGCTGTTGCCCTCGGCTCTCCACGGCTGTCCTTAGCTCATGAAGCTCAGACGGCGTTTTCGACATCCTCAGAAGGTTGTACTTGTTGAGGTATAAACAGAAATTATATCCTACGGAATTCTATGATATGATATGTCCCGGTTAGTGAGTTATCTTTTCCCCTATCTCGACGCACTCTTCATGCCATCTGTAGCACACCTTCTGCCCACCTCGTGTTTGCTGCCTCGATGCTGTACTCATGGAACGTGATGATCGTTCTTTGTTGGCTTGGGGCCAGGCAAGGGGAAACATGTGGCTTAGTGGTCATATTGCCCTTCGATTTGGTACTGCTGCCGAGCGCCGAGAAGTTCCAGGAACCGATGACCACACAGCCAGACTTTCATGTTTGGATGTGTTCTGATGTGTTCTAGCGCTGATTAACATAGATTCAAATTATCGCTGCGGCTCTCTAGCAACCAATCGATGGTATCGAGGAAACCTAACTCTGCAGCTTCAGCAGAGAATAGATATTGATATTGGGTCCGGGCGCTACTTATCCGTATTCATAAAGCCTGTCTCTGCGATCGCCGTGGTGGACCAAACGAGCTAGATATCATGCATCGACACAACAGTTTCAATACCAACGCATCTCGCTCGCCCTCCCTTAGCCAACGTAAACTCGTGGCTGAATTCCGTCCTTCATCTCCACTCGTTGGGGGATTGCCCGTCAGTACTACTGAGACTCAACAGACGGTGATCACAAAGACTTCCTGGCTCGATTCTGCTCGTGAAAACACCCACAACTTCAAATTACATGGCTCATCTCCACTCGTTGGGGGATCACCCGTCAGCACTACTGAGACTCATCATGCGATCACAAAGACTTCCTGGCTCGAGGCTGCTCGTGAAAGCACCAACAACTTCAAATTGCATGGTTCACCCGTCCCTCTGGTTTGGGTGAGGGGCATGGTGATCGATCTTCGCTGAACGTCGCTTATGAGTATACAAGGTTTTGATTGAGGACAACGTCATCCCGCCGAATGCTGTTCCCTTTGGCGAAGACAAGAACGGTTTTCCACTGTACATTGCTCGTGCCCTGCTCGAGGTAAGTTATCTCTCCCCACGGTATCACAACACTGACCGTGCCATATCTTTCAGGGTGGGCTCTGTAAGTATATTCTGTCTGTAATCAGGAGACAGTGCTAACTTGCATTTAGATCTCGGAAAGTCAGGTACTCACCTTCAGCATGCTCTTATTAGTTACGGCGGAAGGGAGCACCAAGTACGTCTACCACCTCGAGGGTTACAGCTCTTCATTAAATCGAGACTTACGTGTTTCCAGGTCACAAAGTATGAAGTACTCGTGTGCGCTTCTCAACTTCGCTGGGGCTTGGCCACCTACGAATCAGTAGGATCTTTGAGTCAGGGCACAGTCGTACTTGCGCAACAAAATCAGCAGCTGCTCCAGTCTCAACGCGGGTCGGCAGCATGGACTGCTCAAGCTGGTGGTTTCTCCCAACAGAGAGGAATGCCTGGTGGCTTCATCGCACAACCTGGACTACCCGCTGGTTTCGTCCCACAAACTGGATATACCAATGTCCGGGAGGCGACCGGTACCCAAGAGACTAGAAGTATCAACAACTCTCGCGAGACTTCGAGCCTCGTTGAAACTACGCTGTTTGTCGACGATATTCCAAGGTTCATCCCCAATCTTGCGGAAATGGAGGATGCACTCAAGCTGAAGAAGCTTGCGTACGGATTCTTTTCAACCACCTTGTTACACATCTGACGATCCTCGATAGCGACTACAAAACCGTGGTTCTGATTGATGATTCCATTTCTGTTGGTGTTACTTTCCTTGTGATAGTACTTAGAGATTCTGACCCACTTCATTTAGATGGCTGAAGAACAATCTTGGACCCTTGTCCGTGAGGCTCTGGCGGGAATCGCCGATCTTGCGACTCAGTATGGCTCCCAAGGAATTGATCTACACTTCTTGCACCACGAACGTTTCCATCAAAACATCAAGGTCTGTCTGGCAACGCACAGCTTGTAGTGATGTACTGTAACTGACTGACTCTTTAGACGAGCCAAGAGATTCAACACATTTTCAATCAAATGGCCCCTAACGGTTAGTTCCATCTGTGGTGATACATCAAGCCAAAAGTGACACCGAGATATAGGTCCAGAAACGCCAACTGCTGCGAAACTAGAAGAGCTTATTAACTTCTACCTCCCTCTCGTGGAACGCAAGTTCCCTCAGCACAGCCCTATCGACATTATCGTCATTACCGACGGTGTCGCAAGTAAGTTACCCCTCATGCGCTTCGGCCATTTGTGTTAATAATGCTATGTGAATCAGCCGATCAGCAGACTCTCCCTGAGGTTATCGTCAGCGCAGCCCACCGCCTGGAAAGAAGCCAAGTTCCAGAGGAAATGTTTGGCATCCAGTTTGTACAGATTGGTACAGACGCAGAGGCTGCTTCCGCGTTGCGCGCTCTAGATGACCACCTCGCGAAGCAGTACAAAATCAGAGTCTGTTTTGTATTTCTTCCTAGCTGGTTGAGCTGTACTTATATTGCTGGTCGACAGGATATCGTGGACACCACACCTTACGATCCTCAACAGGGCGCGTTCAATACCGATTACATGCTGAAGATCCTGCTCGGTGGTGTGAACAAGGTTCTTGACAATGGAGGTCCTGTGCCGAGCGAATTGCTTTCCCCGCTCGCATACGGGTCGAGGTAATCGGTCCGTCTTACTATTATAATTACCGAAATATCCCAGTTGTATGTTAGCGAAAGTCTGTTTTCCATCAAGTCGTGTACAATAAATGTTTCGCAACTTGCGATTACACATAAAAGCCGTCTCGCACATTTGTTCGCCGTTGTGGCTGTTAGGACTGCTTAGATCCGGCCCGTACAAGCCAGACTCCAGAAAGCGTCAATTATGTACTCTTGACTTCCCACCCAGCACTGCCATAAATTGCAATCTTTGCTCAACCCTTACCCTCGTCCGCATCATCTGTCATCCATCGTGTTCGAGCCATCCATTGAGACGACTAGACTCAACAAATTATTGCCTGTAATGGGTGACTCGGAGGGTGCTGAAACCCTGCACCGTGGTAGTACTTGCCCCATTGGATTGAAGTGAAGGCTGTTAGATCCTTCCAGAAAGTGAATCAACGAGTCACGTCAAATGATCTCATCAATGTTCTTTGCACATATATGCAATCAAGCCAGCCTCAAAATTCAAATACTTACTATCACAAACTCTAAGTTATCGATTCATCCACGAAGACCTTGGTCGAAGGGCATGCTTCCTGTTTCATGGAAGCTCTCCACTTTTTTGGTCTTCGATCAACCTCGTTGGACTACAGCAAGCAGTGTTATCCATCTGCTCCCGAAATGAGGCAACGTGCTAGGTCGCGCGGTACAGATTCCTGTGATGATTGGATCGTTTCCCAATCATATCTTACTGACTCACCAGCCAGCCTTCCGGGATAGGTGAAAGTTTTAACAAACTTCTGGTACATCGCACAGTGTCACATTGTGCCCTGTGTTGATGGACTATTATTGTGCTTGTACCCCTTCAAGAATCATGGAATTTTCTGTTGAACTCTATGGCGCAGTTGATATCGATCGATTGGGCGCCAATGCCTGATACCTGGTATAAAGTGGTCTCCAGACGATCCCCCAAGAATCCACCTCCAGCTTAACAAACTAATATTTCACGATGCGCAGTTCCACTCCGACTCAATTTCAGTCGTCGAGGACGTCGATTTCGAGTAGCCCACACTCTAATCCGGCAGCTTTCGGAAATATGATGCCAGAACCTCGTCCAGGGTCCTTTCAGCAACGTCCGTCATACCAAGCCCCACGACCAGCACAGTACGAGACCTCTCAGTACACGAAGCTAGCACATGAATATGGACGACCTCCTGTCACAAGCTCGCATGAATATGGACGCCCTCCCGTCACAGGCTCATATACAACTTCAGCACCAGCATTCGGCAGTGAAACAACAATCACCACCACCAGGCACAAGGTCAGCTGGCTTGAAGAAGCTAGGGAAAGCACTCTTAATTTCAAGAAGAATGGCTCACCTGTGCCGCTTGTATGGGTAAGAGTGGCGTCGATCGAAGTTATAATGGTCGCTAAAAGGTCCCAAAGGTCTTAATCGAGGATAAATCCATTCCACCTAACGCTGTCCCTTTTGGCGAAGACCGCAATGGACAGGCGCTCTTCATCGCACGTGTTCATTTAGAGGTAAGGTTTATTCAGGCTATCGTAGAATCCCGACCAAAGATGCTTACATTCGGCTGACAGGGAGGTCTCCGTAAGTGCTATTAACATGAAGTACGGGCACTCTACATAAGCCAACTGTTCAGATCTTGGAAAGGTTGGCTATCACACCTCAGGTGCTCTTGTGAGCTACGTCGGCAAGGAGCACTTGGTATGTGTTCCTATTATTCCTCGCACTCTTCTATTTTTTGTTTTTGACTGGTTTCGTGCGATACCAGATTGAAAAGTACGAGGTTCTAGTATGCGCATCTCAGCTTCGCTGGGGTCTAGCATCTCAGGATGCGACAGGAAGTTTAGTTCCGGGTACCGTCATCCTCGCTCGTCAGCAACAGGGGAGACAAGAGCTCAAGCGCACTACAAGCAATTTGTGGTCGCGCGAGACTCGGGAGTCCACATCGGTCGTTCAGACTACCCTCCACGTAGATGAAATTCCTCGCTTTAATCCCTCTTTTCTGATACAAGAGGAAGAACTACGACGCGTGGCGTATGTGTTCACTGCTCTTTATTACCAAAATTCTGATCATGTTTGTGGTAGTGAGTACAAGACGGTTATCCTGATCGATGATTCCATCTCCGTAAGGATGACATCCTCAAGAATTTGATTCATGATCGCTTATGCTCTTTGTACCTAGATGGCGGAAGGTGATTCTTGGAACCAAGTGCGAGAGGCTCTAGGTGGCATCGTCGACATCGCCATACAATATGGATCCAAAGGGCTCGATCTCCACTTCATGCACCAAAATCAGTTTGCCGAAAATATGAGGGTATGGAAACCCGTTCGCAGGTCCTATTTTTTCAGCTAACGGTCTCGACTAGTCTCGATTCGATGTTGAGAAACTTTTCGACCAGCTCAGTCCCACTGGTATGTATCGCATTCATCAAACCATATCAATGAATCATGCCCTATATTCAGGTGAGGACACACCGACGGGAGTGAGACTCGAACAGCTCATTGAGATGTACTTGCCACTCATCGAGCACCCGAGCTCGACTCACGAACCAATTTCTATCATTGTCATCACCGATGGAGCCGCTAGTAAGGTGGTATTTCCGTACTGTATTCCTATATCTGACATACGCGGACATCGCTATAGCCGACAGTGACGAATTATTGCGATGCATCGTTGAGGCCGCCAGTCGCCTTGACAGGCAGCAGGTTCATCTCGAGAAATTCGGTATCCAATTCGTCCAGATCGGCACAGATCAAGATGCTGCAAGGGCGCTCCATGTGTTGGACGATGAGCTTTCTGACCGTTACAAAATTCGGGTGCGTCTTGTTCATAATTTCTCGCACTCTCACTCACGGCTCTTCAGGACATTGTCGACACCACTCCCTTCGACCCCTCTAATGGCGCGTTCAACACGGACTACATGATCAAGATCCTCATTGGAAGTCTGCACCAGGAGACTGAAAATAGGATAGCTGAAATGCCCCAACAGGAGAGGAAGCCCCCAACCTTGGCGATGCCTGGCTATGACAGGCATCCGTCTCCTATTCTTAGATCTGCCTCTCCACAAGTGCCTGCTAGTGGCCTACGCGCCCGAGGGTATTAAAGGGATCGGATAAACATGCTACCACGTTTTACGATAGATTCAAAGTTACCATTCCATTTACGCTGTGTACAACTTCTGAATAGGCTACGATTTTGATTGGGTGTCCGTTTAAAGTCCATTGGTTGAAATTGAAGTATTGCCTCATGTCAGTGAAGTGCCAGGCTAGACGCGGTGCTCGGCATATGATACGTGACGTAGAATATTTGCATCGAACGCTCCGCGGCCGGCTGAAGATGGATATTTCCAATGAGTGCATCAATATCAATGATCAACGCGACGTGGATGGAAATGTTGGAATCTCTCAGACGTGCTCGGATGACACGTGAGCACATTTGGATCCAACTAAGTGCGTATTATGTAGGGTAGTGTTAACAATTCGTAAGACAGCGAGACTCAGGACGTTTAGACATTTTGATATGACATTGACCGATTCCAAAATATCATCTCCCGATACCGGAAGAACAGTTCTAGTACCGCAAGTGGATGCCCGAGGGCTCGAGTAAGCGTTCTTAAGCATGCGGCTGCGCCACGGCGTCAATATCTTTGCAAAGAGGTTTAGAAAAAAAACCAACATTAATGGCTGGCCTCCGTTTGTATGTGAAAGGCTCGTGAGCAGAATGCGACAACTAAAAATGGCTTGAAAGGAAAAAAAGACGCGAGGCACACTTGTGATCTACGCGAAGATCTTACTGTGCGAATAGGAGGTAGATGGAAGACCCATGCATGCAATTAACCAACACCAAAGTCGATGATCTAGATCCCATACCTACCACCCCAGAGACATACAATGAAAGTTCGTAGATGATTTAATTCCAAGTTCGTTCGTACGTCATCTCAGTCATCAGTCTGGTTAGTTCGAACTTCGCCAACCGCGACCGCAACGAAGCAGATTTCGGCATTCCTGTCGAGGGCTATGGCAAATTCCCAGCACGCCGCGAGCCAGTAGCAATGTCATTAATAATACAGAACGCTTGTAGTATCCCGCAGTCGGCTCCTGTCTAAAGAGCTGCCAAAAACTGGCAATGCGTTAAGATACGCCATCTTAACGCATTGCCAGTTTTTGGCAGAGACACTGGTGGGGTATAACAGATCCAAACCGTGGACACTGATACGAAGATGGAGTTCATCAAGCTTCTTGCGAGCAAGTCGGCAGTCCAATGAAGACATCGAGAGCTGGAGTAGTGTGTGATGAGCATGCTGTATATAAAAAATGGGGACTGACAGAGTCTGACCCGAAGCAGATGATTTTTGGGTGCTTCAGTTGTACAGCGTATGCTGCATATAACCTGTGAACTAAACTCGAGGTTAAGACGTACCAGGAAGCAGTGAACTCAACTCTGACTTCAATGGCGGAAACGTCCAATTTCCTTTACTGTCTGCCCTTCGCTGCTGATAGATCCCCGTAAGTGATTTTGGAATTTGATTGGATCAAGGCTGATAGGACGCTGCACTCAGTGGTAGGCTTCATCTATTACAGAAACGAAAGAGGCATCAATGATAATACCTCGCAAGAAACTCGAAGGGCATACCGGTGGTTATTTGGGGTGTCATACACCTTCCAGGCGGAGAGCGAATGATGACTGGTTCAAAGGATGGGTCGCTACGAGTGCGGAACTTGAAAGGCAGAAATCAGATAGGAGAAGAGTGGTGGGACGGAGAAAGAGCAGTGAAGAGTATAGCATTGTCTCCGGGCAGGAAGAAAGTAGTTAGTGGGAGTGATGACGGTGCAGTAAGGTTGTGGGACATCAACTTGAACACAGGCAAAGTCATCGCTATTGGACGGGGCATATAAACTGGGGTGTTTTCCGTCTGCTGGAGCCGAGATTATCGGCTAGTGGTGGCTAGAGCGACTTTGGCCAGCGATTCGATGTAAGCGATCATGTTCGCCGCTGTCGGTTGTGTATAGTCCTGGAAGCTGGAAGGACCGGCGGCAGACGAAGAATTCTAGTTCATGGAGGTTATCCCATAATCGATTTCACGATACATAAGTAGCCAGTGCGCCCTGGCAAAACGAATGACAGGTTTAAGATGATAAGGTTGCCACAGGTGGGAAACAGATGGTGATGTCACTTTCTGGCAACGCGCTGCCGCTGATTTTGTAAAGGGTCTACCAAGAGGCCTCAGGGCTGTAATTGGAGCGGATGGAAGCCATGAAGTACAGGTTAGGAAGGCAAAAATCAAGTACAGTGTTTTCCGAACAACTTTGCACTCTCGTCTGTCGCTGTCCGTTTGTGTGGATTGATTCGTCGCGCTTCTAATACTCAGGTAGCTAGAACCAGAAGAAAACAATAATCAAAATAAAATTGCAAATGATGGTATATGTACTCTATGAATTGGTAAATGGTGACTCAGAAGTTGGAGATTGCAAGGTAGCAAAGACGTGCAAGGATGTCAGTTAATAATGGTGAGTGAGAAAGCGGAGCGACAAAATTGAGAAAAGGGTCCTCAAAGGAGCGAATAATGCTGTATGGAATGAGAAAAGGGAACTTTAATGGCTTTTGAAAGGTCAATAGCACCGTCGAAGAGAAACATCATCCAATCGATGAGGTATGATGCTCACACATCAATCCGGAAGCTCATCACTTGTGGTAGATATGCAGCGCCTGCAAGATCAAGGACATGAATATCGTCGAAAACGTCGTGACCATTGAACTGTGCGGACGGATGTCAGCTATTTGTAAGACATCCAGGTTCGAAAGAACAAAGTCGGCTGAAGACTCACCCCTCCAAAAACAAACAATCTGCTATCTGCAAGGATCGTCGCGTGGTATCCACGGGCGGAAGGGGGTTTACCTTTCACCGTTCGTGGTTCGTATTGGAGGTTCACTGTGCTCAAGTGTATCAGTTTATTTTGCACCAAAGTTTGAAACCATAGGCGTGTACTCACCAAGGTTAAACAAAACAACTTCGTCTCTATATGCCCCGCCATCGTGTCCGCCCACGATGAAGAGGCAGCTTCCAACTTGCGTAGAGGTATGCGAAAGCCGTCGGTGAGAGAGGGGGAGATTAAGACGGGTCCAAACGAGAGTGTCTGTCAGGAAAACAAGCTTGACAGTTCAGGACTGAAGGAAAGAGCAGGGCGCAACGCGGGGCCCGAAAACATTATATGAATGACCCACCAAGATGTAAACACCATACATCTGAAAAACATTCTCTACCATCGCTCCCTCCGACCACAATCATCACATTCCCTACCAAATTGGCAGTGTGGTATCCTCTCGGTACCGGCGGCTCACCCTGTGTTTCGACGAGGGACCAGCGAAGTCCACCACTTGCGCCTGAACCGCCGAAGGAACTACCCCCGTACGAGTATGTCTGTTTAGATACACTTAGTAACGTGAGGACACTAATTAAGAAACTACACACAGATTGTGAGGTGGGATCTAGCCGAGAAACATCAAGCGTCCATAAATCGTTGAGCGCTGTGAGGCCGTTTCCTCCCCCAAAGACGTATATTTTACCATTGTAGAGGACAGCGGTGTGTGCACGACGCGGTGCTGGGTGGAGAGGCCTCTCTGGAGGATTCTGCGATTGCGACTCAAGGCTCGATTCAGGGTTCTGCGACGGGGATTGGGAGTGAGGAAACAAGGGACAGAACCAGGAACGCGTAGTAGTGTCAAATATATATGTGCTGTCGTAGTACACTGGGCCTTGCCCCCCACCAAAAACTACAATCTTGCGGTCGACGAGAGTAGCAGTATGGGCGCGGCAGGGTGGTGGTACGTCACCGAGGGTGTCAGGATGTGACCAGTGCATTGTGTCTGAAGCCCGTGATTCTATTAGCACCTCACAGATAAAACATGTATCAGAAAGAAGAGTGCCTGACCGGTATCAAAACAGTACACATCCTTCCAACAGCCCTTATCATCACATCCTCCGAACAACCACGCAACATGATCTACAAGCGTGACTGTATGAGCCCTGAACGAACGCATAGGGAGCATGCCATGAACTGGAGCTCGTGACCAGTACGGTGCGGTTGCAGGTGCAGGGGGATCAGTCGGAGTGCGGCAGACGTGGGGTAGTGCGAGCGCGCTGTGGGTTTTTTGAAGGGTATTTACCTTCCTTGGCAGACGGAGAGGAAGGCACGCCGTTTGATGGAGGAGGTGATGGATTCAGCGGGAACCGCGGTGGAGGAGTGGCGTAAAGAGGAAGGTTTTCGAGATGAGGTAGTGCGAGGAGTACCAGGCATTGTTGGGGTTGGTGTACAACTAGTTGGTGTAGAGCCCACCGTTGGGGTGTTCACGGCAGAAAACAACAGTTGTTGGTTGTCCACCAACGTTAAACGTAGACGTTGAAGCCGTGGCCTGGTGGGTTGGGTGTATATATGGTGAATGGGTACTACCAAGCCGCAGCGCTGTCGAACGGGAATCATCATGAAGGGAGAGCGAGCTCATGGTATCGTTGTCGTCGTCGTCCACTGGCGCGAAGAGAAGCGTTGACACCGTCGTTGAATGTGTCGCAGAAAGATCTGGATTGATCCTTTGCCGTCCCCGCTGTGCCATGGCGATGTATACAAGTGATCAACTCGTGAGAATATATTTGGCTGCAGGTTGCTCGCCTTATAGCTATAGGGAGTAAGTACATAGCATTTTACCATCATGACTCACAGACAACTTGTATAGTTTCATGCTGACTGAAATTAGACGCTACCGGGTGAGATTCAGAATGCTACTGCGATCAAGCTGTGCATGCGTGCTGATCACCGTTGAAGTGATTCAAAACATTAATGTACTTCTATCGGAACACACCTCGACATTGACTTGCAGATAATTTCCTTCAAGTTGGAGGCTCATCTTAACTGGTCTTAGCCAAGTGGTTACCCCAACAGAATCAAAATCTGTTTCTCTTGGATTGTGCAAGTTTGAAGCCTGCCGATAACAGTTAGTTTTCTTTCGGAACACAACTTGACATTGACTCATTAACAGTTCTTCCAAGGTTTATCTGGACTTCATCCTGGTCAAAGTGGGTAATTGATGTGACACTGGCAGAATCAAAATCTGTTTCTCTTGATGTTCGAAACCTGTCAAGGATAAGGTTTTTTTCTATTAGAACACACCTTGACAGTCACTCATGGATGGTTTCCTCAGAGGCTCACCTTAACTGGTCTTAGCCAAATGGTTGCTGGAACAGAATCAAAATCTGTTTCTCTTGGGCTGTACAAGTTTGAAACCTGCTGAATGCCAGGTTTGTTTTCTCTCGGAACACAACTCGACTCATGGATGATTTTGTTGGAGGTTTATCGAGTCAAGTGATTACCACAACAGAGTCAAAATCTGTTTCTCTTGGAGTCGGTTCGAAAATTGCTGAGTCCTGACAACATTTTTGCGGTGTATAGATCCTTGGAGGTCCATCTTAACTAGGCTGAGTCTTTGTACCGAAATCTCCTTTTTATGCGATGGTCTGTTCATGAAAAAGCACTCACCCTTCACGCCTCACGACGGTCATCTCAGAAACATAAGATATATTTCCGAGGTGCATATGTGCTAACCTAGATTCTCGACAAGACTGACGGGATTCACCACTAAACAAAAAAAATGTTTAATGCACACAAGCTAAGGACAGAGTGAGTCTGACAGTCAGGAAAATGATGTAACCTCCCCACCTTTAGCTTTCAAGTCATCCTCGGTCGCATTGGAAGAGCCCGAAGGAGTGTCCATCAATGATGCTTCAGCAAGGCTGGAAGAATTAAAACCGGAAGACCAAGCCATATCGTTCTGATGTGTGTAGTTTGCGTGCGCTCCTGTTTTTGTCGATGCCAAGGCGGAACAAAAGATTATTTACTTTCAAATTCCGTAGCAAGACTTAGGAACTGGACAGAGAAAGGTTAGCACGAAACTCTACGTTTGACAAGAGCTCTCCTCCATTGCATCTACTAGCCTCACTCTCACTAAGATAGTTGGAAATTAGTCTTCCTGGTTTCTCTCCGTACTTGGTTTCCTGACTTACTAAATTGTTAGTGATCGGGGACGGTAGTGAATCCAGGACTTGGCCATACTTGTTGCCAACTACTAGTGACTTGCATTTCTTTGTTGTGTGCACACACGACTTGCACTGTGCCCTGAAGCCAGATGACGGTTCACAGCCAACCCCCTACAGTCGTCAAACAGTACAAGACATGTATAGGGCGGGAGTTGATGCAGGAGCTCGAGCTAGCATGGGGAGGGCAAGACATCAATTGGTACTTTCAAGTTTCCGGACGAGGATGAACGCAAAAATGGCACCGATACAGACCGATACCCATCTCCTTGATCCTTGGATGAAGACGGTGGACTCACCGCATGCAGTTTTCAACATCTCATCGAGCAGAATTTCGAGCTCTGCATTGATTCATTTAATTGGTACACATTGTAGAGCAGATAGTGCAGGTCACTAATGCAGCTGTGTCAAAAATTTTCATCCTCAGATTGGCTGCTGGAATAGAGGTCGAATAGAGGGACAAGTCCTGCAAACAGTGAGCTCACTGTTTGCAACAGTAAATTTTCTAGACAAAAACACAAGAACGTGATCGATCGATAAAACGCAATTTGCCGGACGAGACTAAGGCTCCACTAACATTGTGGGAATCGGGGATATTGTCACAATTGTATTAAGGCTTGCCAGGCTAGAGCAAGTTACATACATGCAACATACATGTCAAAGTCATCCTCAGCTAGCAAGGATATATCCTGCAAAAGACGTGTACTACTCGCACCACTGGTGATTCACAAAGCGCCTTTCACTTCCGCACATTGCAACCTCCTTCGGGCCGGCCCTAGTCAAGCTGGGTCCATACGGACCATACCGTTAACTTCATGAGTGCTTTTTTTTTTAGATGCATACAAGTCAAAAATATCACGCCGTGAATTAGTATCTTCATTTGGATGAAGTTGAAAATCGAACTGTAACAGTCAAACGGGTTTACGGACGCGAATAACATCGGCGGTCACCAAACGCAGGTGCGTTTATTTCTGCTCTCCTGTCGAATTCTGTGAAGGCGATAAGCCACTCTTACTTACCAAAATAGACCTATGATCTCCCATGAATCTGACACAAGCACTGACCAAAGTCAATCTGTGTAGGTGAAATCTCATCGTAGGGTCGTAGGCCTTATGATCGGACTTTGGGTCTATTTCAATACTATCCGTAGCTGCCCCGTAAGGGAAGGTACGTCTGCATCAGATTCCGTATCGTTAACTGGTGAAAAATTGACACATGCACATAGACTTAGCGAGCTGACAGCGGCTCTGCCATGAACGTGCTAAGATGTGCTAGGACGTGCTGCCACTCTGAACAAACGGAGATAAGTGCCTTGAGATATTTTGATAGCTGAGTTGTAAACAGCGAGGGTGCGGAACCATGAGTTGAGCCCTACGCACACCGTATATGCGAATAAATACCAATCTCATCGTTATTTTACTCATTTTTTTCTTCGAAGGCAAATCGAGTCTTACCAGGCCGTCTATCGGCAGTGCTTCAAGTAGCTTAAACCACTCAATCGTTTCATATTGGAGACGAACAACTGAACCTCAGGTACCTCTTATCATGGGGGTAAAGCGGTACAAAAGCGGTATCTTATATTCTTATTTCGACACAGTCACTTTCGCTGACTTTTCTGGTACCCACAGTTGGTGCCCATATCAAGCATCTCCACTGCGACCCACTTCGACCCCTGACTACAACGGTGCATTCGCACGGACTCGGCTCAAAGTAACTGTAAAAGGTCAAAAGTTGCTCATGGGGAGTCCCTCCTCAAAATACCACGGCGCATGTGCCGTCTACATCCCTTTGGGTAACCGTCGATGTCACGAAACACTCAATTAGTCGATTATGATTTAACAGGTGAAATACACGGTCCCGATCACAAAGGTACCTGGTTGTGGGTTATTCACAATCGTCTGGTAGACATATGTTTCAGGCTGTTTCTTTGGACTATTTTTTCCGCAGAAGTCGCTATCACTGCCTCTCACCTGACAGGCCCCAAAACAATTCACAGCGTGGCACAACACACGGTCGGTCTGCTTCAAAGGGCTCAAAACAATTATTTTACCATTTCCTTTCGGCACAACCCTTGTTGTCGCGGGGGCATTCATCCGCTAGTGATATTTTCGCACCCTTGGTCGCCTTGTCATATTCAAATCAGTGTCCGTACGGGTCAACAGCCTCTCGCAAATGAATCATGCGCCATCGTATGCCATCGGGAGTTCTTCTGCAGTTCGTCGGCCTACTGTTCTTGTGCGCATTGCGGACTTTATTGCGTATATGCTCAGGTGTTTAATACACTCTAGGCTAGAGTCTTGGGAATGTCTGTGCAGTGGCGATGCTGGCGTGGAGAACAATTGGTATGATAAGCCTCGCACGTAGTATTCGTGAAGTGGAGGCAAGTCGTGAAGTCAATCTTTAAACACGGGTGGGAGAGGCAGTCAGATACCTGACATCCACTAAACCCATTGCACATGCCATAATATACTGCGTGATGTTGTAGAATGTGCTATACAATCTCAATAAGATTACATAGATGAATACATCCACTACGGTTTGTAAATTAATACAGGCGACGGCGGGTGCAAAATATGATACAGTGTGTATGTGCGTGTCCAGGACCTGCATAACTCTACACTACACGTACAAGAATGGCCCTCACTGGAACCCGTCGTACCCTTGACCCCACTGCCCATGCATTCCCATACCGCCCATACCCATCCTCGAGTTTCCTATACCCATACCCATTCCCGGACCTCCTACCCCCATTCCCGTATTCCCCATACCCATGCCATTGCCCATGCCCATACCAGCCATCATCCCGTCCTCCCAGATTCGATCACCATCCCCTACCCATTGGAATGCAGCGCCAGGCATGTCTCCCATTCCCATTACTCCCATGTTCCCCATCCCCATCATGCCCATGTTCCCCATTCCCATCCCCATCATGTTCCCGATGCCCATCCCCATGTCCATCGGCATCCCCATCCCCATCATTGGAGACACCATCATTGGATTTTGGGAAGGCGGACGCCGGGGATGTTGCATGTTCATGTTGGGGTCGGCGTTCATATTTACCGCATTCATACCCACCCCGGCACTCCCTACACCCACACCTACGCCACCACTGATGGCGACCCCAACTCCGCCACTCACACCTGAGTTACCAGAACGCATAGGGGATTTAGGGCGGAGAGCGTCGATTTCCTGCGAATTTGGCACGACACACTTCCCCCCTGCGAGTGAAGCCAGGTGTCGAGTCGCTTCCTCCCATGAATCCTTGTTCCATGGGTGCACGGCATCGCCTTCTGCAGTCCGCGCATGCTCTCCTACTTTAGCCCCATCGCTTGCAGTCAGCACTGTGACCCACCCGCGGCGGAGGGACGAGCGCGCCCGTCCAAAAAGCTCAAGACGGCGCGTACCGAGACAGAAATTTTCTATAAGGGTATACATTTCGGGTGGTTTGCGCATTGGGTCGGCGGTATCACCTTCCCAGATGATGACGTCAGTATCTGCAAACTAAATTAGGGTCTAGTTCTCCAGAAGGCATGAATGTATACATCATGAACGAGTGTGGACAATAAAATGATATGAACCCAAGTAGAAAACGGGCTCACCAACGTTGCAGTGGACAAACCAGCTGTCAGTCGAGCGACGTACCGTGCCGCGAATACCCATGAGGCAATGCTGTTTCGTGCGGGTCAAAAGAGAAGTAGTAGGTGGATCAGTCTATGTAAATAGCGTTAGTTTACAGATAGATAGGTACAGGGTATGACACGCACCCCTGGCCCGCGATTGGTGGTATTGTTGGTTTTTACCCATACAACATCTTCACACCTGCGGTAGCCCCACTTAGCGAGGACCTCGCGACCACGTTCGAGACCTTCTCCTGCGCCACTACCTACCCACATAAATACAAATGAAGGGTCTGCCGCAAGAGAAGGCACAGGAAGAGCTTGAAGATCATCCCAGCCAAAAGATGAGGAGAACGGGGGGTCTAGGAGGATGACATCGAACTTTTGGGGATGTAATGAAGACAGGTGAGAAAAAGGAAGGAAAAATGGAGGTGTAGCATGCACGTCGACAGACTCCTTTTTAAGGCTGAGCAAGCGCTGCTGCTTCGGGTATCTGCAATTATAATGAGGTCAGATGTGGAGCAGCAGGTAGCGGACGCACTCCTCAAAACGGCGAGAAGGCTCCGCACCGAGAACCCGATTCTGCGGCCACTCGCCACTGTCGACGTACCGCTGCGAGTAGTCATTGCGGATCGTTTCTTCTTCTGGGACATAATTTGCGTAGCGGGCAACCCTCGCGCGTTTTGCGGGATGGAGATCTTGGCGTTGTGGGCGGGTACGAGGAGCGAGTTGGGGTGATGACGGTGGGGAATGCAGCGGTGATGGTGCAGGAGAATCAATTAATGGGAAATTTACCAGATCGTTGGGTGCAGTTGCAAGAGCACGAAGCTGACGTCGATGTGCCCGTTGTGAATTCCGCACGTATGTGAGTAGCTCCCGATGGGACGTGAGCAGGCTGTTTGCAGAGTTCAGTACATCCGTCGTGCTCGATACTGCTGCCGGTATGGAGTTAATATCTGTCATGACTGTTGACAGTGAGTATTTAGATTATGGTGGTTGGTTCAAGGTGGGGTCCAAGACTCCAAGACTCCAAGTCGTTCAACTGTCGTTGTGTGTCCTTGCTGACTTGCCTCTTTTGGCATATTTGATTCGGATCATAATAATCTTTTCTGCAGTGCTACGTCCCATGCTCTGCTATCTGTTTTCCCTACAGTACTACATTTCAAAAGTCGAATAACTACTTTCTTCGAAACCATGGGGAAGGCGGCCAAGTCTAGCCGCAAATTCGCGGCGAGTGGCAAACTGAAGCAGGCAATTCAATCGCGGAAGAAGCACCAGCAGATGCAGAAGAAAATTCAAGGGAGACGTGGGGCACACGGGAAGGGAAAGCAACAGACCATTACCGAAGCTGAGGGTAGTGAACACGACGACGACGACGACGACGAAAAAGAGGTTAAGGGAGTGTCTAAAAAAGCAGGGAAAGAGTCAGTTGATTAATTGCCGTCCGATCTTTTGTCTGAATACTGAGAATCCTGCTCCAGTGCAAAGAAAATGACTGTCGAGGACTTTCTCGGAGCAGAGTTTATGGATGATTACAATGATGCTGAGGAAGATGAGGTAGGCCCGTCATTCTTTTCTTCAATCATGCAATTCTGATACGCGCAGGATGATGCCGGAGGCGATGAGTTGGATACAGACGAAGATGAGGAAGACGTAGCAGACGACCAATCCTTTGCGTCTGTAGATGATCTTGAGGGTGAGTGCCTACATGATTCTTATATGCTTTACTTATGGTGTGGTAGATCATGGCACAAGTCACATGCTTGAGCTCGCACAACTCGCGGAAAAGGACCCTGAATTCTACAAATATCTACAGGAGAATGATCGCGAGCTTCTTGAGTTCACTACCACTCAAGAGGGCCGCGATGAAATGGATGATGATGATGATGATGATGATGATGATGTCATGGACGGAGACGACAGTGAAGAAGAAGAAGAAATGGGAGAAGAACTGCCTATTCTTACTACTAGCATTCTCAAAACCTGGCAAAAAGCACTCCTTGAGGTGTTTTTTCTTTCTTTCATCACGTGTGCACTGCTGACGCGATGACCATAGCATCGTTCCCTGCGAGCCCTCCGCAAACTGCTCATTGCGTTTCGCTCTGCAGTGCATATGAATGAGGACGATCAGGTTCTTTTATGGCGCATTGACAATGCCGCAGGTGAGCATCGCATCCTCGTGTATCGCGATTTGTAGCCAAATTGGTTTCCCCGACAGTGTACACAAAGCTTGTAACAACCTCCCTGCGGTATACGCCAATTGTCCTAGCCCATCACATCCCATATAAAACACTTCCGAACGGTAAATTGTATGTCCTTCGTTCTTTCCATATAGTCTTGCCCTGAAATATTCTATCTACCATCAGTAAACAACCTTCACAATCTGCAAAGCAAAAAGCACTGCAAAAACTAACTCTGTCTTACTTCAACAATGTGATTCACCTCATCCCTCAGCTTACCGACCCGGAGACATTGCGACTCGCGCTCACAGAGAGCGCAAAGATCCTCCCTTACGTCGTCTCTAGCCGTAAGGCCGTTAAGACGTACTTGAAGGCGAGTCTAAATCCACTGTGTTCCTGTCTGAAATTCTTTATTACGACCGTACTTGCCTTCTGTTTGCCTTTTCACCCTTCTATTCGTCTTTGAATGAGGCTGACCCCAACACAGAAATGTTTAGAGTTGTGGTCCACAGGTGAGGATGACGTACGGATAGCTGCGTTTCTCGCCATCCGTCAACTTGCGTCTTCCACCGATGACTCTATCGTTGATCTTGTGCTCAAGGTACGCGAGACTTTGATACCTGCTACTCCTCCTGATGCAGACCAACCTTACAGAGCACTTACTTGGCGCTCGTGCGTGCGTGCAAGTCTACAAGCACCTATCGACTACCATCCATTACGCTCATGAAGAACTCCGCATGCGAATTATTTTGTGTAGACCATGGAGCAACATACCCACACGCATTTGGGTACATACGCCAGCTTGCAATACTCCTGCGTGGGGGCATGAAGACAAAAACAAAGGCAAGTAGATCCTTGCGGGTAGCTTGGGCGGCAGATCTGACGTCTTGTATCACCTTCAGGAGGCGTACAAACAGGTCTACAACTGGCAGTACGCGCATTGTGTCGACTTCTGGGCACTTGTGCTAGGTCGCGCGTGCGATGCACATGCGGAAGCCGAACGAGGGGGACAGGAGAGCGAGCTAAGACCACTCATCTACCCACTCGTGCAGGTCAGTCTGGGTGCCATCAAGTACGTTCTCCACGTGTAGATTTTCTCGTGCTTATCTCCTTCGCAGGCTCATTTCGAATTCGCGTTCGTATCCATTCCACTTACACATCGCACGCTCGATGCTGCATCTGACTCGACACACACGTATTTACGTACCACTGACGCCTTATCTCCTTCCTATCATCTCATCTACCCTCACGGCATCTGGCAAGCCCAAGTCATCCACGCTGCGCCCTCTCGACATGGAAACGCATATACGTGCTCCGGCACAGTACGTTAGGACACGGGTATATGCAGCGGGACTTGTGGAGGAAACGGTATTCCTTCTCGCGGAGTGGCTTGGCAGTGGCCCAGTGCATGGAAGCGTTGCATTCCCTGAACTGATCGTGCCCATCATTGTCACACTCCGCCGAACACTCAAAAATTGCAAGGAGCTAGGGAAGGAAGCCGGAATGGTGAAGGGCCTTCTAGAGCGGGTAGAAGACTGTGCAAAATGGATAGACCAGTCACGCTCTGGCATCAATTTCGGCCCAGGAAAAATGGATGAGGTCGAACGGTGGGAGGCCAACGTGGAGATAGAGGAGTCACCCCTGGGAAAGTACCTCAAAGTGCAACGAAAGAGCAGGGAAAAGCGCAAGAGGATGATCGATAAGGTACGCGTATCTTTTTGCCCTGGTGTGGATACTCCTGATGTCGTCACAGGCCAACAAAGGCGAGGATGAGATCTTAGAAGACTAGATTGGTATGGGTATCTCGCAGCCTGCCTACCTGCCGTTAATTATTTTGACACAAGACGCCGAATGGAATGATAATCAAGGGGGCGCTTCCCCAAATTGATCCTCCCAGGAGACGAGAGGAATAGTATTGAGCCTCTGTCCGCGGAACAATGTCCGTTCTTCACTTCTTTTCAAAGGCATTCGGCGAGCACCGAAGTCACCGTCACAGCGTTTCGCTCCGAGTTTTAATTTCCGGGACGTTCTCCACCTCCACAATGCTTGCACAATACATACTCAATTTCATCCTTCCCATGGAAAAAATTGTCTTGACGTGAGCGGTATCGGCCGTCTTTCTGTTGATCGCGCTGTACCTCATTTCAATGTTTTTGAATTATGAGATCCGGCGAGGACCGAATTGGTGTTACAGCGTTTTGTTCCGCGCTATGACCTTATGGAACGACAAGCTGGCGCTGCTCGACAGGACATGCGGTTTCGTGACCCCGATTCAGCTTAGGTTAACTTGCCACAGATTTGTCCGCGATGAGGCGGGGGGTTCGTTGGTTACATATCCCTTTGGACATTCAGGAGACATGGATCACATGGGTTTAATGAGGTGAAATTGAAATATCTAGGCCTACAGTGTCGCAAAGCGGCATTGTTAGCGCCAAATATAACGACAGCGAGAAGTTTCACCATAAAGTTATGGCAAAGTGATGGAGATATATAGGTCTAAGCCTGAATAGATCGGATGGATCCGAGGACATCAGAACTTGGGATGCTGATTTGGTTTCGTGCAGACCTTGGCATCTATTCTCAGATTCAGAATATCATGTAAGGCCCTTTCTATACATACTCTGAGCTTCTAGTGAGTGACAAGCCTTCCGCTCCACCAAGCGCGGAACAGCAGAAAGAACTCACGCGAGAACAACTGCAGTCCAGCGGGTTGATATCTCATGATTATTTCCATACTCCAAAGAAGACCTTCCACCAAGGTCTCCCAGCACCTGTTGCACTTCTTTCATACCCTTCCACAAGCCGTTCATAGTGCCTTGGCATAGAAGCCGGCTGAAGTGTTTTTGCTGACAGTGCGTACTGAATGCGGAAGGCGTAGATTTGTAGTCCGTTAATCATGCATGAGAACACGTGTGGTTGCACTCACCCGCTTCTGTATGGCGTTGTCCCGCAGTAGCTGTGCTGCTTGAACAGCCTCAGAGCTTAGCTTGGGATGCGCAGAGAGGGATTTCAAGAAGTTCTTGAGTTGTATATTTGGACGAAATGGATCAACAGGCCAAGACTGAAGCGATACTGGACAGCTTTTGTGTCGCCTTGGAGGCAACCATGGCAGTTCAACTGTTGAGATCTAGGGTTGATCATCACAATTAGATGGTCCCGGCATATCGCGTGAATACATACTTTTCGACTTTTACAAAATGGACTCCCCAACGAGAGGACCAACGTCAATTTTTCGCAAACCTACGACGTAACGTACTACTAGCCTCTAGGCACTCCGAATCGGACCTTCAATCTTACGCAAACCTTCACAAACCTTCGCGGGAAGCTCCAAGGGGGTTTCAAAATCCAATGGTCCATCGTTTATGGTATTTTTAAAACCGTCCAACAGTAACTGGCTGCCGTCGCACATATGGGGATCGGGAGCGATGTGGAGCGATTGTCAATCCAGCATCCGCGGCCGGATTTCGGACAAATAATAAACGTAACGAAAAGCAAGCCAGGGCAATCAACAAAATTTGGACTGTAATGACAGGAGCAGACACCTCATCATGATGTGGAAGCAATCGGTGCTACCCTGTGCCACCATCCTACAACGTGCGACTCGTAAAAGAGGAACCACTGTGACATAGATATCCCACATCATGTACGAAAAGGAAGACCAAGATGCTTGGTTCCCGCTTAGAAGGGAAGGAATCATTATCGGACCCCCTCGCTTCCTCTGTGCGAGATATCACTGGTGGGCCTCTCGGCTGTCTGCACTTAAGAAGACGCACAAGGTTCACTGACACATCATGCCATGCGTTCGTGCATAAGTGGCACAGAAATCACCTTATGGTTCCTTACCTGCTCTCGCGAAGGGTTCGCGGATGGTCACACAGGTTAGCCGATTGCATTATTATCGAAAGTTCGTCATCAACATCCAGCCAGCCTATCAGTATCGATAATACATACTCACAGTGGACGACAGCGCTGATAATATAGACACTAGCCTGGGGTCTGACTTGAGTTCGTGGCCGCTACCTGTGCTAGAAAATCCCACTGGTGTCTATCTCTGATTCGAGAGGATGGTCCCTTTTCCGGATCTCATCTGGATTACGGGCTTCCGTCTACAGGAACCGTTGCAATTGCTGTGATTTTTGCCCATCAGGGATTCTTCCCCGGTGCAAGTACAGCAGGTTCGTTCACTTCTCCGACAGATATATATGGAGTCATAAATAATATATGTGCGAGAACAGGCAAGAGCTCCTTATCTGATTGGTAAGAGAATAAATTTAATTATATTTGTTGATGACGTAGTTTCAATACTCATCAAATATTAAATAATATTTCAGCTAGGGAGGTAATCAATATTACATAATGTTATAAGTGAGAAGCCCCAATACTGTCGGGATGGGTCTACCTGTAACGTACTGGAGTGTGGTGCTACTAATGCACTGTGTCCGAGTCGTAGTCTATCAAATCTAGATTTGCCGTCGACACCCGGTACCATAATAGCATAATCTTCAGTTGAACTCGGGTCAGCGCGCCCATCACTACCAACATTTGCAGTGCAGTGAATATCTCTGAGACTGGAATATAGGTGGGCGGCTTCGCCGCTCGACTTGTCTGTGATGTATAAACCAGGCTGGTCCAAGGCTGGCCACGAGCTCAGGTGGGCGCTAGTTTCACGCTTGTAATTCGGCACTTGCACTGCCACGCCAGGCCCAGTTGTCGTGTTGGAGGTGAGATATACTTATTGCCCAGTTCCGCCCTTTTTTCGCTGCTTTCAACATGGGTTGCTGTGGAGAGTCAATCAGTGCTCCTGACACTCAGTATGCCAACAGAGTGCAACCAGTGAACAATGGTATCATTAGCCAGCAGCCCGGTCCTCATCCAGGCGCTCAACATCACATACAGCCATTTGCAGAGAAACCATCATTGCTCATCCCTCCTGGGCCTTCTCCACCTCCACAAAGCTTTCACCAGAACAACCAGGTCGATAAATGGCACTCCTTGGTCTCACACACCCTCACCACCTCCCCAAGGCCCGACCTATTCAACTCCTTTGAGTCCAAACCTTGGACGTGCACCATTGACACCACCCCCAGCTACGTATATTCCTTCAGGGCCGTCAAATTCTGCTGCTGTTCTTTCCGCCTCTCTTGCACCCTGACCCCATCCATGTTCCGCCAAGGAAACAACAGTGTCGCGCCCTCTACATCCACTACAGTAACTAGGATTGATTCCGGCACCTTCAAACGAGGGGAGAATGTCGATTTCTATCGACTTTGGTGAGTATCCACATTGTTACTGGCAAAGTCTTGTGCTGACTTGAGTTCAGGAACTACCTTTTCTGGTGTTGTGAGTTAACATGATTCACCGAATTTCAACGAAGGCTTTGCAGCTCATGATTTTCATTTGCGAATAGGCATATGCCTCCTCTCGAATTGCGTCCGGGAAGATACAGCAAATTCTTCATTGGCCCGGATCTTTTGAAACTTTCCGCAAGGTACCCACGTGCTTGCTGTACGATGAACATGGTCAAGTTCTTGCTTGGGGACTAGAAGCGAAGAACGCCAGTTCCATGCCCGGTACTACGCGATGTGAATGGTGGGGTCTTTATAATGGGCCAAAATTATCTGATTCAGATACTTCATTCAAGGTTCAAGCTTTTTCTCGAACCACGTGCTCTTCGTGATGAAAGCGCAATTGACCCTCGACTACCCCAATTACCTGTTTGTGTCATCCCCTCATCTTATGGCATCAAATTTACGGTATTCTAGCCTGGTAAAACAGCGATGGATTTGATTATTGACTTCTTATCGTGTCTGTGGGAATACGCTAAAGAGCAAATTACCCGTGACATTGGAGCTGTCGCAGATCTCAGTCAGTGACCACATCTAAGATATGGATAACCTAATTTATCCGTTGTTCCTTTAGACTCGGCTGATGTCCTCGTGACGTGCCCGGCAGCTTGGGACGCTAAAGGATGCGACATGATGCGCGAAGCTGCCATTTCCGCAAGCCTCGTGCAATCGGCTCATGCAGGTGATGGTAACTGGCGCGACAGGCTGCGTATTATCACGTACGATATCTCCTGTGTGTTGGCCCCTTCATTCAGCTCACTCATTTTTAGCGAACCAGAGGCCGCGGCTGTCCACTGTGCCAGACTTACGGACTTGCACAAGCTCAAGCCCAACCAGAATTTTATGATATGTGACGCTGGTGGTGGTACAGTCGTACGTTTTCTTGGGATGATTTATTTTACGCACCTGATGTATTATGGCAACAGGACCTTGCCGTCTACAAAATCATTGGGCAAATGTCTAACCTCGAGATCGCCGAGATGTGTGCTCGATCTGGAGCCAATTGCGGTTCCCTTTTCCTCGATTTGCGATTCCGAGAGCTCGTAAAAACTCTTTTAGCTGACCATCCTGCTCATTTGGACGCCGCTAGTCTCGCCTATTTTATGCATTCTTTCAGCCAAACCGATAAGCTCGCATTTAGGGGCGAGAGTGATGATGGTTATCATAATTCTTGCCCTCGGATTCTCACGCTTATGCGCACTATCTACAGACACATACTTCAACTTCACATGTTTCAATGTGCAGGATCCCCACGATTCTTCTGTTGGACTGATCAATGGAGAACTCGCAATTCCAGGGAATCTCATTCGTCGAGAGGTCTTTGATCCCGTTGTAAATCAGGTAAATTTCGTGATAAAAATTACTATTTTCGCTTGGGTCATGGTCTTGACAGGTACTCGAAATGATCGAAGAACAATCGAAGAAGGTAGAGCAGCATATCGACGCCCTGCTTCTCGTGGGAGGCTTCGCTGGCAGCGAATACCTCATTAGACGAGTCGAGGTGTGTTTACACGAGTGAACTGTCCTGTCGTGGACGACTGATTTGTTCTTACACACCCTCGTGGGACAGGCGCAATTTTCGGGGAGAATCAAGGTCATCGCTCGCCCTTCTGACGCCGACACGGCTACAGTGCGAGGTGCCGCACTGTACGGACTTTCTCGCAAATCAATTGTATCCACTGTGATAGCTCCACGGTCCTACATTATGAAAGTGGGCGTTCACACTTTAGACTCTTTTTTACCCTGTTCCGATTGTGTGTGTAGGTGAAGCTACCCGCCGAACCAGAGGATTGGGCCAAACGCCCTGCATACATCAAAGAGAACAATGCGAACGTTCCTATTTGTGACAACCGGTAATGACGGTTCATGACTCTCCGGCGTAATGTATTGATTACCGGACCTAGTTTACAATACTTGGTCATGAAGGGTGCTATCCTGCGAAAAGGGTAACTGGTGATCTGCTTCAGAATGATCTGTTGTTGACCTTGTCTTGTTCAAGCCAAATATTGAGGACGAAATTTTGGTAAGTGCCCCAGTTACATTGGCACAACTGAACTTTAGTTTGACTTGGAATACAGCAAGTTCTCACAGAATGGACAGGGTGCGACACAACTCTACGTTGATCATCACTGCTTCACGATACTCATAGATATGCAGATTGTATCTTCGTAGCTGTGTTGTATACTTCCGACTCGGACAAGATGATGCGATACACTGATGAGGTATGTGACCATGTCACGGATATTTTCAGCACATCACTGACCTATACTTCACAAAGGGCGAAACCATCGAGCTCTGTAGATGGACTGTTAATCTAAATTCTCTGCCGACATTTCAACAGAATGCCAGCATACCGCAGCCAAATGGCTTCTTCACAGGCTTGTGGTTGTAGTCACTTCTGAAAGACTTGTGCTGATCTTTGTTCGCAGAATTCGAACTGGGTCTGGAGATTGATAGTGCAGAAGTCCGGGGTGTTTTGTTTTACGAGGGGCAGGAATGGAGTCGAGTTGTTTTTGATTTTCTCAATTGATTGGCATGGTGACTATACTGGCTTTGCTTGAAGCCAGAGTATTATTAATGTTGACTTGTTCCTGGTGATGACATAAAAACGTTTGACTGGAACGGAAGAGTCGAATCCCCGTGGGAGAGCGGCAAAAGTTTGCCAACGCAACCACAGCTTGGATGAAACGGAAATGCAGTCTGCTTCACGTTCTAATGGCTAAATTACTGTAAAACTATCAAGGCTTCCCGAGGTGAGTGCAAATATTGACAGGTATTGACAGCCATGTGGGATACGAAATTTTTGCATTAAATGAAGGATATGGGAGACGATGGTCGGCCGATGCTGAGGCGGTGATTGAATTCGCAGGTATGTCGTCGATGATCGATGATGTGAACATCCTAAAGAACAAGTTCATAACGCCCCCATGCCATGATGCAGCTTTATCTGTCCATGTCAGATCCGGGGACTGGTCTCACGCGTTTTCTGCCACGGGGCGATAGCTTCAAACGTATGGCATCAGATCTATCTCAGGTTGAATCCTCCGATTTCGCCGCAAGTGTAATAGCCTGTGGGTGAGGAGATCTCAGAACCCGATCTCGGATTATGTGACCTGGTGCCTATTGGTAGTGTACATTGCCTTCGAGCGTTACCTCCACTCTCGTCCACACTTTTGATTGCTGCGACATCCGGTCATATCCGTTTATCATCGGAGTTCGCCGAATTGTCTTACAGAGGATCGGGTTGACATATGAGTCGTCACCCAAAAACTTATAAAGCCTTTGCAATGGATGGCCAATCTCCTCGCTATTTGTCCTCGCAATGTCGACGCCGACATCGACGCTTCATCTTTCCGCTATTTCTCTCCCCCAGCTCTATGACCTCCTACAGCCAATAACAGTCCCTAATACTTCTCCAAATGCCAAGTTCACCAATTGGAGTAGTACATTCGCTTGTTCACCACTCGCAATCTTCGAGCCGGCAACGGAACTTCAGTGCGAGCTCATTCTCGAGCTCGCACGACGTGAAGGCAAAGTGGTCCGAGCCGTCGGAGTAGGCCATAGTCCCAGTGACCTCGCCTGTACCACTGGCTACATGCTACGCACCACCAAGCTCGATCGGCTTTTGGAGGTAAGCATAATTTTAGACTTATTCGGTTAAACTTTGTTTCAAATCCCCGACCCACTGGCGGAGACATTCTGGCCATTCGTCATTGGTTTATCATTAGCACGTAAGCGCGTAATATTAATTCTGATTTTGAATTGTTTAGATCCATGCAGACAAAAGATATATCATCGCTCAGGCCGGAATTACACTTGATGCACTCCATGCCGAACTTGCAATCCATGGCCTTGCCATGATTAATGTCGGCTCGATCTCCGACCAGACATTGGGCGGTATCGTCACGACCGCTACCCACGGAACTGGCATCAACTATGGCGTTATTTCTACGCATGTCATGGGATTGACGTTGTTGCTGGCGGATGGATCTCGCGTGTTCTGTTCTCGCCAAGAGAGGCCCGATCTATTCACAGCATCAATTTGCGGATTGGGCAGCACGGGCCTTATCTTGACGGTTACCCTTGAAGTGGAGCCCGCATTTCGCCTCAAAGAGGTCCAACAAACAATCCAGTTTCATGAATGTGTGCGAAGCTTGGACAGCCTCGTCACTGCCTCTGAGCATGTTCGGTTCTGGTGGTTTCCTGCTGCGGATACCATGCGAGTAAGTTCTGCCGATCGTACCATAGAGGTAAGTTGCTGTGCTCGGCTTATGTACACTTCCAACGTAATCCCTTCTAGCCAGTCAAACCAGCGGGAAGTTGGCTCTGGCATTCATTGATCGGTTTTCATGTGGTGCAATTTCTACTTTTTGTGGCAAGATTCATCTTGCCATTGAACATCTTCATCGGTCGTTTCGCATCATGGCTGGTCAGCACCAAAGTTATCGCGATCGATGATAGCTTCCGTATCTTTAACATGGAATGCAGAGTGGGTGGAATATTTTGTCTTCGTCCCACGTTGCTGACTCCATTGCAGTATCCGCAGCACACTACCGAATGGGCTATCCCCTACGCCAATACGAAAGCCTGTCTTCATGATTTGCATGATTGGCTAATGCGCGAGTTCTCTGACCCCAATGGTCTCCGCCCTCATTTCCCTATTGAAGTACGATTCTCCGACAGTGACGACATCTGGCTAAGTCCGAGCAACGGACAGAGGACTTGTTGGATCGGGATTGTCCAGTTCAAGTACGTCTCTTGTTTTATCTTTTCTGCACTGGCAGGCTGAGACTTTCCGAAGACCCTACGGGTTTGAGGTCCCGTACAAGACGCTGTTCGAGCGTTTTGAAACCATTCTGTGCCGTCACGGCGGCCGACCTCATTGGGCCAAGGCACATCATCTCCGTCCAGAGACACTTCGCAAATTGTATCCTCGATTCGACGACTTCACCCGCGTACTTGAGTCGGTCGACCCTCGTGGGATGTTTCGCAATGAGTATGTGGAACGCCACATATTTGGCAAGACAGGCCCAGGATACCACAACAGAGTTTTCAAGCGTTATGCCCCTTCACAGTGATATTGCAAGAAGGTTTCAGTTCCGCCACACTTATAATAAGGCTCGTCATCTCGTATAACCTATTCCAAGTAGATTAGTTCAGCGAATTACTGCATTCATGGAACGTGCTGGCATCGTATTATATTCTAGTGTTACATATCACGTTACTCATACACCTAGTTGTTGCCTAATCGACTCCCTGACCAGCCTTTCATATTCCTATGTGAAAGGGTCATATTTATGAGATACGAAAGTGTGGCATGATACGAATTCAGCGCTCACTGGTTTGTTCTCCCGATACAACTTGCAACAGTCGATGTTAGCGCCACTCTCCAGATTTGGTTCTATCAAGTGAAGCATCAAGAGAAGTGCGGAACAACGATCAGATCCGGTGAACGTACCGGCAAGCATGGAAATAACACTCAAGATCACCTTCTCAACGCTCTGCACAGGACTCCATCTTTCAGATGCTTGTTCATACATGGTAGGATCATCTCCGGGCGTGTGGAGGATCGATATGCAGACGTTTCCATCCGGATAAACTGCGTATTACCCATCAGTGCGGCGATCAAATACATTATAGAGGTTATTTCACTGTTCGGATGGAATAAGGCAGGGTCGAATTTCATCTTGAAAGGCGATAGTGGATAGTCCTGTGGCTAAGGTCCAACACTTGAGTTACATTTGCGACATGACCATCATCATGACATGTTATCTTACAAAAGTGAGCTTGGCGACAAAGACGCCACCCTCCTGAAATGCCAAATACATCAAGTATTCCTTGCGAAAGTTCGCGGAAAAACCTACAAATGGTGTATCTTTTGGACCACAGATAAGCGCTTCCCAAGTGAAGAAGTCCGACTCTGAGATTGGACCTAGAAGTCAAATTGCGGGATTATGTCAACAATATATCGATGATGTTGTTTGATATACCTGCAGTGAACATCCCGTCGGGCGAGCCTAGAAAGTTGGAACCCAGTGAGTGTCAACTGTGTCATTCACAAGACGACAAAGTATCAACCTCCTGAGGTCAATTGCTTGTATTCGGTCATTAATCGTCGTAGTGCAGTTGCGCTACTGCCCTTTGTATTCATGGTGAGAAATCCAAGTGAATGTTGGATAAGAGATGGAAGATGTTGGTACCGGACTACGTACAGTGACAAGCAGGTCACGGTGAGCGCTTATTACTATTTGGCGTAAATGGTAATATTTGGTGTACGTAATGCATAATCGACCGTTGAACGTAAGGCCTAGGCTTGATCAACGTTTTAACAACGGTGTCTCGCGCAATTTTACGCGCATGAACACATTTTATCTCACTCGTCTCGCTATTCCTCATACGCGCACTCCGTTCTTCACAGCGCTCTTCATAAAACTTCTACCGGAAGGAAATTATACTGGCAACGTAATGATATCCTTCCGAGTCATTTCCATCTGAAGACTCACCTGCCTACTAGAACTAGTAGAGGACGTCACGGAACTACTCATTGACAACGTAATTGGCTACAAGTTTGTGACAGTCCAATGACCACAAACTGGAGTTCAAGTTGTCTTGGAACATTGCTCTCCCACGTCAGCTCGAGACTGAAGCATTAAAAGGTTACCTCGGAGGGTAAGGCCAGAAGTGCGGAACTTATCAGGTATAGACTTTGAGATCTCGGTCTCACGCAATTATTATCAAAGGTCCGCCGCTGCGTGCAGAGATACATGTGCGCATCTGACGTTTCAGGACCTATTAGCTTTACTTTCAAAAAAAAAAAGGTGTCAAGATGACAACACCTGGCAACACTAGTCAACACTGCCGTCCGATACTCGCCATATGAACGGTGACTTTACGGACCGGTCTTTCATCTATAGGCGCTCAGATTATATACAGTGGTGGCGGGTTGCAGTGCCGAACTGTTTATCCTATAACGGCAGGCACTGTCCTCGGTGTTCAAAGTCATTCCGTGCGGATGCCCTTAGCGGGTACAGCTTGCCGCCAGGGAAGTTGGGGAGGAACACACAACCCATTTACTGTGAGAGATTTCGATTACCCCCATTCAAAGGCACATCCCTTACCTGTGGGCAAATTATTCAATATCACCATAATAATGAGAAGCAGGACCCTGGATCATACGGGACCATACCTATCACAGATATACTTTCGGGTAGAATTCGACCCGCAGGGCCGCACGTACAGGATTGGGCGACTTCTTCAACCTCAGTCCGGACCCTTGCCAAGGCCACGTGGTCCTCGGGGAGCTATATGACGGTCCGCAAGGGCTCATTGTAACTTCCGTAAAATTTTGATAATTCCATCTCGTTCCTGGATCTGACTAGTTGCCCAAGTTATGGCGGGCATACAAGCCGACACCGATATCCAGCCCTTTCCCCCTTTTGAAAAACTTCTTCTCTTGCATTCCTAGCAAGCTTGAAAAAAAAACTCTAGGAGAGTAGTGGTCAGGCCAACTCGTCTGTCAACAACTTTTCTGCGAGTTTCGCTCTAGATTCTCCCAATAATTGTGGGGGCTTCGGGATCACGCTAGACCAGACCTGCCTGTTAACGCCGAGAGCCCAGGCAGCGAAGAACATAGTCTCGGAATACACACACGTTTATTGCGATTCCTTGAACCTAGATCCGGGTTTAGGCTCTTCGGGATCTGCGTAGGTTTCATCGATATTATCCGGGGTCTAGAAGAATCTAGAGAAGCCAGGTGGCTGAACGCGTATGGCTATACTCCAAAGTATCTCCCGAATTCGGGTAATTCTTGTCTCGCAACCAAGTTCTGAATACTTCTCACCCCGCACCCCACAATGCCGTAATAATTCAGGACTTTAAGCCACCTCCTGCCAGCCCTCCGTTAGCTCGCACATTAATATCGTCATATGCGTTAATGCCTAGACTGACATTCCGTGCGATTATGCACGTACATAGTATTATAACGACCATTTGCACAGCATCGGCGTCTGTTACCAGAACACAATAACGCCCTCAATAGTATCAGCCAACTATGGCCAAACATGCTCACCATGCACGATATTAATGGTGACACCAGTTCATGTATCCTCCACGAGGTATGGCCGCCGCCTTGGTAACGTCAAGGCGTCAAGCTTCAGCTCTAATAACAGACATGCTCAGTTGACTTTATGAGCAGTCATACTAGATCCTGCTCCTGTGCGCCCCAAGTAACAGTTTCGCACCAAGCGTGAGCACCTTAACGGTGTAAAGAGCTCCCGTTCGTCGCATCCGAGGGCTCCGGGATACATCCCTTTCGATTTCTTCGGAGCGCTATATACTTTCACGTCTTCACTATCACCATTTTACGTTAGGCCTTGCTAAACTTTGTTGACGCGCAACACCGCCATTTACTTTATCACTTCCGTCATTTCGTATATGCACTAGCATGTATTGTCACATGGCATGGCAATCAGAGTCCATCCACCCTTCTGACTTGAACGGACAGATCTTATCAGCATTCGTGATCTCTATCTTATGTAACGAGTCAAATATAGCGTGATCAGCGCTATCTCCCCAAGTTATTAGTCCTATGATAGGTTGTCTCTCTCGATCCAGGACAATTCCAACAACTCCGAGAAATGGTAAGGGTAGTAGACTGTTGTAAGGAGCCTGAATGCCACAATTTTGGATATTGCTGCTCTGCATTTGACAATCAATACCCCTTTGTCCTCCATATCTCAAGTAGATTTGATCTCGCGCATTGAACCGTTTTAAGAGGTGGATTCAAGTTATACAAATATTGTGTTATGTTATACAGGGGTTATGCGTCATCAAGGATCAGCCGGGGGACGACGTTCATTGCCATCAGCTGTACAAACAATCAGTACTTAACACGAAGTGTACGAAGGCTGACGAACCTCCTGGAATAACAATTTTGCAGCGTACGGAATAGTAAGCTTAGCCATCTTCTTTGAACTCTTGCAGTATGTACACCACCCGTTGTACCCCATGAGACCGCATTCCTGGCAAGCGTTCACCTCGAACTTGTCGGAAGAAATCATCAGGCGTTCAAGCAACAGCTGAGTCGCACCGTAACCTATAAGACAGTCTCGCTCCATTTCCCCGAGCCGGAGACCACCCTCGCGGGACCGACCTTCAGTAGGCTGGCGTGTCAACGTCGCACGTGGGCCTCTTTAGAGAAACGTCAGCAAGTGAGCAATAGTTCGCCAGGATTTCTCAGGCTCATTCGATCGTACCTAGCGCGGGCGTGCATTTTGTCCATTACCATGTGTTCTGTGGCGCATGGGAGTCAATCGTGCATGATGTTAATGTGGGACTTCTCTCACTCAGTTTCTGTGAGACAATCAGTTAGCTGAAACCTTACACGACGCAGGGAATCGAAATACTTGATAGTATATTGGACCAAAATAGACATAAGCTTCCAGGGCTTCACCAGTGATACCGCTTGTGAGCATGTCTTTTCCAGCATAATTAAAGCCATGCTCAATTAAGATCCGGGACATGTCTTCAACCTGTGGTAAGAGAATTTGTAATCAGAGTTCGATCGGCGGCAGCGCTAGTATCTGTACCTTGGAGCCCCCAAATGCTGTACCGTACTGCAGTTTACCACTTAAGACCCCGGCCTGCCAATAAAAATGAGCCCACAGCACTCGCTCGTAAATGTCTGTGGGAATTACCTTCCCTGCTAAAAGCTCGATCATCTTGCCGACCGTCATTCGAGATGGGAAACCATGTGGGTTCATGATGGTATCTGACCCCAAAGTTAACTAAGTGAACATCAGCTAGGGACATGTATACCTTACCAGGGTTGATTCCCTGATCGTTGAAGGGCATGTCTTCTTGGTTTACGATCAGACCGCATACACCTTTCTGGCCGTGTCGAGATGAGAATTTATCACCCAGTTCCGGCCTCCGCGTTTGTCGGATCAAGACTTTGATCAACGTTTGGTCGTTTTCGGTATCGCTGATCATGACTTTGTCAATGTAACCAGCAACTGGGGATTTATAAGACATCGGTGCGTTCTTGTAGGGGACTGCGGCGGCTTGGCCGCTGAAAGTATTATCGCTGGCGTTCGTTGGCGTTTGCTTGTTAACATAGACATCCCCCGGATCAACCCGCTCGCCGACGCCGGCAAGACCGTCAAGTTGGACGATATCATATTTTTTCTGAGTTTGCCCGTTCTCATCCAAGGGAGCATCTGCCAGCCGATCAAAGCTAGAGATTGATGCTGAGACAAAGAGATGTACTCGACAAAAAGCTCCACTCACGTGCCGTTTGGGTATTTCCGTATGAGAGTAGCGTTCTTGCGCAGAACTTGGCACCTTCCATAACCACGATCGAGACTCGCCTACACGTCAAATCAGATTACCTGCTGACATGTAAAACAGGAAATGGTGACAAACTTTATTTTGAATGAGAGCATCCTCAATGTCATACCCAGAATAACTCATCACTGCAACTGTAGCATTTTGACCGGCCGGCAGGCGGTCGTACCCGATAAGTTCAATGGTTTTTGTCTTGACCATCGGCTGTTGCGGATACACGGATAAGTAAAGAAGCGTGTCGATCCTATTGAGTTGATTGTAGCCGATGGCGCCTATCGCCTGTTTACCCATAGCACATTGATAGGTATTTCGAGGCGATTGATTGTGGTGGGGATATGGTATAAGACCGGCGACAGCGCCCAAAATAGTAAATGGTTCAATCTCCAGATGCGTAGTCGTTGCGACAATATCGGACTCATAAAGTGCGATATAGGAATCGTTCTCTTCGTTCACATCGAGGTATTCCACGAGACCATTGCGGAGGAAGTCATCGAATGAGGCAGCGCCTTGTTTGAGTTGCTGAATGATCAAAAAATTACCAACCTGCTTTAATGTCAGAAAAAGAATCTTACCGCGATATGTTCTGACGTGACTCTTGGGCGGCCGTGCTCCACGATGATCATTGGTCGACAAATTCGTCCACCGTCGCTTGCTATATGAACAGCGTGATGGTGGTGATTAACATAAATACCAACAAACTCGCTGAAGCGGCCCTGCTCTGCGCAGCCTGCGGAAGTTTGTTACAAATCGCATCGGATACCGAGTTAGTCCAATAATTGTGCCATTCACGTTGACAACAAAGGTATGTGGTCCATATATCTCCGTGCCCGTGGCTAAGCTGATGTCTGGCAGTGCATTTCGTGTTAGAAATAGGTATGACGTGATCCGAACCCACCTTCGACGCCAAGCATCAATGCTAAACGGATAATTGGTCCTTCTTCTACATCTGTGGTGATATGCGTCATCAACGCAAGATTCTTGACTAAACCACAGGCTTCTCCCTCCGGAGTATCACTCGGACATAACATACCCCACTGACTAGGCTGTAAAGCACGAGGTCCGCTGACCTTTCTAGTCTTTTCAAATTGGGATGATATGCGTGTCATCATGCCGAGGGCAGATATGAAGCTCAGTCTGCTGAGAACATGTGTGACTCCTGCACGCTCCATTTTGAACCTCTTCAATGACCAATTCCCAGTGGAAATGGCGCGTACAAATCCGGCGGTTATGTGATCTCCCTGAAATTGCATCGTATTGAAAGCGTCGAATTCGTTGGTCCTTGACGGCTTCTTGAGAACCTTATCGATCGCTGATTTGAGATTGGCATTGAAAGTTTTGAACAGATCTTCGAACAGCAAAGCAAGTAACTGCCCCGCACTAGGTACCATTGACTCATTGACAATGATAAGAAGAGAAAAGAGACGTACAGTTCTAATCGTTTGTTTCCAACATAATCTCGATCGTCAACCATTTTTTCATCATCCATCGCCATCAAAACTCGGCGAGTCATGGTAGCCACGAAAATTGCCTTGGACCGGAAGTCCAAACCTATCACAGGAACATGGGCTAGGATAATTGTCGCAAGTGCTTCCAAGGCTTCTTCCCAGGCGGGCCTTCGTGGACCAATAACTTTTCGGTTGACTTTTACCCGGGACCCTATCCATTCAAGTGCTTGATGTCTTGTGAATACGCCCGACTTGGCAGACTCCTCAAGGTTGGCAGAAAAGGCAATCTTATAGGCCTCTGTATTTCCAGCAGTTAAAAGAAGAATCTCTTTGTCGGACTGGATACCGAGCGCTTTCAATGCAATAACGATCGGGACATCTTCGTGAATGCAATTGTGTCGAAGGTAAATTTTCCCCTTTTTCGTGGTAACATAGGTTTTGGACTTGAGCCCACCATGAGTTGAGCTTTAACACGAATTAGCCAAAGGAGAGAAGTTAAGATCCAGAGAATGACTCACGAAGTACATGAGGCTTGCACGATCCCCTTGACACTGTCAGTTTCGACAATTATGCGATTCTTGCTCAACTGTTCTTGAACAAGAATGACCTTCTCCGTGCCTTTGACAACAAAATAACCGCCGGGATCCAGGGGACACTCCGTCATTCGAGCCAGCTGCGCTTCATTCCTGCCAGTGAGCACACATTTATTACTCCTCAACATGATCGGCAGTCGTCCAATGTTAACGTTAGGTCTGCGTACAACGTTCTTTCCTCGAGTGTATTGAATAGTGACAAGAATCGGAGCACTGTAAGTGATGTCGCGTAACCGACATTCATGAGGCGTGATGCTCTTGTCTATCGCGTCCAAGTCTGTGCGGTCGGGGAAGCCGACATGGATATCCGTGTACTTGAGCCAAAAGCGAGGATCAACATCTGAGGTGACCTTGTTGTTGGCTCTCACGATGTTTTTGATATCCACATCGACAAAATAATTGAAGGAGTCGATATGCTGCTTGACCAAACCCTTGATTTTCAGGAATGCAGGTAACAACAACCATTTGTCCTGAGGTGCCGATAATGAGCGCAATAATAACTACGCACAAAAATTTTTAAAATACCTCGACCCTCTTGATTGGATCTGCAAGACCTAAGCCACGCCAGTTCGTGCGGTTTGCATGCTCCCAATCATTTTCCTCTTCCCCAATAGTGGCCATTGTTGCCCGTGATTGTTCCTTTTCCCCCCTGTGCGATGCCTTTGCGAGGGTATGTGCTATGTCGAGTAAGGCTAGAGATAGTAGGTTCAGTGATGCAAATTACTAACATAACGAGTTTCCTTTTCTGTCCAATCAGCCCCAGATCAAGCCCTCCGAGTCAGCATGCCATACCGCAACCATACCGTAAGTACTTACGACTCCGAGACAACCTCGAAGCACCTTCGGCAACGATACATCATTAGATTTATGTAAGGAGGAGAAGCCAGTCCTCCACAACCATGGGGCTTTGCTGTGCGCCAGTAGACGCTTACCTTCCTGGTTCAAGTTTGCTAGTACTTACCCGAACAAGTACTAAATTATCACTCAGGCTGTAACTCGAATGCAGCGTATGGGATGCGCATGCATATGGAGTATCATGATCGAATGTTGATTGGATTTGAGTCCACGATCACTGTACTCTGCGCATGCGACTGTATAGACATGTATGTACTAGACATCGCCTGATTTACAATATTTGTCTGACCTAGGTCGTGTCGATATCTTTTCTCATGTGTTTCCACTCGCCTATTTTTCTAAGCTGGACCCAAGCTAGACATCACAAAAGTTCACATCTGTCATGTAGGTGTACATGTTACAGTACTAAGTACTGATCAGCTTTCCTGTAATAAACCTTGAAGAGCATCATCCTGGATCCGTTGGCCGTTGATCTCCACAACCTCTCAAAACATGTTGACGTACTACATGGTAGTCAATACACAAGCTTGAATATAAAGTCGTATGACTATGTGAGATATAAACTTGAGCTGGAAACTGCTGGTTCGGGATCATCGTACAGTCGTTATCTAGCCGCTGGGTTGGAAGTATTCAATGAAAAACACATGTCGTGGTTGGAATCAAACAGCATGCCTGAACGGGGTTGACTGACATGTCATTGTTCGATCTCGATAAGAGTGCTAAGCACAGAGGTTTGGGATTGAAGCACTGCGTACTCTGCATATGGGACCGTGAGCAACCAACTGCTGCGTGTTCATGAGCAGCCGGCATCCCTAGCGTTTGAGTCAGTGTGCCGCACGATTTGAATGTTACGAGCCAGCGACTCACACACGAGGAAAGTATAGATACGATCCAGCTGAAACGAGTAAACATATCGTCAGCACAGAACAGAAGTATAAAAGGCCATATGTACAAAAGCATTACTGTTGCTCTTTCGCCGTTGAGTCGGCAGAAGCCGATCGTCAAGAGACACAGTGCTATAGGGCTCAATGAATGTTGAAAAAAGTATGGTCACGAAGTCTCTGACCAGATATGACAAAGAGGACCGCGCTGCTGTCGCGCAGAAGTAGGGATACGATCGGTGTCCTCCCCCATCCTGAGCGCCTGGTAAGGATAGTCTTCAACAACGTAAGACTCATCAAGGTGATCTGTGTGGACAAGACTATAATGCTGTAGGAATGATATCTGTTCAATAAAAGAGCATCACACCCGAGTCGTAGGCTGCTCACCTGTGGTACATCAGTTGATGCGGCGGCTTGGAAAAGATACAGTACCCATGGTATTTGGTGGCTCTTACGGTGTATACCGCATTCACCACGGAAGAAATGACTTCAAGCAAGATATGAAAGCCGACCAGTAAAACAATACGACGACTTCGGTTGAAGAGTGCGTATACTGACTTCTCCATCAATAAAGCTTCGACTACGTTCACGAGATCCTACCTCGGACAGCAAGCACCATTTCGACTGCTGTGATATGAACTTGACTCACTAAGGATGCATATATATTCCAGGCTAGACAGGAAGAAGGCGAACCACGACCTCCTGAGAAGTATTCCACGATACCTGGGTGCATTCTGCAGCACCTGACGATTCAGTTCAAGTAGTAGTTCCGAGATCGAACACACTTACGCTTGAATCAACAAACTGAAGTACCGAAGGTAGATGTAAAGCCATCTGAACACTCGCTTTTGAGGCTGCCTAAATTACACTGATCATGATTTCCAAACAACTTGAGCGAGATAATACATACATCCAGATATGCTGGACCTCGCTTTCTAAACCTAACAGCCAGTCGTAAATCAAAAAGGCGAGAGAGGAATCTGGGCAAAAAGTCAGTAGCGATGTCGATAAACGTGGCACAGGGGAACGTAGGCGCATACAGCAATGACTAGTTGCTTGTCTGAAAACAAAAGCATAAGATATGACATCTTGAGACATCGAACGCGCGAATGATCAGAAAAAATTAATGTTCGGAGGACTCAGGTGTGCGTGGTGGAATGCCACTTACCACAATGTTGTCGAAGTCATCTTAAAGCTTAGGACCCTGAAGCTTGCTGAGGCCTAACTAAGCACCATCAATTATATTTGCGCCCTCTCGGAGATCTTAGAACATTTTACCCATCATTTGTAAGCAAGAACCTGTGGAATTTGCACGGGCGTTTCTGCAATAAGTAATCACGGCCAAGATGACTGCACTGTAGCACAAGATATTACATTGATTGATATGAAAATTCAATCTCAATCTCTGAGGTAATAGGAGAGTGGGGCACGAACTTCTCAGCTACTGCCAGGCGTTGCATATTGACTATAAGTCGACAGCCCTTTAGAGTCACATTCAGGTAATTTAATGCCCGTTAGAGAGCAACTGAACTCACGCATGATGATGTGATTGAGATTAGCCAACTAACCGCAATAACGTTAAGCTTGATCCCCGGTTAGAGTAGAAAGGGCTCACAAGAACATGATGATAGCGCGCTCATCACGGAGCTCGCAAAATGAACAGACGCAGAAGAAGATCACTACAGCGTCCGAAATCATCAGAAGTATGGCAATGTCAGAAGCAAAGTTCATACCACATATTATAAAATACGTGGCCATTCCGTCCCTGATCAAAAGCGAGACAAGTGGTGCTCGACCCCAGCCAGCGCGTCTAGCCAGTATATGTTTTGTCAGAGCAAGACCTAGAAGTGTGCTTTGCAGTACCACCGCCACAATGCTGGAGGCACTGTTCACAAAAGTAGTGTCAGGATCAGAAAACTGAGACTTACGCGGGATAAATTAACTGATACGGTGGTTTTGATAGAATGCAATGAGGAATGGAGGGTATCTTATCGAAATAGCCGCTGATCACGATCGTGAGTATTATATACTCGAGTGTCATCAGCGACCCCAATAAGATAGCGATGTGGCGACTTCTATTGAACAGTGCATACACTGAAATTGACTTGGTCACTCACTACATATAATTGAAAGCAGAACAATGCCTACCTCGGACAGCCAAGATGATCTCGACAGCGGTTGTCTGGAACTGTGCCATGAGGGTACTATACACATACCATGCAAAACAGCTTGATTTTAAAGCTTTCCCGCTGTTAAGGTAAGGGACTGCGAATTGATGGAATCTCCATATCGATTGAGCATTTCAGTGGGTACGAGGGAAGTACAGAGGGTGCTTACATTTGTGTTGCAAGACTGAGATATCGGAGGGACAAGTATAACCACTTGAAAAATGAGTTCCAAGGTTTCCTGAAAAAGGGGGTCAGGACTCAGCGTATACTTCCAGGTGTTCATTAAAGACGCACGGCCATATATGCTCTATCTCGCTTTGTAAAGTAATCACTACGTCCCATAACTGAAGGGCGAGTGAAGATACTGTATATAAAAGTTCGATGCCAATATGAGACGATACTGCACTCTCACTCACCAACATGATAATTAACTTCACGGGCGAGCAATGGGTAGTCAATTGCAGAGCTTCCATCCATGGCGCTTGCCTGTCACTTGAGACTGATTGGAACTCGAGGACAGACTGGAAAGGTTTCCTGTCGGATACCAAAAACAAAGGACCCGTAAGTCGTTCGAAAATGAGGAAAAGCCAGTCTCCAAACGTGTTTCTGAGCCAAAAAAAAAAACGAATTTGATAGTATTGCCTTGAGCCTCGCCGCTCCACTAATCGAAGGCCGCCCCCGGTCAATAGAGATTTCCAGTAAAGAAGTGTCAGCTATAGCAAGCTGAAAGATAACTACAAGCAGATACAAGCCTGTTGAAGTAGCTCAAGTAAATCATCCGAGTCCGACAGACCGCGGCACCATTGACAAGCAATCCGATTGACGGGGCACACAATGACACACACTTAGCACCGTGGCTAACCATATCTTGCTCTTCTGAAGGCTCGAGCTTTTATGAAACTACCATGTACCTGAGAGGACTTGGGTTCAAAGTTGTGATATTTCGAAAAACAGCAGTTTAACGCAATTTGACTCGGATCTCACCTTTGGAATCTGTGATAGCTGTGCAGTCGGCTTGTGGGCCCGTATCTGTGGCATGTACACTGTATATTGCAATCGCGACTCGCAGCCTATAGCTAGTTGCCTCGCAATTTGTGGCGCAATTCAAGTGACGGTGGGTATTCGTGTACGGGGTTAACGCAGACTCTGTTTGACAAAGTTTGACGCCGGTGCCATGGCGACCATCACGCGTTACGGATGGCGTTTTGCCAAGGAGGCCCGTTATGTAGAACCATGCCTTTAAGCTCCAGCCACCAAACCTAAGGCCTAATGGTTCGCACTATCTTAGACCACGCCAGGGGTGACATAGCGGACTTTGCCATGTGTGGCCGCGCCGCGGTTAATGATGACGCTATCCAAGTTCAGAACGGTCTCACAGGATCAAGGATATGCCACCCAGTACTTACAGTCTTCCTACTAACCTAGTTGACCCACCGTCAGGGCCAAGAGTCTTAGTCAAGCCCAATGAAAAATTCTGAACTAGTGACAGAACCACCCGTCGTCGCACTCTCGAGGCATGGCGTGACCATCGTGTATGACGTGCCTCACACCAATTTCTCCCAATCCCACTTCATGTAATTTGTCTACTACCAACTTTCCTCCGGGTTAGGCTTTGGCCGCGTTGCTGCCTCGGACGCTTCTATACTTCCTTCTTCGATGTCGTTCCTCTAGCCTCGCTCTATTATATCGGCCGCGCCGCACAGTTGTCTCCCTGTTTCCCTAGCTGGTCCTTCGGAGAAATGATCTCGGAGCTGATGGCTGCTGCCAGTCTATTTGCGCAGTGTGCACTGATCTGCAACAGCCATTCACTGGTCATAACATGGAGCTCATAATCTGTCTGTTATGCTCCTCGACATATTGCCACACGTCTAAATTGCACAGCCCGCCACTCGTTATCTTGCATCCCTGATTGTTTCCTTACTGATATCGTCGTCGCTCACACCGGTACTCGCACGCCTCTACCCGTGTAATTGGTTATTTCTGCACAGTATTCACCCTGTGCGCCGCTGTCCGCTTTTATAATGAGGAGTACGTATACTCTTATACGTACTCTCGTCGATTCGTGCCCTTATTGTCCGCATTTATATTTTGCCCGTATTGGGTGCGTAGACGCCTCTGACTACTCTTTCCGTTCAGTCCAGTCATTGGCATTCGCATTACATGACTGATATATCCCACCAGATGTCCCTGATATACTTGGATGTCTAGTTCATTCTCCGTGATTATATATGTGATTGGTTTTGCCACCATACGGCTTTTTCAGTTCCGTGACATCGGTTTCACTTGCACTGCATTTGAGAGAGCGCTCTCCAATTTTTCTTCATCTGGCTTTCGAGATCGTCCGTTGTACGTACGACGGGCAGGGCTCCCGGTAAGACCCCGCGGCGGGCAAAACTGCTGACCAGGGATTCGGCCCTCGTCAGGGCTGGGTACGACTAGACTCAAGTGCCTTTACGGGCTCGGGCAGCAATTGCCAATTCTCCCAATTCAACTTCTTCCACCATTGGTTCAACGGGCCGCACGATAATCATGCGTACGACATTCAAATTCTCCACTTCTGAGTCTCGGGTTTTAATGGGATTGCCTCCGTACCGACTCTTGCAGCCTATCCACTCACTTCGTTGTTATGTCAAGTTAATCTCGGGACCACCCGCAAATTCCACCAGTGCATGCGCTTTCCTAACGTTGCCCCGTGTGAGACTACTGCAAGTTTCGATTCTTCTCATCTTTCACTATTCTCTGACTACGCAATGTCATGTTCGAGTAGTACGTGTCAGCGTGCCATGACTTGAGTGCGAGAGTTGGAATTTACCTTTGACGACTTAAAGTGCGAGTGAGATTGTGACGGCTGACTGAAAGTATCTCTTTCGGTTTTCTATTGGCAATGTCGATGACATGCGGGGAGCCTGACAGTCGCTATTTTTTGATGTGTTAATGGTGAGCTGCCACCAGTTAATCTAGGGGGCAGACGTGATTACGACCTTCAGATAGGCCAAATCATCGTCATCACCTATTTTTCTTCTGCTTACTACCTCACTGCCCACATATAAGTAAAGGTCAGGATGACGCGCATCTTTGTATCTCAGCATCGTCAAATCTGACTGACACGCATCGTCTTTCCTCGGGCTGTTGTTGCTAGTTGTTGGCTCGCCGGCCTCGGGCCAAAGCCTGCGCCTACCACTTGAGCACAGGAATAATACAGTCGGTGTAAAGAGTCTCCGAGCACACCTTTCACAAGCCTCCGTGTATGTGGGCACTTGGTTTCACTTGTTCGCGCTATTTACCAGTAAATTTAGGAAGTAACGTCGAGGATTTGAAGCTAATGATGGACATGCACACCCATTGAGCAAACTATCCATCTCAAAAATTGTGAAACTAGCTAGCTGGTGATGATCCTTTGGTGGCGGCCCTGGATGACGGGCAGTCAGCGTGATATGCGGTATGCTTCGATCGATGTTGGTTCGCCTCCGCAGACTTTCATAGGAACATACGTGTTACCTTTCCTTTGAGATGACACTAAAACAGTATTTTAAAATGCTGTCTGACACAGGCAGTGCGGATCTTGGTGAGTAATCTTCTCCAGTCCTCAACTTTTTCCATCGAGCTCCTCGACAACTGTTGGACTTGGCAGACCATTCCTCGTGATCGATGATGTTTTGGGAAAGCTATTTGCTGGCAACGTAGTAGTCATAGGATATCAGGTCTTAATTTTATGTTCACCATGGCTAGGCTGACTGACAGTCCATAGTGGCTGTTGTGTTCACTAGACGCTCTAATGTGAATACCTATTATGACTCACGCGAGCTACTGGCAAGTAACAATGGATCCGATTTCGTATCAGCTGCGTTGACAATAAGCACATAAAGTCCTGCTTTGATCATGTTCAAAGTTTCAAAATTTCACTGCCCGATCAATTTGGCATGAGGTGTGATGGCTACCAAAAATGCAGGACTACTCCTATCGGGTCTTTGAGCGCATCTACCTAGTAACTTGTGGCTTCGCAACAATGTCACCAATGCGGTACAAAGGGGTATCCGTCGTTGGCGGAGTAGTGGCAACAACACCGTCTTCCTTTGTCTACAAAAGTCTGGCTGGGGGAAACTACTGTGTCGACTCTTCCACCGCGGATATAACTTCATTTGAAATCCAGTGATTTGCTCGAAGAGGTATGTAGGATGTCGATCGACGTTCCGCCTATTATGAATGTTAGGGAATGTATCGAACTCACAATTGACGAGTGAACGGGGTGCCCATGGCGGCCTGGCCTGTCAGATGACATACGGGGACGACCCTGCTAAGCCTATTTAGTAAGGGGAATTTCAAATAAGAAACGTTTGTTTGGCGTGTAATCCCCCCTCCTTTCTGGAGTTGAGCAAGATCACTGGAGCGGCCGGTGTCGACCTAGGGAGTCGGTACAAGTAGCTACGGATGCCTCTGCATGTACAAAGAAATAAAAAGAAATATTGTCGGGTGTCAAATGACTACCGGTTCCATTCCCACGCCATTATCTACCTTTCTCGAATCACACTTACTCACCTTTCCATTGCAATCTTTCACTAGCACTCTCTGTAATAATTTTGTCAAATCCTCAATTGCCCTTATGTCGAAACCATCCACACCACAGCCGTCAAACACTCTCCTACTTCGTAGGCAGCTCACTGAGCTCACGAAACACCCGGTTGAGGGTTTCTCTGCAGGTGCGGGCAGCCTTTCTCCCTAACTTTGATCTTCAACCGATTCCTGATAGACTTCCGGGCAAAGGACTTGTCGATGACAACAATCTTTATGAATGGGAGGTCATGATCATCGGGTTAGTACAAATCTCTTCAAAGCCATCCATCGCACTCACCAGATTTGACAGGCCTCCGGACACCCTGTAGTACGCTCACATACCCCTCTTCATTTATATCTCTTATTCATACCCGATCTAGTGAAGGAGGGTTCTTCAAGGCTCGCCTTTCTTTTCCTTCAGAGTACCCTCTCCAACCCCCAAAGATGCGGTTTATCACGCCCATGTGGCACCCAAACAGTAAGCTCCGGGTGCACTTAATCACCGCGTGATCTAACTCTATCATGCAGTTTACGCCGATGGCGTGGTTTGCATCTCCATCTTGGCGCGTATTCTTTACTGTCTCCATCAATCAAAGCTCATCTATGATCGCAGCATGCTCCGGGTGATGATCAGTACGGTTATGAAGATGCCGGTGAACGATGGATGCCCGTTCACACAGTGGAAACAATTGTATGACGTTCATCGAAACGTTTCCTTGGTGCCGATTTGACTCTCCACCGTAGCTTGTGAGCGTCATATCGCTACTGTCTTCCGAGACCCCAAACACGGACAGCCCAGCCAACGTGGATGCCGCCAAAGAAATTCGCACGGATCATGCTGGTGCGTGACCCCCAGTTGACAGAATCACTTGATCCTAACCACGTCATTATAGCTTATAAGAAGAAGGTACGGCGTCTGGTACGTAAGAGTGCGGAGGAGGCTTTTGATTAGTTCATCTTCATCTCCCCTGCATATTCACCCATCAGTTGTACTCCTGTTTCGTAGTCTCTGTGTTACTAGTTGCTCCATCTTTGTCATCGTATAAGTACCAACGAGTCTATCAAGACCTTGTCAATGTCTGAAATGGAAGCCGGTCTGATACCTGATCACGTGACACACGCAGTGGAGTACCCTTGAGCTGTGGCCGCTATCCATCTTTCTCCTTACACCCCATCACAATCACATCACCCACTACCAAATCACTAATCAACACCAAGCATGTCGGAACAAGCTGGCGAGGCAAGTCCATCAAAGAGTCTCTGTAAATCTAACCTGAAATATTCCAAATGCCGTATGTTACATGTTCTCGTTTATTGGGCTGTGTTCTACCCAGGCTGTACCTGCAGCTCAGAAAAGTAGCTGGACTAGCTTTTTGAAATCGTGAGTGTCCATCGTCCTTCATTTGGTGAGATCCTTTGATCAGTAAACTGACACCCCTTAGGCTGGCTGGCTTCACGGGCGATCTGTCGGCTATGACTGCTCCTCCGTTTATATTATCTCCTACGTCCCTTACTGAGTTCCCAGGTGCGATCAGCTTTTGAGCGGTATGTATCGATCTGACTGTGTTCCGTTGTTCAGCCTACTGGTGTGAGCGACCTGAGTTGTTTGCTGCGATTGCCGATGGGAAGACGGATCAAGCACGAGCGTTGGCTGTGTTGAAATGGTTCATCGTGAGTCGAGAAACATGGTTACATATCGTTCCGCTTATTTATATGGTTGGCAGAGTACACTTAAAGGGCAATACACATCCCGGAACGAATCAATGGGGTCTGAGAAGAAGTATGTGATATGGTTGTATGTATCCCTGGTATGAAGCTCATCTATGATGCAGGCCGTTGAATCCTGTTCTTGGAGAGTAAGCGTCTTCGTTGCCGACACATGTATCTTGCGTTGATCTGATCTCTTCTAGACTCTTCTACGGATATTGGCCAGCGAACGCAGCTCGTGGAGGCAAAACCACCCTGGTCGTAGAACAAGTCTCCCACCACCCTCCTATCACAGCTTATCGCATAGAGAACCTCGAAAAAGGTGTGATTTTGACTGGACACAGTGCCCAAAAGACGAGTTTCAGCGGTATGTTGTCCTTGTTTCATATACCAGGTCCCGTATGCTGACGTACGTTTTATTCTAGGGGGAAGCATCATCGTGAAGCAAGTCGGACACGCAGTTCTGACTGTATCTCTTCCGTCTGGTGAGACCGAGGAATACCTGATCACACTTCCTCGACTCCGTATTGACGGGCTGTGGTTCGGATCACCGTATATCGAGCTCGCAGAAACGAATTACATTCAAAGCTCTACCGGGTGGCTTTCTACGGTGCGTGCTTACTTCCCACTTCTCATAATCCTTGCTATCCCAGTCTGAATCTGACGAACCAACCAGATTGAATACAAAGGCAAAGGCTATTTCTCCGGCAAATCACACACGTTCAAAGCAACGCTCACCCCGCCTTCACATATCCATACCTCCCCCCACGTCATCGAAGGGACGTGGCATACAACGTCTAAAGATTTGCATAGCAGTGCTACGTTCCATGATGTCACCTCGCCGAAGGAGGAGATTACGGTTGCGCCTATGGAGGAGCAGGGGGAGTGGGAGAGCAGGAAGTTGTGGTATGGTGTTGCGAAGGGTATTAGGGAGGGTGATTTTGAGAGTGCTGCGACGTTTAAAGGGAAGATTGAGGTGCGTTCATTGTTCTTGTGTTTTTTAATGAAAGTTTACTGATGGGCGATTGTGTTGAAATTTGGATAACAGAACGAGCAAAGGCAGAGGAGACGGGACGAATCTGCTGGTGGTACGACGTGGGAGTTGAAGCATTTTAAACATGTGGAACATGATCCTGTCTGTGAGTGTACCTCCTCTCTCACCATCTGTCTAGATATTAATACCAACTCTCTTTAAGACGAACGTCTAGGCAAACTATTCAAAGCGAACCCCCCAACAGAGGATGGATATGTTTACCTCGGCAACGGTCCGCGCTCTGAGTCTTAGTTGTAGATACCTGGCAAGTATACCTCCAGACGTGCAGACGACCGCTGTCAGCCTATAGAGCATTGTTTGTACCTTTGGATATTCTAGATTGGATTGGACGTCTGGATCGGTTGACGTTCTTGATCTGATATATTCTCCTATTGTTCTTTCTAGTTATCACAGATATGGACTTGATTAATTCACGTTTGGGCCAGTTGTGTGAGCGATAGGGCAATGATTGAACGTTATCGTATCACAGATACGGACTGATCTAATCCACATTTCACTCGATTGTTAGTTCACTGCCTAAAAAATCGATTTGTTTTTGGTATCAGGCAGGAACACATACACATAGCTCATACGCTGAACCAGCAAAGACGTTGCAGATATGTTCACAAGTCCCTCGAGAAATACGTAGTCCTACCTACGCCAACTTTCCATCATACTATCTCGCACATGAGCAGCAATTGCCCATCAAACTGACGACTCTTGAGTATCAACTAGAACGTCGATCACACTGCACTACGTACGTGATGAACTTGATCGCAATTAACTTTGGAATCTGGAACTGCTCGTGTGAGTGACAGTACCGTACGCGGTGACGATCACATTTGTCTAAGTAGATCGTTCTGCTCCTTGTCAACCAGTTCGCCGCCATTCAAGTTGTCCGAGTCATTTGCATGTCCCGAAATCCATGAAATGGTAAGTTTAAGTCGCCTGCTGTTTCTCGCTGGCATATCCATTTCCTCATTTGTGGGTGACCACAACACTCAAACATTGCGTCGATTCCGGAGTCCGGACTCTTGACAATGCAATGTACGATTGATTGTGTGCAAATGCATGAGTGCCAGTGCAAAGGTCAAGAGAGTGAGAACTCAGTGCGAGCCATTGAACGAGTCATCGCATATGCAGGTCACAGCGGAAATTGGTTTCAGTTCATGGTCCAATTCCAGCGTGTGGGATTAAAGGAGAACCATCCAACGGTTGGATCTCTTGTTGAAAGTAAGAGAATGAGCGTAGACAGGAAGATCACCACTACTGTCTTCTGCTTCTAGAGAGGTCGCAGTGCGATCCTGACCCTCCTGAGGCAGTGAGGGTGCAAAAGACAGTCACACTACTTGCCGCCACTGGCATGTTTGGAGCTGCCTCATCACGTGACCTCCCATATAAAAGGGCAAGCTTGGTTTGAACTGCAACAAGTACCCCTAAAGTACTGTTAACCATTGCGAATCCAAGGTAACCCTCTGCAGCTGTGTCGGAACGGACTCTACACCGTAGTCATGGTCAAATACTGTGGATATGTTATGCGAGACGAATGGTTGATCCAGCGAGCCGTTGATTTAGGCCATCCGCGCCCCGTGACCGTAGGAGACCGAATGGACATGCTTCTCATGGCATCTGACGATCTCAGGATAGCGACGAACGTTTACCCTTACACCAAACTTCGTCGCGTGAAAAACTCTAAGGGGACTAAGTTCTGGTGCATTGCTTTCGCCGCGAACGATCCTCTCTTGGAAAGGATGCCAACCAGCGCACCGCCGGAGGAAATATACAAGGGTTTGAAGGAGGTGCTGCAGAAGACAGGCCCACCTGGTTGGTACCAAGCGTCCTGAAACACAATGTCAGTGACTATGCTCATCGCCAATGGAAGCGACTAATGTTCATTGCGAAGCTACAACCTCGTCGCACTCATGACCTGCCCCATACCGTCCAAACCCTCAAATCCCAAGATGAGTGGTATATTGGCAGATATAATTAGTTATTCTTCTATCTGCCTAAGGAATGGAGAGCCCGCAGTATGTCGAGGATACTCTGTTTAGCCCCTCTTCTCCCTTCTTTTATGTAGCGGAGTAATCCCTTGCTGGACGCATGTTGATATATATAGTGAAGAAATTGCCAGGGAGCGATGCGAACGAGAGACACGTGGTCCAACATCTGAGTTTGTACACCTTGTTAGTGTACGGCGAATTTTCGTTGTTCTCATTTTTGTTAATGGAGGTTTACTGGTGTGCGATTGTGTTGCAATTTGACTTCGAAATCTGGGGCCGCTTGTGTGAGCGATAGTACCGTATGCGATGGCGATCACGTCTGTGTAAGTAAGTCGCCTGCTGCCAGTGCTTCTCCCTGATTTGCTAAATAACCTGTTAGATAGCGGGCGCTAGCTCAAAGGGAACGCAACCCATCAATTGTAGTGGGCATTGGGGACGCATGTGAACGCGTCGCAGTGAACGGCCTCCTGTCTGCTCTGGTGGACGAGAACGAACTAGCTAGTCATAAAATGTGACTTCACGGAATGTGCTTGTATGATACTCAGGCGCTTCACCTTGCAGCGATAAGGCCACGTCGAAGGACACACTGAATGGGTCTCGGGCAGGTGTATGACGACGGCGGATCATCACTTGTTCAATGGACGGCTCGCTGCGGGTATGGAAATTGAAGAGCGGGAAACAGATAGGAGAAGACTGGCGGGATGAAGAAGACGGGTGGAATGAAGACCGGCGAGATGCAGTGCACAGCATAGCGTTGTCTCCGCACGGGAAGAAAGCGGTTAACGGAAGTCGTGATGGCGCAGTGAGGTCGTGGGACATCGACACAGGCAAGGTCATCACAAAATGGACGGGGCACAAATGGGAAGTACGGTCTGTCTGCTGGAGTCGAGATGGTCGGAGAGTGTGAAGCGGAGCCTGGGATGGGACTATCAGTAATACAACTGGAACGTCGATCGCACCGCACTACGTATGTGAATCCTAAGATGAACTTGATCGCGGTTAACTTCGGAATCTGGGGCTGCTCGTGTGAGTGACAGTACCGTACGCGATGACGATGACGTTTGTCTAAGCAAATCGTTCTGCTCTTCGTCCGCCAGTTCGTCGCCATTGACGTTAGCACGTCCCAGGATCCATGAGACGGTAAGTTTAAGTCGCCCTCTGCTTCTCGCTGTTTTGCTAAATAACCCGCTAGATAACGAGCGCTAGCATATAGACAACGCAACCCATCCTCCTATTCAATAATAGTAGATATTGAGGATGCACGAGAACACTTTGCAACGAACAACCTATTAGCTTCACTAGTTGTTGAGAATCAGTTCATGGACCGAGGCTGTACGGAATGTGATCATTTGATGCTTGTGCGCTTCAGCTGCGCAGTCTATGTTGTGTATAAGCTGTGAAAGCAAACACAAGGATAAGGCATGTAAGACGTACCAGGAGGCAGTGAATTCAACTCTTGACAGAAACACCCATTGTGTCCTGCTATTCACCTGTCATTGTTGTCCTCGTAAGTCACGATTTTGGAATTTTATCGATGAAGCTGAGATAGCGTTGCACTCGGTAGTAGGAATTCTGGAGTATGGCTTCACCCCCCACTGAAACGAAAGACACATCAGCGATAACACCACGCCAGAAATTTGAAGGACACACCGATTTTGTCAGTGGCGTCATGCACCTGCCCGACGGACAACGGATCATAACATGTTCGGATGACGGCTCGCTGCGGGTATGGAACTTGAAGAGCGGGAAACAGATAGGAGAAGACTGGCAGGATGGAGAAAGTGAAGTGTGGACCATAGCGTTGTCTCCGGACGGGAAGAAAGTGGTTAGCGGGAGTGATGATGGTGCTGTGAGGTTGTGGGACATCGACACATGCAAGGTCATCGCTAAATGGACGGGTCACACAATTAGGGTGATGTCTGTCTGCTGGAGTCGAAATGGTCAGCGAGTGGTGAGTGGATCTTCCGATGGGACTGTAAAACAATGGGACGTGGAAAGCGGAGAGACCATCTTCGAGCCGATTCGAATCGAGACAGGGCGCGAAGTGTGGGCAGTCATCTATTCACCAGACATGACCTTGATTGCGACGGGTGGATATGATGGACCCTGGAATATGTCGATTAAACCCGACGAGTTTCCAATTAAAATCTGGGACGCAAAGACAAGCAAGCTTGTCGCAACTCTCAAACACCCAGAGGCACCAGTGTATGCCCTGGCTTGGACCAAGGACGGAAAAACGCTTATCTCCGGGTCATCAAATAACTCAATTAGGACATGGGATACAACCAAGTGGGAGCAAACCGCGCTTCTGGATGAGCACACTGAATGTGTCTTTGCCATTGCAATATCACCAAATGGTCGCATCCTCGCAAGCGCATCAAACGACAGTACAGCGCGGTTGTGGAACCTCGACAATGGACAACCCATCAGTTCGCCTTTCGAGCACGCAAATGAAGTGACTTCCGTGTCGTTTTCTGCAGATGGAAAGCAACTAGCCACCGGCTGCTGCGATAAAAACGCGTACACGTGGGATGTTGCTGCAACTGTTAGAGAAGCTGGCCTCGATGACCTTCTTTCGGATCCAAAGGTGAGTACTCATATCTCATTTCATGAGTGTTTAAGAACTGAATTCGCCCACCCAGGCCGACGTGACACTACACCATGTACGTGACATCTTCGTCAGATGATGACATTGTACTCAACATATACCCTCTAGGCTGATGCCACTCGACATCTGGTCCAACGACGTCAGCCTGCTCATCGAGTACCCCAAGGTTTTTTCAATCATTCACGAGAAAGGTCTCAAGTACGTAGCTTTACTATTAGTGTCGCTTCATTTTTTTTGACTTCATGTTTGCAGTTCTCTGCACGAAGCGACCTCCGCTCCTCAGAACCGCAAGGAAGCACATTTCTTCATCGCTTATTTCACCGCAGTCCCGCCAATAGCCATGATTCGTCACCGTCCTCTCCTCTCATTTGGGCTCGAAACCTTTTGAAATGGCGCGGACAAAGTGGTGAAGGTACCGAGTTGCCAGGGCACAGCCCCGCAGTTGTTGAGGTTCCGTATGCGAAGGGCAAACGTGTATGTTCTCTCTTTCTACTGGACGTTCAACTCCACCTAATATCGCGTAGAGAAATGCGTCAGCGAGGGAGAAACGGAAAGGAATATTGCCATTGAAGAACCCTGCTGCGAGCAGCTCACGGCCTCCCAAGCCCAATCCCACACAGCAATCCGGCACAACAACTCAGACCTACCCATCTTTGCAACCACAGCCAGCTGTCTCCGATTCGTCTAGCATACCTGCTGTCGGTGATGATACCGCAGCTACAACTTCAACGACCTCGCGCCCCGACGTAATGCTCATACAGGCTGGACTCTGGGCTCGCTTCTGGCTCTTCATTGGTTGTCTGTCTCCTGAATACCAGGATGGTCATCATTAGTCTATCTCGCGCGCCTCTAAAATATTACACCTCTCATCCATGAGCGCTACTTCTCTTCTATCTTTTGAGCTGTGCACGCCAAGCTCTGGATTGGATCGGACGTTTACTTCCCCATTATAATCATCGCAGATGTGAACCTTATTGGTTCATAATTTTACTTGAGGTCATCTGTGTGAGCGATACTAGGGTGACACCATTGATTGGACATGATGGTCCTATGCATGTGAACGAATCAATGGGGTCTGAGAAGAAGTATGCAATATGCTTGTATGTATCCCTGGTATGAAGCTAATCATGCAGGCCATTGAATCCTGTTCTCGGAGAGTAAGCCTCTTCATTGCAGACACATGTATCTTGCGCTGATCTGATCTCTTCTAGACTCTTCTACGTGTTTTGGCCAGCGAACGTAGTAGCTCGTGGAGGCAAAACTACCCTGGTTGTAGAATATGTCTCCCACCACCCTCCTATCACAGCTTATCGCATAGAGAACCTTGAAAAAGGTGACTTTGCCCAAAAGACGAGTTTCAGCGGTAGGTTTTGTTTCTTGTCTTCCTTTCGTGTATCATGTATCACCCCGCATGCCCGATGCACGTTTAACTTCAATTCTAGGGGAAGCATTGTCGTGAAACAAGTCGGGCATGCAGTTTTGGCTGTATCTCTTCCAGCGAGGAATACCTGATCACACCTCCTCGACTCCGCATCGATGGACTGTGGTACGGATCACCGTATATCGAGCTTGCGGAAACGGGTTACATTCAAAGCTCTACCGGGTGGCTCTCTACAGTGCGTGCTTACTTCCCACTCCTCATCATTCTTGTTATCCCAATCTGAATCTGACGAACCAACCAGATCGAATACAAAGGCAAAGGCTATTTCTCCGGCAAATCACACACGTTCAAAGCAACGCTCACCCCGCCTTCACATATCCATACCTCCCCACACGTCATCGAAGGGACGTCTAACGAGTTGCATAGCGGTGCTACGTTCCATAATGTCACCTCGCCAAAGGAGGAGATTACAGTTGCGGCTGTGGAGGAAGCAAGGGGAGTGGGAGAGCATGAAGTTGTGGTATGGTGTTGTGAAGGGTATTAGGGAAGGTGGTTTTGAGAGTGCTGCGACGTTTAAGGGGAAGATTGAGGTGTGTTCATTGTTCTCTTTTTTGCTGATGCGTGATTTTGAAATTTGGATTTGGAACAGAACGAGCAGAGGCGAGAAGACGCGAGTTCGTCGCTATCAACATGAGCATGTTCGGTCGGTTGAAAGTCGCCTGCTGCTTCTTGCTGTTTTGCTAAATAACCGGTTAGATGATGGGCGCTAGTTCACGCAACTCATCGGTAGTAGTAGACATCGGAGACGCACGGGAACGCTTTGCAGCCAACGGCCTCCTGTCCTCTCTAGTGTCCGAGGACCAGCTAATCATAGATTGTGGCTTCACGGAATGTGATCATATTATGCTTGGGCGCTTCAGGTGCACAACCTAACCTATGCTGTGTTAAGCTGTGAAGGGAACACGAGGATAAGGCATGTAAGACGTAATACGAGGCAGTGAATTTAACTCTTGACAGAAACATCCATTGTGTCCTGCTATCCACCTGTCATTATTGTCCTCGTAAGTGATGATTTTAGGATTTCATCGATGAAAGCTGAGATGGCGCTGCACTCGGTAGTAGGAATCCTGGAGTATGGCTTCGCCTACTAAAACGAAAGAGATATCAGCAATAAGGCCTCGTCAGAAATTTGAAGGACACACCAGTTGGGTCTCGGGCGTCATACACCTGCCTGACGGACGGCGGATCATCACTTGTTCACAAGACGGCTCGCTGCGGGTATGGAACTTGAAGAGCGGGAAACAGATAGGAGAAGACTGGCGAGATGAAGAAGACTGGCGGGATGAAGAAGGCTGGCGGGATAGAGTGTATGGGATAGCGTTATCTCCGGATGGGAAGAAAGTGGTTAGCGGAAGTCGTTATGGTGCAGTGAAGTTGTGGGACATCGACACATGCAAGGTCATCGTTAAATGGACGGGGCACACAAGCTTTGTGTAGTCTGTCTGCTGGAGTCGAGATGGTCGGAGAGTGTTAAGCAGATCCTGGGATGGGACTGTAAGACAATGGGACGTGGAAAGTGGAGAAACAATCCTCGAGCCAATCGTGACCGGGTATGATAAGGTGCACGCAGCCATCTATTCACCTGACATGACCTTGATTGCGACTGGTGGATGTGATTACCCAACCAAAGGAAAACCCGTCGCAATTCAAATTTGGGACGCAAAGACAGGCAAGCTCGTCGCAGCTCTCAAAGGACACACATACACAGTGAATTGCCTGGCTTGGACCAACGACGGACAAAGGCTTATCGATTATCTCTGGATCGTGGGATGGCTTGATTGGGACATGGAATACTAAAACATGGAAGCAAACCGCGGTTCTGATTGAGCACCCTTCCCTTATCTGCGCCATTGCAATTTCTCCAAATGACCGCATTCTCGCAAGCGCATCCTTAAACCGCATACCACAATTGTGGAACCTCGACAACGGACAATCCATCAATTCGCCCATCCAGCATCCACAACTAGTTCAATGCGTATCGTTTTCTGCGGATGGAAAGCTACTAGCAGCTGGCTGCGCTGACAACAATGCATACACGTGGGATGTTGCTACGATTGTTCGAGAAGCTGGCCTCAACGACCTTCTTTCAGATTCAAAGGTGAGTACACGGGCATTATTTGATTTCATTATCACAACTGAACACACTCTGCTAGGTCAAGAAATCGGTACTCCATGTATGTGACACCTTCGTCAAAAGATATCATTTTGTTCAACATATACGCTCTAGGCTGATGCTACGCGACGTCCGCCTGCTTATCGGATACCCCAAGGTTTCTTCGATGGAATCCCTTCTCATGTACGTCATCACTATCACTTTGAGTATCATCCTGACCTCTTTCAGTCCTCAGCACAAAGCCGTCCCCACTCCTCAGCACATCCAGGTAGCACGTTTCTTACCCGCTTGTTCCACCGCAGTCCCTCTGATACCCATGATACGTCACCGTCTTCTCCACTCGACTGGGCTCGAATCCTTTTGAGACCGCGCGGATAATGTGAAGGCACCGAGTTGCAAGGGCGCAGTCCCACAGTTCTCGAGGTCCCGTATGCGAAGGGCAAACGTGTATGTTATTTCTCATTCTCAGCTCAACTCCACCTAATATCACGTAGCGAAACGCTTGCGCGAGGGAGAAACGGAAAAGACTATTGCCCTTGAAGAACCCAACTGCAAGCAGCTCACAGCTTCCCAAGCCCAATGCCATACCGCAATCCGGCACAGCAACCCAGACCCAGCCATCTTTGCAACCACAGCCAGCTGTCTCCAATTCATCTGCTACACCCGCTGTCGGTGATAATACCGCAGCTACAACTTCAACGCCCTCGCGCCCTGACGTAATGCTCATACAGGCTGGACTCTGGGCTCGCTTCTGGCTCTTCATTGGTTGTCTGTCTCCTGAATACCAGGATGGCCATCATTAGTCTATCTCGCGCGCCTCTGAAATATTACACCTCTCATCCATGAGACCTGCTTCTCTGGTATCTTTCGAACTGTCTACACTAAGCTCTGGATTGGATTGGAGGTCTGTGATATCGATGGACGTTCGAATGATCTGATATTCATTTACTTCTCCATTATAATCGTCGCAGATATGGACCTTATTGATTCATAATTTTACTTGGGGTCATTTGTGTGAGCGATACTGCGGCGATGTCATTCATTGGACTTCCAATCCTGTGATGGTCCTATGCATGTGAACGAATCATTGGGATCTGAGAAGAAGTATGTGACATCATGGTGGTTGTATGTATCCCTGGTGTGAAGCTAATATATGATGCAGACTGCTGGATCCTGTTCTTGGAGAGTAAGCGTCTTCGTTGCCGACCTATGTATCTTGCGCTGATCTGATCTATTCTAGACTCTTCTACGGGTACTGGCCAGCGAATGCAACTCGTGGAGGCAAAGCTACCCTGGTCGCAGAACATGTCTCCCACCACCCTCCTATCACAGCTTATCGCATAGAGAACCTCGAAAAAGGGTGATTTTGACGGGGCATAGTGCCCAAAAGACGAGTTCTAGTGGTACGTTCAATGTTTCTCTTCTTCCTTTGTGTCACATATCACCCCGGATGCCTGACGCACGTTTCACTTCAACTCTAGGTGGAAGCATCATCGTAAAGCAAGTCGGGCATGCAGTCCTGACTGTATCCCTTCTGTCTGGGGAAACCGAGGAATACCTGATCACACTTCCTCGACTCCGCATCGATGGGCTGTGGTACGGATCCCCATGTATTGAGCTTGCAGAAACAAGTTACATTCAAAGCTCTACCGGGTGGCTCTCTACAGCGCGTGCTTACTTCCCACCTCTCATCCTTGCTATCCCAATCCCAATCTGACGAACCAACCAGATCGAATACAAAGGCAAAGGTTATGGAAGAGCAGGGGGAGTGAGAGAGCATGAAGTTGTGGTATGGTGTTGCGAAGGGCATTAGGGAGGGTGATTTTGAGAGTGCTGCGAAGTTCAAGCGGAAGATTGAGGTGCGTTTCGTTCTCATTTTCGTTAATGGAGATTTACTGATGCGCGATTGTGTTGCAATTTGGATAACAGAACGAGCAAAGGCAGAGAAGACGGGACGAATCTGCTGGTGGTACGACGTGGGAATTGAATCATTTTAAACATGTGGAACATGGTCCTGTCTGTGAGTGTACCTCCTCTCTCCTCTTCATCATTTGTCTAGATGCCAATGCTAACGCTCTTTGAAGACGAACGTCTAGGCAAGCATTCAAAGCAAACCCTCCAACAGAAGATGGATATGTTCACCTCAGCAACGTTCCGCGCTCCGAGTCCTAGTCGTAGATCCCGGGCAAGTATGCCTCTAGACGCAGATATGGACTTGAATCATTCATGCTTGGGTTGGTTGTGTGAGCAATAGGGCAATGATTGGACGTTATCGTATCACAGATAAGGACTGATCTAATTCACATTTTTACACAATTGTTAGTTTATTGCACGCAAGATCGATTTTTTTCGGTATTAGGAATACATAGACCATGCAGCGAGTTCATCCGTTGGACAGTACCAAGGGATTTGGAGCTGGAAACGCGGAGGACAAAGACTTTGCTGAAAATCCCTGGAGAAATAAGTGCGGAAATTCAACCTTCTATTCAAACTGACCGCTCTCGATTAACAATAATATAGTTGGCACATTGATCGCATTACACTATGTACGTGAATCCTGAGACGAACTTGATCGCGGTTGACTTGGCTGCTTGTGAGCGATAGGTCTGTAGGCGATGGCGATCATGTCTGTATTAGTAAATCGTTCTGCTCCTTGTCTGTGAGTTCGCTGCTGTTGACGTGGGTAGTACTATCCTGGGATCAACCGGACGGTCAGTTGAAAGTGGCCTGCTGCTTCTCGCTGTTCTGCTAAATAACCGGTTAGACAACAGGCGCTAGCTCAAAGGGAATGCAGCTCGTCGATAGTAGTAGACATTGAGGAGGCACGAGAACCCTTCGCAGTGAACAGCCTCCCGTCCTCTCTAGTGGTTGAGAAACAGCTGATCATGATAGACTGAGGCTTAACATAATGTGATCATATGGTACTTGGGCGCTTCAGCTTGCACACCCTATGCTGTGTGTAAGCTGTGAAGCGAACACGAGGATAAAGCATGTGAGACGTACCAGGAGGCAGTGAATTCAACTCTTGACAGAAACACCCATTGTGCCCTGCTATCCACCTGTCATTGTTATCTTCGTAAGTGATGATTTTGGAATTTGGTCGATGAAAGCTGAGATGGCGCTGCACTCTGTAGTAGTAGGAATTCTGGAGTATGGATTTACCCACTAAAACAAAAAAGACATCAACGATAACGCCTAGCCAAAAATTTGAAGGACACGCCCATGTTGTCGAGGGCGTCATACACCTGCGCGACGGACAGCGGATCATCACTTGTTCAATGGACGGCTCGCTGCGGGTATGGAACTTGGAGAATGGGAAACAGATAGGAGAAGACTGGTCGGATGAAGACTGGTCGGATGAAGAAGACTGGTCGGATGAAGAAGACTGGTCGGATGAAGACTGGAACAAAAGGAAAGTGCTCAGTATAGCGTTGTCTCCTGATGGGAATAAAGTGGTTAGCGGGAGTGGGGATGGTGTTGTGAGGTTGTGGGACATCGACACGGGCAAGGTCATCGCTGAATGGATGGGGCACACAAGGGATGTGAAGTCTGTCTGCTGGAGCCGAGATGGTCGGAGAGTGTTGAGCGGATCTTGGGATGGGACTGCAAGGCAATGGGACGTGGACAGTGGAGAGACAATCCTTGAGCCAATCGAGACTGGGCACGATGACGTGTACACAGTTATCTATTCGCCGGACATGATCTTGATTGCGACTGGTGGATATAGTGATCTCTTTGGACCCCCTGGCCAACGGCGGATCCGCAGAGAATCCATCGAGTGCTACCCCATCAAAATCTGGGACACAAAGACAGGCAAGCTTGTCACAACTCTCAAAGGACACACATGGACAGTGAATTGCCTGGCTTGGACCAAGGACGGAAAAACGCTTATCTCTGGGTCAGCTGACAAATCCATTAGGACATGGAATACAACCAACTGGGAGCAAATCGCAGTGCTGGTTGAGCACACTCAACCTGTCCGTGCCCTTGCAATATCACCGAATGACTGCATCCTCGCAAGTGCATCGGACGACACAGTACGATTATGGAACCTTGACAATGGACAACTCATTGGTTCATCCCTCCAGCCCACAGAGCCACTGTCCGGCGTGTCATTTTCCGCGGATGGAAAGCAATTAGCAACTGGCTGCATGGACAAAAATGCGTACACATGGGATGTTGCTGCGATTCTTAGAGAGGCTGGCCTCGACGATCTACTTTCGGATTCAACGGTGAGTTGATGGGCATCATTTTATTTCATATCACAACTGAACACGCTCTGCTAGGCCAAGAAATTGACACTCCGTGTATGTACATGATACCTTCATTAAAAAATCTCGTTGTGCTCAACATATGCTTTAGTCTGATGCTATGCGACGTTCGGTCCAGCGACGTCCGCCTGTTCGTCGAATACCACAAGGTTTCTTCGATGCAGTCCCACCAGAACATTCTCATGTACGTCATCACCATCACATTGAGTATTATCCTGACCTCTGCAGTCCCAGTCCTCAGCACGAAACCATTCCCACTCCTCAGTACAGCCAGGCAGCACGTTTCTTAGCCGCTTGTTCCGCCGCAACCCCTCTGACAACCACCATACGTCACTGTCCTCTCCAATCGACTGGGCTCGAAACCTTTTGAAACCGCGCAGACAAAGCGGTGAAAACACCGAGTTAGAAGAGTGCGGTCCCACAGTCGTCGAGGTCCCATGTGCGCCAGGCAAACGTGTATGTTATTTCTCTTTCTCAGCTCAACTCCATCTAATATCACGTAGCGAAACGCTTGCGCAAGGGAGAAACGGAAAATACTATTCTTACCCTGGAAGAACCCTACTGCAAGCAGCTCACAGCCTCCCGAACTCGATACCACGCAGCAATCCGGCACAGTAACTCAGACTCAGCCATCTTTGCAACTAGCTATCTCCAATTCGTCTACTACACCTGCTGTCGGTGATAATACCGCAGCTACAACTTCAACGCCCTCACGTCATGACGTAATAATCAGACAGGCTGGACTCTGGACACGCTTCTGGCTCTTCATTGGTTGTCTGTCCCCTGAATACCAGGATGGTCGTCATTAGCCTACAACTTACTCGTCTCCTATGATGATTTCTCGTCCACCTTTGAAATATTATAGCTCTCGTTGATAAGGTCTGCCTCTGCTACGTTTCGAATTGACCTTTTGAGATACCACATACTAAGTTCTAGATTAGATTGGACGTCTGTGGTGTTGATGGGTGTTCCAATGATCTGATATTCACTTCTCATTATCGCAGATATGGGTTTTATTGATTCATACTTCTACTTGGGGTCATTTGTGTGAGCGATAGGGTGATGTCATTGATTAAACGTCCAGCTCTGTGACGGATGTCCGCATGATCTGATATATTCTCCTACTTCTCCGTTCCAGTATCACACAGGACCTGGCTCATCCATACTTTCACCTAGGGTTCTAATCATGTACTCTCATTTTTCCATGTCATCAGGACAAACAAAGGTATCAAGTTTCAGGCCTCAGTTGCAGCATACCGCCGTGTCATTGTACATCACACGCAAGCTGTGTCATCGTATGTGATCGCGGCTAGGTCCATCCCACTGCTGCCGGATGCTGATGATCAAGAAAAATCCTTCAAGTATGACAGGTGCTAGCTGCAAACGTATCAATATCACAAGCATTAACTAATAGCACACTCATTACTCTTTGGAACGCAACTGCTTTCCAGCACTAGGTCAGTAGACTTCAAAAATCATCATCCTCGAGCTCCTCACTTACCTCCCACCCGTCTATGATCCTCAGAAGCCATAATCGTCGTCATAATCCCCTTCGTCGTCGTCATCGTCGTCGTCCTCGTCGAAACCCTTTACTTCTTCCTGTCGTTCCATGGCACCTTTCCGCTCTTCTTCTGCATCTCTGGCGAGTCGGAGGCCACATGCATTTCGTATCCCCCGCCCGACCCATTTGTCGCTCAGCCCCTCAAGCATCAAGTCATGGGGCCCACGATCACTTTCACCATCAGTACACGCAACGTCATATGAAATACCGACAGCAGCGAGAAGCAGCCGTATGCCCCTTACGAGTGATCGTTGATATGCGAGCATGGCCTCCGCGTCAGTTTCAGCAGGTTTTTCCAGTTCTCCGAACAACGCCTCGTGAACGTCCATAACTCCTTCCTGGTGTAACTCCACTTCTCCACACTCAATGCGGCGCCAACGTTTGCCATAGTTTCCATCGGAGTCATCATAATAACCCCAGCACAAGGTCTGCCACCCATTGCGCGTGTGCACTTCCGGAGGACTGCCCATCTTGAAATTTTTTTTGATGGCAAGTGCATTGCCTGCCGTTGCAGATAGGCGACGTTGGATCTTGTACCCGAGGGAGTAGAACCACTCGACCTCTGACAAACGCGAGCGGCAGTAGTATTGGAAATGCACATCAATGTACATTGGTGCAGTGGGTGAATAGATCCTGACTATATGATCAGTGGAGCGCGGCTGTCGATCACCATGGATGTCAGCAATAGAATACAGTGTCAATAAGCTGTACGCACTTCTTCGTCGTCGAGCACTGTTTCGTTCCATAAAATGGTGATGCATTCGGAGTGTGCCGTCCTCAAAACCCATTTCGCCCTCAATCTGAGAAACACAAGCTTTGACGCTGTCGAAAAGCCAAGCTTTATCGGAGTATTCGTCGTATTCATCCTCCTCAGAGTCTTCCTCAGAGCCATCCTCAGAGCCATTGCGTGGCACCGGGATAACTGTGCGGTACTCTTGATTGGTTTGGAGGCGATTGATAGAATAATTGGTCCATGCGCTCTTTGTGGCACGAGTTGGGCGAAGTAAGGGACCAAAATGATGTTCCGCCAGTTCAAGTCCTTGTAAATCGGTTTTAGCGACTGTAAGATCAGCACTAACAACATCATTTGTATTCGCAGGCATGATGGAGAGTGAGATACGTGCAGAGCCTAGCTACGTGAACGATGAGGAAGAAGGGCACGCCGAGACGTCACGTACAAATTTAAGTATACTGGTCTTCACGTGATTGCGACACCTATAGTTTGTTCGTTTCCCCGCTATCATATCCGGAATCCGGAATATCTCCCTTCCCTGGAAGTTGGAAGACGCAATGGATGATCAAGCTTCAAGTCCCAGAAATGTCCCTTCTTGGCGTCCAGATTATTCCGTTGTTGTTCAGCAGAAGACTCAGATGGGTTGGCACGTAACATCTGGCATGAGGTTTTCCTTTTCAGCGTGCCTTCGATGACACTGTTACCTGTTACCAGGCTGCGCTCATATGGTGCACATAGATCTACATGCTCGCGGATCTTCGATACAACTCTTCTAGTAACAGGAACGTGTCTAGGAAAACTTCCTCCACGTTGACATATTTCGTAGCTGCTCGAGATGGAGGGATGTGATCTATGGCTGCGCGCTGAGAGGGTGCAAGAGATGCTGTTTCCGCGATGGTGCATGGTGAATGAGGGTACCACGGCCCAGCGGCAAAACTGGACTAGTCAAAAAACCGTAATGGCGAGAAGTAATCCAAACATGTCAGAACAAGCTGGCAAGGCAAGTACATCGAAGAGTCACCGCAAATCTGACCTGAAACGTTCTAAATGTCGTATGTTGCATGTCTCGTCAGGCTGTTCCTGCAGCTCAGAAAAGCAGCTGGACGTCCTTTTTGAAGTCTTGAGTAACCATCATCCTTGTTTCGTCTGTCAAACCTTGATCGGCAATGTGACGCCCCTCAGACTGGCTAGCTTGACGGGCGATCTGTGAGTGATTTGGTGATGACATGGATTGGACGTCTGTGATAGATATCCGCGTGAGCTTTGATACGTTCTCCTACTCCTCCATTATGGATATCGCAGGAATGAAGTTGACTAATTCATACTTTCGCCTAGGTTACTGGCGTGAGTGATAGAGCGATCAGATTCACGTCTGTAATTGCTCGGCACTCACCTATCGATCTGTCCTCCTGCATCTCTCCCATCCACAGTCATCTAAGCCGCCAGTTTCATTGATAAGCCTTGCCTTTACGAAGGCTTAAACAAGACATCCTCGACCGTTGGAAGAGGCGTTGGACCGTTTTGATACGCCAGCCAATTATACTTCTGCCCCGGGTAGCAGAACTTGATAGAGATCTTGCGCTTCGAGTGGGATGAAAAATGTAATGGTTTTTGATGTTTGTGAGTGAGTTGCCTGGGCGTGCTTTTTCGCCTCCAGCTTTCTGAGACGCGTGATCAATTCTTTTGACCAGGATTCGTAGTTTGGTGGCATCATGCAGAGATGTGTTTTGGAGGGTAAGAAATGGTACGTGAATCCAAATCTTCCAAAGTACATGAGACTGCAGCAAGCTCTGCTGCAAGTTCGACGCAGAGATCTTGACTCGGAGTCAATGCTTATGCCTGTCCGGGTCGGGCCGTAGTAACCCCCTTCTTTCTTTGAATCTCAGGTACTTACTTTCAACGACGCCAAACCCTTGTTTTCGACTAGCTGGATCCTGTCACAATCGCATGGTTTACGAAGTATTGGCTAATCCATGCCACACGGTGCCGCAAATGGTACCGAGTCTGTATTTGACCTCTTTTTCGTGACGGTGAAGCAGCCAAAATCTCTGACTTGCATCCGAATCTACTGTCAACAATCGTGTAGATGAGTATTTCATGACGTTCCCGCAAATACCTGGAGTAAATGACTCGTCGGAGGGCCATATGGAGTATCAAACCAATACGTTTCGTTGGCTTTTCACACAGCTGATCAATACCTCGTTCTACAAAGTTGGTGCGCGCTAACATGATATAAATTACTTGACGTGCAGAACTCGCCATGTCATCAAGCAGACGACGAGATACTGCATGCCACATACCTACCAGAATACACCTCGATGATACACCCCTCTTATTCCTCGGATGCACGGTCCTGCCTCTCCCCCCAAGGTTCGTGAACCTGTCATGTTCCCACCGCTTCACACCCTGCGAAGGATTGGCCTTTCGACATCAAGCAGCTGGCAAGAGGAACTTGTTGGAGAATTTTCATGGAAACATCGTCCTTACTTGCGCTCCCACCATGAATTGCAGGGTGTTCTATGATGTCTGGATTCTGAAACCGAAAATGAGAATACACCGTGTTCGACTCCATTCAGCAAGTTGTCTATCTCGTTCACACTCACTTCGTGCTACCATTGTCGTACATTGTGTAAGTAACAGTGACGAGAAATCAATATGAGTGGTTGGAGGTTACCGAAAAGGCAATCGTAGCGCAGTCTGGTATCCGTATCATACATAAAGGACGGATCAAAATACATCAGAGGGAGTGGGATGAGTAGGTGGAGCACATCGATGAGAGTCCTTCAAGAGATGTAAAGGCGTGCGGCTCATGAAGAATGAGAAAATCACGGGCTAATGACGATCATCTGTGTATTCATGAGAAATACAACCAATAAAGAGCCAGAAGCGTGTCCAGAGTCCAGGATGTCTTATCGTGACATCAGGGCGGGAGAGTGTTGACGTTGTAGTTGCAGTAGCATGGCTGACGCCAGGTGTGGTGGATGAACTGGAGACCGCAGCTTGTGGTTGAGAAGATGGTTGGGTGACATTGGGCTTTGGAGGCTGTGAGCTGCCCGCAGTAGAGTTCTTCAAGTGCAATATCAATGGTTTTTTTCCGTTTCTCCCTTGCGCAAGCATTTCTCTACATAATATTAGGTGGAGTTGAACGTCCGAGAGAAAGAAAGAACCCACACGTGTGCCCGGCGCACATGGGACCTCAACAACTGCGGGGCTGCGCCCTTGCAACACGGTGCCTTCACTACTTTGTCCGTGTCGTTTCACAAGGCCTTGAGCCCACTTGAGAGGTGAAGAAAATGACGTATCATGGTTATTGGAGGGGCTGCGGTGGAATAAGCGACGAAGAAGTGTGCTTCTTTGCGATTCTGAGGAGGAGCGAGGGTGGCTTTGTGAAGAGAACTGGAAAAACAAAGTTGAAAAAAAAACGAAGTGACACTAATATCAAGAACATACTCGAGAACCATTTGGTGGGACTCCATTGAAAAAACCTTGGGGTATCCGATCAGCAGGCGGACGTCGCCGGACTGGACGCTGTGTAGCATCAGACTACAGTATATATGTTGAGCACAAGGAGATCTTTTTATGAAGGTGTCACGTACAGACTTGTTGGCCTGGTAGAGCGTGTTCAGTTGTGAGAATGTAATACAACGAGACATGCCAGTCAACTCACCTTCAAATTTGAATCCGAAAGAAGGTCATCGAGACCAGACTCTCTAAGAATTGCAGCAACATCCCATGTGTACGTGTTTTTGTCCTCGCAGCCAGTGGCTAATCGCTTTCCATCCGCGGAAAACGAAACACAGTACAGTCCCTCACCCTGGAGGGATGAATTGATGGGCTGTCCATTGTCGAGGTTCCACAATCGCGCTGTGTCATCGAACGATGCGCTTGCGAGGATGCGGTCATTCGGCGATATTGCAATGGCAAAGACACATTCAGTGTGCTCATCCAGAACCACAGTTTGCTCCCACTTGGTTGTATCCCATGTCCTAATCGAGGAATCATATGACCCGGAGATAAGTGTTTTTCCATCCTTGGTCCAAGCCAGGCAAGTCACTTCCTCTGTGTGTCCTTTGAGAGTTGCGACAAGCTCGCCTGTCTTTTCGTCCCAGATTTTAATTGAGCACTCGGGGGTTTCAGTGAAGGGCTCGTCCCGTCCACCAGTCGCAATCAAGGTCATGTCTGGTGAATAGACGGCTGCGTACACGTCATTGTGCCCAGTCTTGATTGGCTCTAGGATTGTCTCTTTGCTTTCCGCATCCCATTGCCTTGCAGTCCCATCCTGAGATCCGCTTAACACTCTCCGACCATCTCGACTCCAGTTGACGGACCACACAGGGTTTGTGTGCCCCGTCCATTTCGCAATGACCTTGCCTTTGTCGATATCCCACAACCTCACCGCACCATCCTCACTCCCGCTAACCACTTTTTTCCCGTCCGGAGACAATGCTATGCTCTTCACTTCACTTTTTCCATCCCGCCAGTCTTCTCCTATTTGTTTCCCGTTCTTCAAGTTCCATACTCGCAGCGAGCCGTCATCCGAACAAGTGATAATCCGCTGTCCATCTGGCAGGTGTATAACGCCCCGGACCAATTCAGTGTGTCCTTCAAATTTCTGGTGAGGCGTAGTTACTGCTGCCTCTTTCGTTTCAGTGGTGGAGGAAACCATGCCTACTACCGAGTGCAGCGCCATCTCAGCTTTCATCGATCAAATTTCAAAATCAGCACTTACGGGGACAGCAGCGATGGGTGGGCAGCAGGGAATAATGGCTGTTCCGGTCAAGTTAGACTTGAATCCTTGGCTTCCTGGTATGTTGTAGATGCTTTATCCTATTCGCTTCACAGCTTATACACAGCATAGGCTGTGCGACTGAAGCGCCCAACTTGAAGAATCCTCTATTTCCGGTCACATTCCGTGACTCTCTCAGTCGACATTTTCAATATACGATATATACGGCATGCTCATCACATATGCTACTCCAGTTCAGGCATTTAGGTTTACATTCTCCACCTCATTATAACATCCCCTGCCTTCGTCGTCTACTGCCCGATCGAGATGAGCTACTGGAAACCGCGATTCCGAATAAGTTCATCTCACGCTGGAGTTCATGTAGGAGGTATCCACGCGACCTGGATAGCGATTGAGCTCGAGCAATGTGGTTGGGTTGCCTTACAGGACGTAAGGAACGAGCATCTTGGTAGTGGTTCGTGAGATGGCATTCGCTCTTGTGCGTGAATACTCTTCGTGGTTACCTACTTATTTTCCTGTCCCAGAGAGCCGTGATAAAGAAATCTCCTGTTAGTGCGCGAGTTCTAGAGCTGCTGTAGAAGCACACACTAAACTTTATATTGGCACCACCCACTTGAGAGGAATGGCCATTTGCCAGCTAGAAATCGTCAAACCATAGATGACCGTATCATAAAAACGGGCGAAAGAACATCTACTGAGTAAGGTCAAGCTAGTAATCCAATATAAGATAACCATAGACACTAATTATCGCAATACACCAAGGTAGCAGAAGACGCAGTCATGTGTAGAAGTTGAACTGTGGATGAGCGTGACGAACAACCAGGAGCTCACGGTGCGGTCAAACACCACCTACGCTCGCACGTATGGGCAACAGTGGACACAGCCGATTTCTGACGCAAAGGCCTTGCACCATTATCAATTTTGAACTGCCAGATTTGAAAAGTGAATTTGGTCTCTGCGTTAAGGAAACCCAGGTGATATGTGGTATCGTACAAAAGAATGGTTCTAAATCATGGGTCGTGTAGCAGGGCAGGCAAGTAGCGCGAATGGGTATAACGCATCAGCGAATATACGTGAATCCAAAATAAAATAGAAAAAGCATACGAGAAATCGCTGAGGAAATCGTATATATTAAGGATAATTATCAGTATACTCAGGAGACAGACAACCAATAAAGAGCCAGAAGCGGGCCCAGAGTCCAGCCTGTCTTATCGTTGCATCTAGGCGCGAGGGTGTTGAGGTCGTAGCTATGGTAGGATCGCCGACGGTAGGTGTGGTGGACGATGAGGAGCCAGCTGCATGTGGTTGCGAAGATGACTTGGGGACATTGGGCTTGGGAGTCTGTGAGCTGCCCGCAGTAGAGTTCTCCGAGTGCAATGGTTTCGTTCTGTACTTCTGCTTCTGTTTCGCTAACGCAACCTCCCTCGCTGAAAAGTTTCTCTACGTGATATTAGGTGAAGTCGAACGTCCAAAAAAGGGAGAAAACACATACAGGTTTGCCCTTCGTACACGGAACTTCAACAACTGCAGGGCCGTGCCCTTGCAACTCGATATCTTCACCGCTTTGTCTACGCCGATCCAAATGGTTACGAACCCAGTTGAGTGAAGAGGATAGTAACGTATCATGGGCATTGGAGGGGCTGCGGTGGAATAAGCGACGAAGAAGTGTGCTTTCTTGCGGTTCTGAAGAGGGGGGGTGGCTTTGTGCAGGGAACTGGAAAAACAAAGTTGAAAAACAAACGAAGTGACACTAATATCAAGAACGTACTTGAGAACGATTGGGTGGGACTCCGTCGAGAAAACCTTGGGGTATCCGATAAGCAGGCGGACGTCGTGTAGCATCAGACTACAATATATATGTTGAGCACAAGGAGATCTTTTAATGAAGGTGTCACGTACATGGAGTGCCGACTTGAAGTTGGCCCAGCAGACCACGTTCAGTTGTTAGAGTGTAATACAACGAGACATGCCCATCAACTCACCTTCGGATTCGAAGGAAGGTCGCCAAGGCCAACTTCTCTAACAACCTCAGCAATATCCCATATGTATGCGTTTTTGTCATCGCAACCAGTGGCTAGTCGCTTTCCATCCGCGGAAAAAGACACACTGTTGACTTCCTCTGCATGCTGGAGGGGCGAACTGATAGGTTGTCCGTTGTCCAAGTTCCACAATCGTACTGTGTGGTCACGTGATGCGCTTGCGAGGATGCAGTCATTCGGAGATATTGCAAGGGCATAGACAGCATAAATGTGTTCAAGCAGAACCGCGGATTGCTCCCACTTGGTTGTATTCCATGTCCTAATCGAGTTATCCCATGACCCAGAAATGAGCGTTTTCCCGTCCTTGGTCCAAGCCAGGCAAGTCACTGCGTTGGTATGTCCTTTAAGAGTTGCGACAAGCTTGCCTGTCTTTGTGTCACAGATTTTGACTGAGTACTCGGGTTTTCCAATCAAGGGTTCTTCCCATCCACCAGTCGCAATCAAGGTCATGTCTGGGGAATACACGACTGCCCACACTTGATTGTGCCCAGTCTCGATTGGCTTGAGGATCGTCTCTCCGCTTTCAACGTCCCATTGCCTTGCAGTCCCATCCCAGGATCCGCTCAACACACATCGACCATCTCGACTCCAGGAGACAGACATCACATCCTTTGTGTGCCCCATCCATTTAACGACGACCTTGCCTGTGTTGATATCCCACAACCTCACTACACCATCCGAACTCCCACTAACCACTTTCTTCCCGTCCGGAGACAACGCTATACTGTTCGCTTCTCTTTCTCCATCTCTCCAGTCTGCTCCTACCTGTTTCCCACTCCTCAAGTCCCACACTCGCAGCGAGCCATCCAATGAACAAGTGATAATCCGCTGTCCACCGGGCAGGTGTATGACACCCCAGACCAATTCAGTGTGTCCTTCAAATTTCTGGCGAGGCGTGATTAATGATGCCTCTTTTGTTTTAGTGGTGGATGAAACCATGCCTACTACCGAGTGCAGTGCCATCTCAGCTTTCATCGATCAAATTCCAAAATTGGCACTTACGAGGACAGCAGTGATGGGCGGGCAGCGGGGAGTAATGACTGTTTTGGTCAAGTCAGAGGTGAATCCTTTACTTCCTGGTACGTTGATGCTTTATCCTTGTGTTCGCTTCACAGCTTATACACAGCATAGGCTGTGTAGCTGAAATGCATCTGCCTCCGGTCACATTCTGAAACTCTCAGTCGTAGCGCTCCAGTTCGGGCATTCAGGTCTACATTTTCCACCAATTTCTCCCTTCGTCGTTTACCATACACAGCGTTTTCAGTTACTCCATTCAAATCCCACAGGTACGTCCATCCACCCGTCACATTCTCTCATGCCTACTTTGAAAAACATATAATCTGCCTATCACTTCTCTCTCCTGATGGGCGACTGATTGTTATCTGCAGATGGTTACACAACGTCGAACAACGGAAATACTGATATTCGGAAACGCTTATTCGTAGCCCAGCACTGCATTCCTAATAATCCACGTAACACCTATCATACTCGCGCACCCCGCCCAGACGTTCCCACACTGCCTCAGCATCTTCTCACATGCATATCAGAGAACTTGCGGCGAACACGAAGATCAAAGTCAAAGAAGTTGATTTGAAGGTGGTAAGATGGGCAAGAGAGGTAATGCTGCATTTACCGAATTCGAAATCACGAGGACGAAGGAAAGAGATGGCACTGTGTACAAAGTACCCGCTCTTGCAGCAAAGACAACCAACCATGCACCAGATGCAGACGTTTTTGGACCCGTAAGTGACGCTTAAGGGAAGGCACGTGCGGTGGACGAAAGAACTGGTGATATAGAGCAACAGAATAAATCTGTCTGTCCAACTCTCTTTCTTGGTGTCGTTCCGTTGCGCTCAAACGTCACATTCCAGATTCCAGAGATCATCTGTAACACCTTGATGTAGTCTGTATGTCCAAGGCGCATCCGGAGTTGAAGGAACTCTTGCATTCGTGTATCATGAGATGGGGTTCGCTCTTGTGCGTAAATACTCTTCGTGGTTGCGTACCGCCCTGTCTCAGAGGACCATGGTAAAGAAATTTCCTGTTAGTGCACGAGCTCTAGAGACGCTTCTAGAAGCACACATTAAACTTTATGTTAGCATCACCCACTCGAAAGGAAGGGTTCTGAGTTGTGAGTGTCCTTAGTCATTCGTTTTGTAAGATCCTTTGATCAGTAATGATGCCCCTTAGGCTTCACGGTCGACATGTCGGCTATGACTGCTCCTCCGTTTATATTTCTGCTTACTTCCCTTACTGAGTTCCAAGGTGCAATCAGTTTTGAGCGGTATATATCGATCTGACTGTGCTGTATTGTTGATTGTCTAGTCTACTCATGTGAGCGACCCGAGTTGTTCGCTGCGATTGCCAATGGGAAGACAGCAAGCCCGAGCGTTGGCTGTGTTGAAGTTTGTGATATGCTTGTATGTATCCCTGGAATGAAGCCGATCTATGATGCAGGCCGTTGAATCCTGTTCTTGGAGAGTAAGCATCTTCATTGCCGACACATATGTCTTGCGCTGATCTGATCTCTTCTAGACTCTTATATGGGTACCAGCCAGCGAGCGTAGCTCGTGAAGGAAAAACTACCCTGGTTGTATAATACATCTCCCACCACCCTCCTATCACAGCTTATCGCATAGAAAACCGTGAAAAAAGTGCGATTTTGACGGGACATAGTGCCCAGAAGACGAGTTTCAGCAGTACGTTTAATGTTTCTTTTCTTCCTTTCGTGTGTCACATATCATCCCGCATGCCTGACGCACGTTTAACTTCAACTGTAGGGGGAACATCGTAACGCGGTCGGGCATGCAGTTCTGACTGGATCCCTTCCGTCTGGGGAGACCGAGGAATACCTGATCACGCTTCCTCGACTCCGCATCGATGGGCTGTGGTACGGATCACCCTATATCGAGCTTGCAGAAACGAGTTACGTTCAAAGCTCTACTTGGTGGCTTTCTACGGTACGTGCTTACTTTCTACTTTTCATCATCCTTGCTATCCCAGTGTGAATCTGACGAACCAACCAGATCGAATACAAAGGCAAAGGCTATTTCTCCGGAAAATCACACACTTTCAAAACACCGCTCACCCCGCCTTCACATATCCATACCTCCCCTCACGTCATCAAAGGGACGGGGCATGCGATGTCTAAAGAGTTGCATGGCGGTGCTACGTTCCATGATGTGACCTCGCCGAAGGAGGAGATTACGGTTGCGCCTGGGGAGGAGCAGGGAGAGCAGGAAGTTGTGGTATGGTGTTACGAAGGGTATTAGGGAGGGTGGTGTTGAAAGTGCTGCGACGTTTGAGGGGAAGATTGAGGTGCGTTCATTGTTCTCTTTTTTTTTTTTTTGCTGATGCATGATTTGAAATTTGGGTTTGGAACAGAACGAGCAAAGGCAGAGAAGACGGGACGAATCTGCTAGTGGTACGACGTGGGAGTTGAAGCATTTCAAACATACGGAACATGGTCCTGTCTGTGAGTGTACCCCCTCTCTCCTCTTCATCATTTGTTTAGATGCTAATGCTAACGCTCTTTGAAGACGAACGTCTATGCAAGCTGTTCAAAACAAACCCCCCAGCAGAAAATGGATATGTTCACCTCGGCAACGTTCCGCGCTCTGAGACTTAGTTGTGGATACCGGGCAAGTATGCCTCTAGACGCAGATATGGGCTTGATTCATTCATCCTTGGGTTGGTTGTATCAGCATTAGGGCGATGATTGGACGTTATCATATCACAGATAAAGACTGATCTAATTCACATTTTCACACAATTGTTAGTTTATTGCACGCAAGATCGATTTTTTTCAGCATTAGGAACGCATAGACCATGCAGTGAATTCATCCGCTGGACAGTACCAAGGGTTTTGGAGCTGGAAACACAGAGGGCAAAGACTTTGCTGAAAATCCCTCAAGAAATACATGCGGAAGTTCAGCCTTCTATTCAAACTGACCGCTCTCAATTAACAACAATATAGCCGGTACGTTGATCGGATTGCACTATGTACGTGAATCCTGCGACGAACTTCATCGCAGTTGACTTTGGAATCTGGTACTGCTTGTGTGAGCGATAGCGCCGTATGCGATGGCGATCACGTCTGTATAAGTAAATCGTTCTTCTCCTTGTCCATGAGTTTGTTGCTGTCGACGTGAATAGTATGTCCCGGGATCAACCTGACGGTCAGTTGAAACTCGCCTGCTGCTTTTCGTTGTTTTGCTAAATAACTGGTTAGACAACGGGCGCTAGCTCAAAGGGAACGCAGCTCGTCGATAATAGTAGACATTGAGGACGCAGGGGAACCCTTCGCAGTGAACAGCCTCCTGTCCTCTCTAGTGGTTGAGAATCAGCTAATCATAATAGACTGAGGCTTAACAGAATGTGATCATATGGTACTTGGGCGCTTCAGCTTGCACAGCCTATGCTGTGTATAAGCTGTGAATCAAACACGAGGATAAAGCATGTGAGACGTACCAGGAGGCAGTGAATTCACTCTTGACAGAAACACCCATTGTGCCCTGCTATCCACCTGTCGTTGTTATCTTCGTAAGTGATTATTTTGGAACTTGATCAATGAAAGCTGAGATGGCGCTGCACTCTGAAGTAGTAGGAATTCTGGAGTATGGCTTTACCCACTAAAACGAAAAAGACATCAACGATAACGTCTAGCCAAAAATTTGAAGGACACACCGATGCTGTCGAGGGCGTCATACACCTGCGCGACGGACAGCGGATCATCACTTGTTCATATGACGGCTCGCTGCGAGTATGGAACTTGAAGAGCGGACAACAGATAGGAGAAGACTGGCGGGATGAAGAAGATGGGTGGGATGAAGAAGATGGGTGGGATGAAGAAGATGGGTGGGATGATGAAGACGGGTGGAATGAAGAAGACTACCGGGATGCAGTGCAGAGTATAGCGTTGTCTCCGGACGGGAAGAAAGTGGTTAGCGGGAGTTGGCATGGTGCAGTGAGGTTGTGGAACATCGACACATGCAGGTCATCGCTAAATGGACAGGGCACACAGGTCGAGTGGCGTCTGTCTGCTGGAGTCGAGATGGTCAAAAAGTGCTAAGCGGATCCTTGGATGGGACTGCAAGGCAATGGGTCGTGGAAAGCGGAGAGACCCTCCTCAAGCCAATCGAAACTGGGCACTACATGGTGTGGGAAGCCGTCTATTCGCCAGACACGGCATTGATTGCAACTGGTGGACGTGACGGGCCCTCGCCTGATGGACCCTTCGAGTCCTTGATCAAAATCTGGGACGCAAAGACAGGCAAGCTCGTCGCAACTCTCAAAGGACACACATGGGAAGTGCGTTGCCTGGCTTGGACCAACGACGGAAAAAACGCTTATCTCCGGGTCATATGATAACTCGATTAGGACATGGAATACCAAAACGTGGAAGCAAACCGCGGTTCTGGATGGGCACATTGCCCTTGTCATAGACATTGCAATATCACCGAATGACCGCATCCTCGCAAGCGCATCATCGGACAAGACTGCGCGATTGTGGAACCTCGACAATGGACAACCCATCAGTTCGCCTCTCGAGCACTCAGAGGGAGTTCGTTGCATATCGTTTTCTGCGGATGGAAAGCTACTAGCAACTGGCTGCTGCGATGACGGACACGCGTACACATGGGATGCTGCTATGATTGTTCGAGAAGCTGGCCTCGACGACCTTCTGTCAGATTCAAAGGTGGGCATGTCTTATGGTATACTTTATTACAACTGAACGCGCTCTGCCAGGCCAACAAGTTGGCACTCCATGTATGTCACACATTCATAAAAAGATATCATTTTGTTCAACATATACACTCTAGGCTGGTGCTACGCAACGTCCGGTCCAGCGACGTCCGCCTGCTTATCGTTTACCCCAAGGTTTCTTCGATGGTGTCCCACCAGATCGTTCTCATGTACGTCATCACTATCATTTTGAGTATTATCCTGACATCTGGTTTCAGTCCTCAGCACGAAGTCGTCCCCACTCCTCAGCACATCCAGGCGGCACATTTCTTACCCGCTTGTTCCACCGCAGCCCCTCTGATACCCATGATACATCACTGTCTTCTCCACTCGACTGGGCTCGAAACCTTTTGAGACCGCGCGGACAAAGTGATGAAGGCACCGAGTTGCAAGGGCGCAGCCCCACAGTTGTCGAGGTACCGTATGCGCAGGGCAAACGTGTATGTTATTTCTCTTTCTCAGCTGAAGTCTACCTAATGTCACGTAGAGAAACGCTTGCGCAAGGGAGAAACGGAAAAAACTATTATTACCCTTGAAGAACTCTACTGCAAGCAGCTCACAGCCTCCCAAGCCCAATACCACGCAGCAATCTGGCACAGCAACTCAGACTCAACCATCTTTGCAACCACAGCCAGCTGGCTCCAATTCATCTACTACACCTGCCGTCGGCGATAATACCGCAGCTACAACTTCAGCGCCCTCGCACCCTGACGTAATACTCAGACAGGCTGGACTCTGGACTCGCTTCTGGCTCTTCATTGGTTGTCTGTCCCCTGAATTCCAGGATGGTCGTCATTAGTCTACGATTTTCCTCGTCCCGTACGATTATTTCTCGCGCACCTCTGAATATTGTAACTCTCATCAATGTGGCCTGCCTCGGCTATGCTTCGAACTGTCCTTTTTTGATACCATACGCTAAGCTTTAGTTTGGATTGAACGTCTGTGATATTGATGGGCGTTCGAATGATTATTCGCTTACTTTTCCGTAGCAATTATCGTAGATATGGACTTTATTGATTCATACTTTTGCTTGAGGTCATTTGTGTGAGCGATAGGGCGATGCCATTGATTGGACGTTCTATGGATGCCCACATGATCTGATATATTCACCTACTCCATTGGTCACACAAACGGTCGGACTTGATTCATTCAGACTTTCACCTGGGGCTCCAATAATGTATTCTCATTTCTCCATGTCAACACGACGGACGAAGTTATCTGTTCAAGGTTGCAGCAGACAGAGCTGTGCCATTGTATTTATATGAAGCTCTTTGCCATCGGTCATCGTATGTGATTGCGGCTGGGTCCATGACTCCATCTCACCGCTGCCGGATGTCAATGAACTTGAACTATGGACAGGTGCTAGCTTCAAACGTATCAATATCATATGTAGCACACTCGTTATTCTTTGGAACCCAACTGCTTTCCATATTAGGCTAATAGAATCCTCGATCTCCTCGCACTCACCTCTTACCCATCCATGATCAATCTGATCGTCAGAAACCGTAGCCAGAGTCATAATCCCCTTCGTCGTCGTCCTCGGAGTCATCGTCGTAACCCTTTGCTTCCTGTCGTTCTATGGCACCTTTCCGCTCTTCTCCTGCGTCTCTGGCGAGTCGGAGGCCACATGCATTTCGTATCCCCCGCGCGACCCATTTGTCGCTCAGCCCCTCGAGCATCAACTCATATGGCCTGTCATCACTTTCATCATCAGTACACGCCAACATCATATGAAATACCAACAGCAGCGAGAAGCAGCCGTATGCCCCTTACGAGTGATCGGTGATATGCGAGCATGGCCTCTGAGTCGGTTTCAGCAGGTTTCTCCAATTCTCCAAACAACGCCTCGTGAACGTCCATGACTCCTTCCTCGCGCAACTCCACCCTCCCAAACTCAACGTGTGGCCCATGTTCGCCATAGTTTCTATAGTAGTCATCGTAGCAACCCCAGCCTAAGGTTTGCCACCCATTGCACGTGTAAACATCCGGAGGCCCGCCCATCTTGAGCTCATTTTTGATAGCAAGTGCATTGCTTGCCGTCGCAGATGGGCGGCGTTGGATCTTGTACCCGAGGGTATATTGCCAATCGACCTCTGACCGATGCGAGCGGCAGTAGTATTTAAAATGCACATCGATGTACATTGGCGCAGTGGGTGAATAGATCCTGACTATGTGATTAGTGGAGCGTGGCTGTCGATGTCAGTAATGAAATACAGTGTCAACAAGCTGTACGCACTTTCTCGTCATCGAGCACCGTATCGTTGCATAAAATGGTAATGCATTTCTGGAGTGTGCCGTCCTCAAAGTCCATTTCATCCTCAATCTGAGAAACGCAAGCTTTGACGCTGTTGAAAAGCCAAGCGTCGTCGGAGTACTCGTCGTATTCATCCTCCTTAGAGTCTTCCTCAGAGCCCTTGCGTGGCACAGAGACAACTGTGCGGTACTTTGATTGGTTTGGAGGCGATTGATAGAATAATTGGTCCATGCGCTCTTTGTGGCACGAGTTGGGCGAAGTAAGGGACCAAAGTGATGTTCCGCCAGTTCAAGCCCTTGTAGATCAGTTTTAGCTGCTGAAGGATCACTAATTGTATTTGCAGGCATGATGGAGAGTGAGATACACGCAGAGCCTAGCTACGTGAACGATTCGGAACGGTGAGGAAGAAGGGCATGCCGAGACGTGACATACAAATTCAGACGTGACGTACAAATTCAAGCAAATTGGTCCTCACGTGATCGCGACACCTATAGTTGTTCACTTCCCCGCTATCATAGACTGGCAGTATCCAGAACCCGGAATATCTCCCTTCCCTGGAAGTTGGAAGACGCAATGGATGAATCAGTCCCAGAAATGTCCCTTCTTGGCGTCCAGACTATTTCATTGTTCAGAAGACTCAGATGGGATTCATGGCGCATATTACTAACGTCTTGCATGGGGTTTTCCTTGTCAGTGTGCCTTCGATGACAGTACCTGTTCATCAGAAATCGCCAAGGAAATCGTATATTAATGATGATTATCAGTGTACTCAGGAGACAGACAACCAATAAAGAGCCAGATGCGGGTCCAGAGTCCAGCCTTTCTTATCGTTGCATCTGGGCGTGAGGTTGTTGAAGTCGTAGTTATGGTAGGATCATCAACGGCAGGTGTGGTAGACGACGACGAGCCAGCTACATGTGGTTGGGAAGATGGCTCAGCGACATTGGGCTTGAGAGGCTGTGAGCTACCAGCAGTAGAGTTCTTTGAGCGTAATAGTTTCATTTTCTGCTTCTGCTTCTGCTTCTGTTTCGCTAACGCAACCTCCCTCGCTGACGCGTTTCTCTACGTGATATTAAGTGAAGTTGAATGCGACAGAGGGAAAAAAAACCTACACGCTTGCCTTTTGCATGCGGAACTTCAACAACTGCAGTGTTGCGCCCTTGCAACCCCATGTCTTCACCACTTTGTCTGTACGGTTTCAGAAGGTTTCGAGCCCAGTCGAGTGGAGAGGATCGTGACGTATCATAGGAATCAGAGGAGCTGCGGTGGAACAAGCGGCTAAGAAATGTGTTTCCTGGCTGTGCTGAGGAGTGGGGACGGCCTTGTGCTGAGAACTGAGAACACGGAGGTCAGGAAAACAAAGTAAGTCGAACTGATAGTGATGACGTACATGAGAACGGGAGTCTGGTGAGACTCCATCGAAAAAACCTGCGGGTGCCCGATAAGCAGGCGTACGTTGTGTAGCATCAGACTGGAGTATGTGTTGAGCACAACTAGATCTTTTAATGAGAGTATCACGTACATGGAGTACTGACTTGCTGGCCTAGCATGCGAGCGCATTCAATTGTAAGAATGTAATACAATGAGACATGCCTGTCAACTCACCATTGTATCCAACAGAAGGTCGTTGAGGCCGGCTTCTCTAACAATCGCAGCAACATCCCATGAGTACGCATTTTTGTCATTGCAGCCAGTTGCTAGTAGCTTTCCACCCTCGGAAAAGGACACGCACTGCACTGGCTGTGCATGCTGGAGGGGCGAACTGATGGGTTGTCCATTGTCAAGATTCCACAATCGCGCTGTCTTGTCATCTGATGCGCTTGCGAGGATGCGGTCATTCGGTGATATTGCAATGGCCGTGACCCAGGAAGTGTGCTCAACCAGGACCGCGGTTTGCTCCCACCAATTGGTTGTATTCCATATCCTAATGGAGTCCCATGACCCGGAGATAAGTGTTTTGCCGTCCTTGGTCCAAGCCAGGCAAGTCACTTCCCACATGTGTCCTTCGAGAGTTTGCATCAAGCTCGCCTGTCTTCGTGTCCCAGATTTTGACTGAGCACTCGGCGGGATTTCCACTCACGGGCCCATCACGTCCACCAGTCACAATCAAGGTCATGTCTGTTGAATAGACCACTGCTAACACCCGCCGGTGCCCAGTCTCGATCGGCTTGAGGATTGTCTCTCCGCTTTCCACGTCCCATTGCCTTGCAGTCCCATCGGAAGATCCGCTTAGCACTCTCCGACCATCTCGACTCCAACAGACAGACCACACAACATCTTATCAGAAGAGAGAAGAGCCGAGGCGAGACGCCGAGCGACAACCACAACGACTATCAAAATAGACGACGTTAGAATACAGAAATACAGGAACGTAGGTTATACCTATCAAAATAGACGAGCACGAACTGGGAAAGGAGAGAAAGCCGAAACGAAAAAGATGTAAGTACTGGTACTACGAAAAAGGAAATGTGATCGAAAGTCAGCAAACAGCGTTCATGACAATACCCCCTCGTCAAATGGTCGCGTCCCGCGACCAAT